GTTGTTGTGATTAATGGTAATGTAAACTCATTTGAATTTGAAATTTGGTTTTAGTACTAAATACATGATAAGATTAGCTTCCAAATTCCCCATATGGGTGGTATAACAACTGTTTAGCTCTTTCTAATGAAAGGGATTTCTGCAATTTGCAGAATGGTGATTTAGAGGAACCATTTGAAGAAATATTCGATCGCCAAGTGCAGCAGATAATCAAAGCTACTGAGAAGTAAGTAATCAATAAATTTTATAGTAAACCCTGTCTTGTTAACACTTTAATTTACTTTTCTTGATATTCTTGTGAAACTTATTACAATAAAGTTATTTTCAACAAAACTGTCACCAGATCAGCCTGATGAGAGTACTTGCTGGGTCAATAATTCTCCTGATAAGTTTTCAAATGAGTTTTAAAAAACAATTCCTTAAACAATATGCTTTTTTCCTTTTCAGGCTTTCCACTGTGGTTATCTTTGTACCATCATATCGAGACATTCATCACCATTTTGTTTATCCCCAACCACCCTTCAGTACTAGAATTGACATCTCAGAATCCAGTACAACAGAGGTATGCCCATTAGTTATATCTGGCTGTGTAACTTAACCCTACTTGCAGTATCAACCCTGAAGCACTCCTTAAGGTTACGAGAATAAAGGAAATGATCAACAACTAAAGAAGCTCTTGATTGTCACACAAATTCTCCTTGTCAACTCATTAGGAAGTTTATAGAGAAGTGTATGGAGAATATACATACTGATATTAGGGAGTAAAGGGTTAAGTAGTAATTGTAAGTAGTTGTTGTAGTATGCAACTACTTGTGTCACAAGAAATAGAAAAGACACAACCTACACTTCCACATACTTTTCAACTGCATTGTTGTTTTGATCTCTTACAGCGAATTCATTTTGTGCCAGATCCATGTACCCTTGTGGTCAACAATGTGACCATTGGTCTTTCATCCATGGATGTTTTATTGCATCTGGGTAGTGAAGAGACAGTTTGGTAATGAAATAGTCTAGAATACTCATATCAATATTTTCATTATTTTATTTATCACCAAACAACCTCTTGATATAATTTTTCATAATATCTTAAATTACATTTAAAATATTTCCTTCGTGTACCTTCACTGGTTTGTTTCCTAATTTTTTGTTTGCTTCAGTCCACCAGGCTCCTCTGACAGACTTGGTCGTCTTGTGAGACACATTCTTTACCAGCACAGGTTTGATGAAATATTATGACATAAATTAATTTAGTAATATGGAAAGTGAAGAGCAAACATTACAAGAGCAAGTCTGTAATAATTGGAAGTGACTACTGTTTTCAGCACAAACTCATCACTGAAAATTGTCAAAATATTGTCCTTCCCTTTTTCTAGATTAATCCAAAAATTGTTGAAAATGTTTTGTTTGCAGTTACTACCCCTTGCATCCACCAGCAGAGGATGTAAATCTGGACTATGAGCAGTTTGAAAAGCAAGCCATATTCCCTTACAATCCTGACATCTTGATCCTGCCATCAGACTTGCGATACTTTGCAAAGGTAAAATTTTTGCCTAATGATCAGGGCCGGGTTGTTCAAAGTTAGGTTAAGATAACCCAGGGTTAGTGTGAAATCTGATTTCAGATCTGACAGTTTTAAAAGAAAATTCAGTCGAATTCTTTTTGTCTAGAATGTGATTATTTGATGCTCTATAAAGAACACGGAAAACTATCCCGACAAGGCATTTGAATAAAGGAATAAAGAAAACCAGATTAAAATTTAACCGTGGGTTAGCACTAATCAACCTTCGAACAACTGGGCCCAGATGTTTAGTACATAAGCCTGTGGGAATTCCTCTATCCGCTACTAATTGTTTGGATGAGATTAGTGGGGAGTATAGGCAAGAAGGGAGAGGCAGGGGCTAAACAGTTTGCTAACTGAACTTGAAATCCAGGCTGGTTCTCTTGGTGTGTTCTTTGTTCTTTAGTAAAACACTTCACTCCTCTGGTCCCCCCCTCACCCCCAGGAGAGAGTGGATGAAGGTTGGGGGAGGGGGGGGGGGCACTAGCAAGGGATTAGCCTCCCATCCATAAAGGGTGGCAATCTTCCTAGTCAGTTCTCCTTATGGAAACCAAAATAAGCCAAGGAGGAATAAAAAATAGGAGTTTCCAACTGATGTTTCACCCATAGTCAACCCACTCTTGGCTGTTGTCAGTTGATGTCTCAGTTGAGATGTCAACCAAGGTGTAATACTATTGGTTGAGTGAGGTTCAACTATCAATCAAACATTGGCCCACTATCCTAAGATTGTTGGCTGATCACTGACTTACATATTGATCAATCTTAATTTCACCCCACTAGTAAATAATCATATGTTGAGGGTGGTTACTGTTAGTGCACATGATCCAGCACGAATACTTAGGTACCTGACTATGTAGAGTAGCTGCTAACATTTCACTTTGTATATCACTACAGGATATTCTTGGGTGTTTGTGTGTGAACCCAGGTCGACTTGCTAAGGGTCTTGTTGGTGGTACTTATGCTAAAGTTAGTGTGAAACCTTCACAACATCATGTTGAAAAGACAACATCTCACATTTTGCAAAGTTCTGTGGCCCAGGTCATAAGGATATAACTCTTTCTATGGTGAAAAAATATTGAAATTCACAGCTATTCATTCTCATAGTGCAGTGCAGTGCAAGAACATGTTGGTTTGCCAAAAGTACCTCTGTCCCTAGTGGTAGCTGTGCTTGAAACATTTGTAAAACTTCAATACAACATTGATAGTTCAATATATACCCTTTTCTATCCTATACTTGCACTTGGGATTTGATGGAGATGAGAAAACAATTACTTTTTTAGCATCAATGTCCAATGTAAGATAGATCGTTGGACTCCTGTAAGAGTGTTGTATTTTACTGAGTCAATGTAATATGTTATGAATTTTCAAAACTCTAAAAACAAGATTGAGGTCAATGGTTATGAGGGTCATCAGAGAGAATATCTCTTCTGCCTTTTTTTAATGTAAACTGTGGACCCCTCACTTCTCAAACATAATGTATAAAGGAAAATAAAATTTTGCAAACATTTACAAGACCTTTTGTGTTTGCTTCAGTCACCTCAAAAATTTATCCAATCCTTTCTAGGTTCTAGGTCCTTTCACACAGACCAATTACAAGCACGATGTGTACACTGTCCTATAAGAGCTCAAATCCGACTGGTGATAACCAATCATGTTCGAGAATTTAGTTGTAGTTTTGATTAATTGTGAATTTGATGCAGTTGGTATTTTCTAGTTACAAAGATTCTTTCATATTAAGATGGACAAGCAAGTAAGGCAGCCGTCAACTTTATGAAGTTCAGAATTTTCCAGTTCAATCTTTGGTCCTGTAATTTGATTAAACACCTCAATACTGTTTGGAATTTCGTGTGCAGGCAAGTGTAACAGTGTACCGTTGACAAATACACAGTTAGCCGCAGTGTCTTCAGGTACACTTAGCTTTTCGTAGCGAAACCTCGCTTTTTTCTCCACTTCGGACCAAGCATTCTTGGCCTCTTCACTTTCTCCAACCACAACGATATCATCGCCTGCCATAGTCATCATGGATTTCAGGTGAAGATGCTCGGTTACTGGAACAGCTGTAACGGGGTAGCTAGGGAACGTTTCAGCCAAACAATTTATTCCTGCTTGATTTGTTCTGGTAGACAGCCCTACCAGAAATTCTTTGCCAGTAAACAGTACATCTCCGCCATCTAAAGCAGCCGGCTCTTGCATTTCTTCGATCTCCAACCCAAGTTTTTGGAGAGTTGTCTTCATTTTCGCTGCTTCACCACGTCGAGTTGTGTGACCTAAACGGGCAAGTAGGGCAACTTTGTCACACACAACAGCCACATCTTCGACAAAGACACAATCAGGATACTCCTCGTCCGTAGGCAGCTCTGTAACTTGTAATCCAAGATCTTTCAAGGCACGAACATACGCGAGGTGTTGTTGCACCGCTTTGTTGTAATCCACGGGTTCTGGAGGATCACTAAGTCTTTGCGCAGCGTCAGGAAGCGAGGAAGGAATTCCACAAACTATAGCTCCTGTATATTGAAATTTTGAAGGTTTTTGGTTCATACTGGAGGTTAAAAAAATTACTATCGAAATATGCTGTGAAAACCAGCTGGTTTAACACCGGCGACCCGCAGGCGATTCAGTGATTATGTTGAGGCGAGAGTTCTTTCAGGTCTTGTCAGCGGTCGCACCGGTCTGCAAGTAAGTGGCCAGCGGGAAGTAAAAGAATGGGAACTGTGACAGAACAATTGTCGTCCGTTTGAGAATCTCGGAAAGGTTGCAAAAGTTGTGCACTAAACGTTCATGAAGTCTGGGGCAAACCTTTCTAGTAACCTGGTCTTGCGCTTTGTCAATTCTTGATGGGAAAACGGGGGAGAGGATTTCTCCTCTCTGACCTTACTAGTTAGTGCCAACCGTGGGTATATACTTCATGGCTGAACGCCATATAGATGACAAAATGGCTGAAAATATTTATATTATAAGCCTCATGTATGACTTACGATATGTCCTAGTTAACCTTATTCTACCTCTTCTACCCTAAGTTAACAATTTTCTACCGCTTTAACCCACATCAACCCTAGGTTAGCCATGTTCTCTTCCATTGGCTCCCATCTACCCTTAGCTATGTTTTACCACGGTAACCCACATCAACCCAAGGTTAGCCATGTTCTATCTTGTTAACCCCCATCTACCCTAGGTTAGCCATGTTCTATCCTGTTAACCCCCATCTACCTTAAGTTAGCCATGTTCTACCACAGCCCACATCTACCCTAAGTTAACCATGTTCTACCAGCATAATCCATCAGTTGAATTACGGTTGTGTTACCCTCCTAAAATGAAGTTGCTATTATTATTATTATTATTATTATTATTATTATTATTATTATTATTATTATTATTATTATTATTATAACCAACATTTCCCCTAAGTTAACCACGTTATACCCCATTAACTCACATCTACCCTAAGTTAGCCATGTTCTACCAAGTTAACCCCCATCTACCCTGAGTTAGTGATGTTGTACCCCGTTAACCCACATCTACCCTAAGTTAGCCATGTTCTACCCTGTTTACCCCAATCTACCCAACCTTGCTCCTGGGGTCTCTCATTCTATGGGTGGAGAACAGGGGCCCTAAGAAGGATGCTGGGAATGAGCTCCTCAGTAGGTACCTTTTTAAGGAAAGGGGATGGGGGATTAGGAGTAACATCTCTTCAATGGGGTGTCTTTTTGGACTGGGAGGTGTGAATGGATATAGTTCCTAGTCCAAGTATAACCACCCTGTTGGAATGTAATGGCAATGGCTACATTCAGTCAGCAAGCCAAATATTTAGTTTGACAAAAGCTAGAGAAATAAACAGATTTGGTCTTTAACACAGTCAGGTTCAATGCTTTGGGGAATATCTCCCTTTGAAGGCAATTGGGGTTGGGTCTTGCTGCTGGCTTTTACACGACCTGAACTTTTTTTGAGGATTGTTTTTGTTGCATTCTTGTGAAACTTATTTAATGTAAATGGAACAGTAATTTAAAACAATCTTATACAAATTTATTTCAGAAAAATAAAAGCACAAAGGCACATATACAATGTATATGTTATCTAAAATGGCATCGAATTGCCAGCACAAGTCTGTTCAGTACCAATAATAATAAACATGTTAAAAGGTCTCAAGACAATCTAATTCAATTTTTTAACTTAACTGAGAGATAAGTTATTTTAATTCAGAAGCTAGCAATTATGTTTTCTGAGCCACTCCCAACTATCACTTACCAATTACATAATGAATGCTTCCATCAAATATTGACATATGCAAACAGTATCCAACTAAAATCATCAGTATCTCAACTGCATGCTGGTGACAACCCACAGTAGCTCACTCACATACTGTTAATAGACAGATGCCCCACAGCTACTTTGACAGAGAGCCATGGAAAAGACTTAAGACCTAACAGTTTCAGTGTTGTTCACAAAAGCTTCAAAGTGTATCAAGGGAAAGAGATTGATCAAAACCTCTACCTTCACAGAGTCCCTTTAACCAGCAGGTATAGAAGCACTGCAAAGTGTAAAGTGGAAGTCATCATCAGAGTCAAATAAAAATGATTGATGATGACTTCCTTTCAGGTCGTCGCAATGTCAGACATTACAACTGACAACATTCCTTCTCAGGATAACCTTCACCCACATGATGTGACTGCCCAGTCACATGTTACCCACAGGTTAAAACCATTTACTTTAGTAATCTTTTCCGTCACAACCGTTGACATTGAAGTTTTCTACAAACCCTTTAACAAAGACAGTTAGAATTCCAGGATAATTTTTTATCTTTATGCTTGAGTGTGGCCAAACCACATCACTTTGTCATCAAAGAATGATGTCACAAATGATGAAATGTGGCTTAATAACCAGTGTAATAATAAACCCCTTCTGGCCTACTAGTAAATTGGAAGGAAATGCCATAGACATAATGCTTGCCCTTAAAACCTCTCAGTAGTCAGCCTATCATTCATTCTTCAGATGCTCTTTCACCTTTGGCATTATCCTCCCAAACAGTAGCCTCCTGAAGAAGTTTATCAACAAAATATTTTTTAAAAGCATTCTACTCAAAATAATTTAACAATACAGTACACTAAGCTTACAGTACATGTACAAGATAATACAAATTCCTGTAAAATCTAAGTCAAAGTGATGCAATGATTTTTTTCACAGACTGATTTACAAGTTCACTGCAATAAAATTCCTTTGCTGTTGTAACATCACATCAACAGGAATCTCCCTTACACTGAATTCTTTCAAAAAGAAGATAAACCATCCTTGACTTAATGTGTTCCTGGTGTTTTCATGAGTCATAATCATCATCTTCATCTAATGAGCTCCCCATTATACCAGACATTTGGTTAAGCTTGGGAATATTCACTGGTAATGACGAAGGTTCACTTCTGCAAAGAAAATACAATCAAGTTATTTAATGCATTTGTGTTCTTTACTGGAATACTAACCATTTGTTGTACCATTAGGTTAAGCCAACTTATGAGGCAGAAGGATTTTCCTGTAGCAGCTCAACCCAGTTTTAACAACATGATGAAACTAAGTGTGCCCCTCCACACCCAAATAAGATGCCACACTTTCCCATATACCACCTACAGCAATTTGACAGGTTTTGCTGACAGTGTACAGAATCTGACTAATGCTGGTACTCCCAGGAGTAGAGATGCACTGTGAGTGTAAAACATCTCTCAAGAATATAACACAATGTCTTGTCTAAGGTTTGAATGTGGACCTTTCAATTCACCAGTCTTTCTGTGTCCCACAATCAGAGACCTCTTAACTCCCAAGATCTGATTGTTGATTCTCCCCTCTGGTTGCTACACATTTTCTAGTAAATTAGTTATGAGAACTTGGTGCCAGATCAAAATAGCAGCTTCTACCTGATAAATTTGAATATTCTCATAGCCTGTTTGCTGAAGAATGTATTGATATTGTAAGGAGAAGTTTCATGGTAATCACTTCTATACTAACACCCCTCCCTCCCCACCCCTGTGTGTTATAAAGATATTGCAAACAAAACAAAACAAAACAGTTCTAAAACATGTTTTAACTCCTATTACTAATGAATATGTAATTAATCCTCATAATATAGCTGCATCATCAGGCAAAAAAGAGAATAGACAAATGTTTGTTACCTAAGCAACAGGGTTTTTTCTTTGTAAAACATCATAAGCTCTGAACTAATTTCAAAGGAAATTTATGACCAAACTGACAGTTAATTAAATAATCAGACAGGGAGAGTTAAATGGTTGTGTGCAACATGAAGAGGGGAATTACAGTGAATTAAAAATCTAAACTAAGAGAAAGCTGGATTTGTTTTATCATAACTCTGCATGAACTAACACAGGTCAGAATGATCATTTGATAAATTAAATGACACCTACTCTTCACTTTGTTCTGTACTTGGTCTTGTTATGGTTAATGATGGAACAGCTGGTGCTGGTGTGATGTTATTGTGGTTACTTGTTCCTTCAGAAGAAGAATCTTCTTCCTGGTTGAAATAATGTGATAATAAAGAAACTTAGTATTTGTTTTTTTCATGAGCAAATGAGTGCAATTACATTTTTCTTCTCAGGGCCATTTGAAAATACTGATAACAAAAATGAACTCAATTAATTACAAAATCAATTTCACTATGATATCCCTTTTCATGGTAATTAACCCTTTACACCCTAACATCAGTATGCATATTCTCCATAATGTTCTCTACACATTTCCTAAGGTGCTGACAGGGAGAATTTGTCTAACAATCAAGAGCTTCTTTAGTTGGTGATCAGTTCCCTTATTCTCCTGACCTTAGTGTTTGATTCAGGGGTGATATGGTAAGGAGAAATTAGATTCCAGTCACTCTAAGGTGTCAGAGGGTTAACCTCAGATTCAGGCTGACAGTTGTTTACCTCAGATTCGAGCTCTTCATCTGACTCATCAGATACCACAGTAGCTTGTGGCATCTTTTTTTCTGATTTTTTCTTCTCTTTGTTCTGTGCAGCAGCTTTTGGCATTCTTTTTCTAGAGAAAATGACATAAGAAATATTTTGAATCATTTGTGAAATTTTCCTACTGGTTGTCATTGACCTATTTTATACCAAGTAGCACCCAGGATCTCACAAATGTATGGCCCTGTACTGGCCTTGATATATGTACTTCTTGTACCACAATTTTTGACAAATTGACCCCACATTCAAATTATTGCTTTTGAGGAAACAACTCTCTTCACCATCAGCTTTAATTTGTGTCAGAAAATTGGTGAAGCATTATTTATCACTCAACAAAACTATTTTACTCTGTCAGTCAATGCAATCAGCAGAAAATGTAGCTCTTCAGAGATGTTCAACAGTCTGAGATGATGACAACTAGTTGTTATAATTCTTCCCTTAAACTGTGAATATGGAGAAGTCTTTTTATATCTAGTCTCAGAGGTTACTGCATTTCAAACAAAAACATTTGGTTTAATTGATTAGTATTCTGTCAGAAAACATCATCCACATGAAACCTATACAAGTTGTAGACAAGACAGCTGATTGCAGAAGGACATGACATTCATTACCTTTTGGGTTTAGGTTCGCCATCTTTTTCTTCTTCATTTGAAGGAAGATCTGGTACATTAGCCACTAAGTCTTTCAAAAAGTCAAACTGGTTTTCAGATGTTATACATCTCTTTCTGTTGATTCAAATCACAGAGGAAGACTTAAAATTAAGCATTTAAGTGCTACCAGTTTATAGACTATGAAGTTGAATAAAAAAGTTCAAAAATAATCTTGACTCCTCAGCCATCAAAATGCAGAAAAACATGACCAATATCCTTTTCACTTTTATGATCTAAAGATCAATTCTCCAAATTGTATGCCATGCATGTTTCATAATTTCAGCTGTGAGAATTTTCATTCAAATCAAACAATAATCCCTAGTTGATATTTTTCCATCTTCTCACCTCTCTGTCTTAATATTAATAATAATAAATGTAATAATATTATCAAAAATCCTATTTGGTCTCTTTGGGAGTGAATAGGTACAAACAGAAGAGTTATTCTCCTGAAGTGGAGGTGGATGGAACATATATGTATGCATTCAACTTACACACAAAATATAATCGTTCAAGAGCATATAATAGTTAAAAAAACTTCAAGCTACAAGGATTACTACTTTAGCTCGTAACAAAGGAGAGGATATGAATGTTTAATGTACAATGACAATAATGACGACTGAAAGGAGTAAAAAGTGAAAATACATCTCTGTAATAAGGATTGAGATTATGTTGGATAAATTTGTCACGATAAAAATTTCAACGATTGGTTCATTTTGCAACAGTGTACAAAGATAAGCAATAATTGCCTTCAGGAACGTAAAACTGTTTGACCTATAAATGTCATAATACCAAAACAATGCTAACGAATCAAATGGCAAACAGGAAGGTAGAATTATGCAAACTGACTGAAAGGATTATCGTTGACTAACAGGAGAATGATTCATTGACTTACAGATGTGATGTGGTCATAGTTTTAGCATTCCTTGCTTTAGTGTAATCGCTAGCCCTCTCCACAAGCGATTGCAAGAACATCTCCAAGGCTTTTGCTGTTTATCCACACATTTAAGGACCAAAAATAGACTCTTATATGGCTGAAAAGACATTCTACTGTGTCCGATTTTGCAGTACGAGCTTCTGAGACTTACAAATGGAAGTAAATTGCGTGAATCATAGAGGGCACTTAAAATCTTATAAAAATATATTAACCTAAACTCGAAAATACACTCCCATTGACAAAAAAAACTTTACAATCGATGATGAATTTTGTCTTCAAACTTCGTCAAAAGCATAAATTATGCTTTCCACGTTCGATAAATTATACAGGCTACATTTCCATGAAGCTATAATAACTTTCCGGGTTAGCAATTACAAGTTCAAGATAGTCTTCCATCGAAGGATACAAATGATGACTGGGACGGCTGCCGCTACCTTGCCAACATCTTCGTCTGTTTGCATAATTTTCTTGATTCGCGCCTTGAGATACAAAAACGAATGTTAGTTCTTGCAGCTACCAAGAAATATACATAGTAAGACCAAATTACCGGAGGAAATCGTGCGTTGGACTTCTTCTTTTTACTTGGCATTTTCGAAGCTTCCTGTCGATTTCCAACTTTCTTTCGAGCCCGTGATACACAACATAAACTGGTCCGATGTTACCCACACAAGAGTATAGACGTGTGTTGTTCCCAGTCTCTCATCAGAAGGACACTCCACTATACGAGGGCGAGTATATCAAATAGCAGTTAATCGTTTTCTCATAATGAGTGTGCGGTGTTAGCTGAAATTTGGAGTAAGATACTTTATGGCAACAGCCTTTTATGGCCTTACACTAAGAACACGACATAGCACATAAGCGCATGGCTGCTGCACTCAAGCTTCTAACCGTCAGCATTTTTGTTTACGCTCCTATGAAAAATTTATCGTCGGCATCATTAGATTTAACAACGTCCAGGAGGCATAAGGGCATAAAAATTGTTTTCACAAATAATTTTTTACCTTTGAAAAATTTTACGCCTTTTTTTTTTTTTTTTTTTTTAGCTATATTTAACTTTTCTTTAACCTTAAAAGGAGAGAAATCTTTCCCCATACATAACTAAAACATTCAATAACAGGGATGGAAAGTGTTTCAATTTTTTCATCTGATCTTAAGTAAAATATCTCACTTTTTCTCTCTGAAACAATCCAAAGAATTTCATTGGGGTTATCCACTTCGCCACAGCTCGACCCAGCTCCCTAAATAAAGGTGGTAAGTTTCTAAATAAGTTGTGATGCTGCATTGGTGGGAGAGTATAACAGGGTAATTTAGTATTATCAACTGAGTTGATACCAATTACTAAATTACCCTGCCAGCCCCCTAGAACCTTTCGCGTCCAACACCAGCAGAGAGGTGATCCGTTCACGGATATTTATTACGCACGAAAGCACCAGACTCTCATCTTCATTCTTCCCATTACGTGCCTCCACGCATACAGGCTCCAAAAGGTATCTCTCACCCAACCCCACCGCGTGCTTCCTTTTTGTTCGCAATAAAAAAAATCCCTCAAGTTTTGCCTTGTACACCCAAAGTTAAACCTGCCAAATAGTGCTTGTTGCTCAAGTTAGCTGCACCAACAGTAATGTTCACGTCAATTCGTATTGTTCCTCCACGAGAGCTTTGTGTTCTTCGGAATGCAAATGTTCTACGTAAATATTTTGTTATATACGAGCTTATGTTGACAAAGAGTACATTGTTTGGTAAGTCAAGTAAACTCAGTATTCACGAGTAATCCACATGCCTCCTTCCGCTGGCTGGTGCTTTGACAGTGTGAAAGGCGATAAATTTAACCCCGAACCCCGCTTTTAAAAGGGCTCCTTTAGTGGATTTACACAAAGCAGAGATAGTTTTGCCTTCCGAACAGCAAATAAATTAGCTAATCCCTTTTCAACTTGAGCTTTCATTAACAACAACCAATGTGATATACAAAGGGACAGTTGGCATCCAACACAAGCTTTAGATGTCTCAAAAACCCAAGAACTTAGCCTGATTTTTCCAAAATGTGTGATGTGTTGTTGTTTGGATTCAGTAAAGCAATTATTTGCAGTGTCATAAAAGTAATATAAACTCTTTTGTCCTCGGTCATATCAATCAATAATATGAAAACCTTAATTGACTGATTAAGTGCTTTCCACGCGCTGTTTCTATGGCAACACGTGAAAAGTGGCCTTACATAATTTTGCATAAGAAAAGTGACGTCAGACATTTTGTAAAAGCTGCGTTTTCACTTGACTTGCCTATTGTTTGAATTATTGTACAAGATTTAATTTGAATAATTATTCTCTCGGGAGCAGATGTTGCTTGGCACTGAGCAAGGTCATTTGTTTGGACATTAAGTCTCGTAGCCGGTAAAGGACCCTCGGCTATGTACATGAAGAATTTTGTGTCTTAAGGGCTTGAGTTTTACAAAATGACAGTTGGTATCACAGAGTTGTTAGACCTTGCTATCAGTCCGCAAATCGGACCTGTGAATTTCTTTCATTTGCGGAATCTGTTGCACACCATTGTGGAACACTTTGGTATTGGTGAAGTAGAAGCGCAACAGGCCGAAGTCAGGGGACCTATGTCACTAAGATCTTCCTCTGAAGCTTCCAGCAGTGTTGAAAGTTCTTCGGATAGCGAAGAGGATGAAGGTTGGTGTCAAAGCCACACGCCTGTCTTAAGTCTGATAACCGTAAAAAACTTCTTTAAAACATTTCACTTATCTAGATCAAAATATTACCTGATTTCATTTTGGACCTTGTATTGTTCTTTTCTTTACTGGTTGTGATATGATTACGTAAACTGTTCACATCTTCGAGAAAAGCGACAAATTTTCCAAAATTGTGTATTCACAGTGTAGTTTTAACTTGGTTTGGGGTCTTAGTTGATAAGTACATTGATTGTTTGTTTGTCTTTGACAAAAAGTTATCAAAATTAATCCCTGCAAATACATAAAATTTGTGTTTCGTGCGAACAATTTCGTTGGAAAGAATATCATGGTGGACAATTTTCTGTTCAGTGATCAAGTTTGCTTCACGGAATGTCTGCACAGCTTGAAAAGAGCCCGCTGAAAGCGCAATTCAATCAAACAATTATCACGCAAACAGTTAATCGACACTTAAGGGTCCTAAGTACTTTTCCGGTCTGCATCGAAGTTTTCGCCGTCCACGACAAAGGAATTTAACAGGGCTACGATGCATTTCACTTCATAATCAGCGTCGTTATGCTATTTTAACTCGTTTGATGAAGGTTTATCTATGTCACCGTTTCAACTTGGTCAAAGCCTTGCGGAGATATCGTCGGTTGGCAACATGATTTTTTTGTTAAACCTCGACAAGCCATTATGAGAGTTAGGAAAGTATCATTTTAATCACTTCCAAATCGGACTGGATTTAACTCAAATCAATTTCTAGAAGGGTACGTAGTTTCTCAGTACATGATATATCATTACGAGAAATTGCTTTCCAGTTTACTTCGTAAGTCAGCGCTCTTTTTTAATTTTGGAAGCCACTAGCTAGGCAATAGACCGCACTTTCTATCAGTTTTCAGGCGTAACAACCCACGCGGGATGTTGGGAGAACACGAGGAAAGTTTGTAAAGCACGGGCCGTAAGCGAAAAAACTTAAGACATTTAAATTTTCTATGGGTTTACCAATGCACTAACCGATAGGTGTCTGACCATTCAGGGGGCGCATAGTATCTCATTCATTTCATGATTTGTTTTAAGGTCATTATCATTATCAGTATCACCATCAATATTTTTATTATTATTAGGTATTAGGTATAATTTCTCAAATGGAAGTAAGGGCATCACGTTTTCCCGGGAACACCACCCCTCCCCCCCTCCCCTCCTTTCGCTACGTCCTGATACTTATTCAATAAAAAAATTGTTGTCATAGAAAGTGAAGAATCTGCAGATGATGGTCACGTGAGCGAGGAAGAGGTGACACAGACCATAATAGACGAGGATGGACAAGAGAAGACTGTAACAGTTATGGTACAGAAGCCACCCAAACCGAAGAGGAAACAATCTGAGGTCGGCGAAAAAGACGGAAATGAAAAGGAAGGACAGGAAAAAAAGAAGCGAAGGGAATCGAAACACAGTAAGGACAAAGATAGCTCCAGGGAGAAGGAAAGGAAGCATTCAAAACACGATAAGGAAGGCGACGAGAAGGATGACAAGAAGAAGAAGAGAGACAAAGATAGAACCAGTTCTTATGGCGGTGACTCCGTGTACGGCAAAAAGGACGACAAGAAGAAGGAGCGAAGAATGACGATGGATTCACTCTCTGAGACGCCGGAGTTAATTAACATTAATCGGAGACTCGAGGCAGCTGAAATGGGAATCAAGAGCTTGAGGAATATCATCGACTCCATGGTGAATCAGGTGGACTTTGGTGATGAGGTCGGAGGAATGCTGAAGGCCCAACTTGATCAGGTTCAACAGCAGCTCAACAAGGTCGAACTTCTTCCTGAAGGTGAAGCTGCGAAGAAGGAGAAGAAACGAAAAGGATCCAAAGCTAAAGGTCCCCAGGACGTGCCTAAGGATGGGATCATTACTGAGGGATCTCAGCCAGCCCCAGGTGTGGGTGAAGATCCTGCTCAGCCCACGAACGTGATTCCCGTTATCCCGCCCCCTGGCCAAATGTCACAGGATATGCCTAAGCTACAACCTGGTCGTTTACCTTCAAGAAAGGATGAAAAGCGTAAGATAAGCTTGCCAATGAAAGGCGGAGAACGACCCCCTAGTCAGGGAGATAAGACACCTTTACGAAGGCGCACCACCATAGAGGATTTGAAACTGCGGCGGAAGGCTCGTGAGGAAGGCGTAACCATAGAGGAAATAGAGGCACGAGAGGCAGCCCAAGAAACTAAGAAAGAAAAGAAAAGCAAAGAAAAGGAAAAGGAGAAAGGAAAGGAGGACGAGAAAGAAAAGGCTGACAAGAAGAAAGGCGAAGATAGTTCTGATGAGGAGTCACTCGACTCTGAGGAAGAAAGAGAAGCAATGGAAGAAATGATCATGGAGGAGATTGAAGCAGCATTGGAGAATACGGATGACCCTGAGGCTCAAGCTTATGCTTTAAGGCTCAGCATCGAGCAGATGAATAACATGAAGAAAAGCTTCATGCAGTCACAGGAAGAGTTCAAGAAAGACATGGAGAAGAATAAGAGAGCTATTGATCTAATTGCCAAGGATTTGGCCGCCTTTCGTGCGTCGAGGAAAGCTCAGGTTAGCAATGAAGTTGAATTGTTCCCAGTCTCTTAATATTCGTACGCGGTCAGTAGGTCGCGGAAAACAAACAGAACCACCTGCCCTCTTAAGCCCAGCTTTTTGGTTTACTTGATGAAGTAACCACGCAAATAGACAACCTTTGCTCGATCAACCGAATTTAATCACACGTGTAAAACTTGCTTTGCCAACTGGATTTTATTTATTTCATTCTCACAGGATGCTGAAGGCTTCAACGCTGTACATCACGTGCACAGCATGGTCCTCGAACTGCAAGCCAAACACGAAAAGTTGGTCCAGACCACCGCGGAGCTCGTGAACGAGTACAACAGGCGCGAAAAGAGCCTAGAGGAACTGTATGATTCAGTTGATAGACTGGACCAGAAGAAGGCTGATAAACAACATGTCAGTCAAGAAATCGGCATAAAGGTTAGAAAAATCAGTATTGGCATGTAGCGCGATGACCCTCATGGGAAGCTGGGGATTAGAGAGTGAGTAAAAAGACCAACTGGAGAACTTTTCAATTGAGTGTCAGAAAACCCAAAATCTTCTCGACGGCCAATCAGAACTAAAGAGAAGATCACTGAGAGCTAATAGGGAATCAACTTAAAAATATCAAAGGCCATGAAGCACGGGAAAACGCGATTGACTAAACCACTTTTGGTTTTAGTTTTGAATGTGATTGGTTTCAAGGCATAGCTCGAGCGAAGGAAAACCAGTGGGAAGAAAAAAATAAATAAAACAAATCATATGCTAGATTACTTTCAACAAATTGGAGAGGAATGTCATCGGCACTTTTACGATTTCTAGTTTATTGTCTGGTTTAACTCTGTTTCTAACTCTCTTTGTCTGGTTTTAAGTCCGAGCATCAACTTCCTCACGCTTATGGTTGAGAGGACTTCGCTGTCGCTTGAATCGAGTACTTGTTGAAATTGAATGAAAAGGAAATTACTCTGCTTCTTTAACAGGGGGACTAAATTTCTAGTCTCAATCTTGATTTTTAAAAGTTCTCTCTCAAACGTAAAAATCAACTGATTTCATGTAACTATTATGTGCCGTAGGCGGACAAAGGAGACCTGGAGTCGAAAGTGAGCGTGAACCAATTTGACGAGAGCTTTAACTTGCTGGACCGCGGGCTCAGTGATGCCCTGGAGAAAATGGAAAGCCAAATGAGCATTGAAGACGCATTAAGAGAAACTTTACAAGAGTTACAAAGCAAGATGCATCTTAAACTCGATAGACAAGAGCTGGATTCGCTTCGAGACCAACTGGAATCACGCATCAGACAAGTGCAGGTTGTGCGCGCCACTGTTAAGGAAAAACCTGAAGATGGCGAGCCAGCTGGCTTTAGGAGGTACAGTGTGAATGTTAAGGCTGCTAGTTTACTCACGCCTTACACCTCTGTAATAATTATTTCTACGCCTATCGGTTGGAAAAATTAGAGTTTATCTTTGTTGTAAATGTTTATTTTCAGGAACAAGCCGGAGAAAGTTCACTGCATTTCGTGTGATCGGCCTTTGGAAGTCAACCCGGGAGGGATTGGGCCGAACATGCCAAAGATGCAAAGCCTACCGGGACAGAAGTCTTCTAAACCGTACACGACGTTTGAACTGGAGCACATCCGACAGCACCAGAAGATGAATATCGCCAAGAAGCCTCCAGTTATCGGCGCCGACCTCGGTTACCAGGCGCAGAAGCTCAAGAATGAGGTGGTAGCCATGACTGGTCTTGTGGATCTCATAGAGCTCCCTCCCTCCCAGCGGTACTGCGGAGGCTCACACACCATCATGCATCCATTTAGGCGCTCCTTCAAGACAACGGGTTCTCATCTCAACCAGTATGTGGTTATACGTGAAGATAGTGACGCCGCTGTCACGCTTCCGCGCAGGGAATTCATAGTGCCACGTGACAATAACCTGAAGCGCTACATGAAACCTAAGCTTCCTGCAATAGGGCAGGCCAACACAAGGGAACCCTCCCCTCCCCCAGAATACATCAACGAATTCAATGAGCGGCCACTAAGTGCCCCGGCCACCCCCTCAGTGGGTCATAGACGAAAACTGAGCTCGCCCCAGGCTCTCAACGAAAGATCGAATTCTCCTCCTCTAAACGAGGCTGAATCACCAGGGGGGTCACCCGTCCAAATGGAGAAGATATCAGTTACAATCCCTTCCCCAACTGGCGAAGAAGAATAGCGAACGGGGAACTTATATTAATTAGTAAAAAAAAAAATGAAATTTTATGTAGACAGTTCGCGGAAAGATGGCATTTTGCAATTTTCTTAGGTGTGAGCTTAAAAGGTTTAAAAATGAAAATTGACCTAAGCAAGATATGAAATTAAGTGTGGAAGTAAAATTATAGTGTGAAAAAAAAGTGAGAGGAATGAGCGAGTTTGAATCGAGTGTAACAAGTAAACTGGAATGATGTTATTGATGTTTATCAGGTTAAAAACCTTGACGCTTCTTTCTCAACCAATGAGATTTAAAACTAAAACGAATCATAACTTGTTCAAACGCAACTACTTTAATACCCTAAAGGCTCTTTTACATATTTCCGTTCTGCCGATTTGATTGGTTTTCGTTCAATCGAAACTTGCTGTATTTGTAAATAAGTGTGAACTTCTTCCAACATGACCGTGTTATTTTGTTTATTTTAAGATTCGTTTGTTTTTCTGTAAATAAACTTGTGAACCGACTTGAGCGCGTTATTCATTTACGAAAGGCAGGTATTCCTGTATCTTCTTTCTTTTTTATACTCTCGAGTGTCTCAGAGAAAATAAGACAGCAGGCGACCACCATTGAAATTAAATGAAAGTTTACGTACCATGCTTCGGAAAATTTTCTGTAAAAGTTTCTCTACTAAATGTTTAATATTCCTATGGAGATATAACAGCAATTACACGGTTTCATTCGTCGAAGTAGGCCCCGCATATTCACATACGTCGGGAACGCTGCAACATAACGCAAAAATTTGGAAAGTTGCATGTATTACACCTAAAACGTTTACAAAAATAGCACAAACTTAAAATCCCTTTCAGAAAGGATGAAGACCGGAGAAGTCTAAAGATATAACTCGCTTGAGTGTAAATGGTTAGAGTGACTAACGCATGGTACAGCTAGGAAAGAAAGCTTGAAATTTTGGATATTTTTCCGTTTTCGTGTGAGAATTTTTCCTTCAAAAATGATTAAGAGTAGTAACAAATGATTGAAACGATTTTTTCCAGTATATTGAGAGTTTATTTATAATACACTTTAATATGAAAAACTGTAATTTGCCCTCAATGAAGAGTTGACTAGAAAAAGAGATGTTTCCTTGTGTTAGAAAACGAGGTGATAAACTTCACTCTCTGACGAAGGCGCCTAATCCTTCTGACTTCGATGACTCTGTAGGTATGAACGACTTTTAAAACGTGCCCAGTCCCCTAGGAACAGCTCTACGACGTATTCTAAGTACGGGAATCTCCTTCAGTGTGGTCGTTGGTTTTACTGTTGAGCCATGTGACTGTTCCACGCTGTGTCATAAGTTACCAGCGGTATGCCAGTATGAAGTGGGAATGATTGACAGATGCCACTTCAACATAACGTCATACTCTGACATGGTACGCTCGCGAAGGACTGGATGGCGTGTGTCTGTCCTTCCGCCTGATGACAAAATACACGCACATACTTTGCATCATGTAATTCTGAAAACGTCACTATAAGTCCCTTACTACGTAAATTGGCGTCTACACGGAAGTCTCACTGAGGGGTTAGGTTCACAGTCGAGAAAAGTGAACTGCAATTATTTTCATTCAAATGTAAACAGGTCTGGAGCAACTAAAATACTTACGGTGAAAGTTGTGTTGAACCTTTTGCTTTCTCTGTTTGAGTCAGCGTACTGGAGGCGTCAGGCTTCCTTGGAGAACTGATCTGATAGGAATGAAACTATAAACACAATTACAGTTAAAGTTGCACCATTAATTTGAGATTATTAACATGGAATGGCTATGATTATAAGTCATCTTTGTTGAGAGAGGATAACTACTCTACTATCAATTTCCAAGGATTCTACTTGGGAAGGAAGGGGTGGGACTCATTAAAGGGAGAGCTAATTCAAAACTCATTGAGAGAAAACGCAAATCATTATTTTTCTCTAGAATTGTCTGAAAAACTTAAAATTTATTTAAAAATTTATTTAAATAATTTATTTAAATTGATTTTCTAAATTTATTGAAAATAAGATAACTCAAGACAGAAACTAAAAAGCTTTCAAATAAAAGTTTATTTTGCAACCAAGCCAAAACCAGAGAGAGAGAGAGACAGAGAGAGAGGCATATTAGGGTGGGATCTGTTACACACTTACAGTTTTAGACAGTGATCTTACTAGAGAAGAGGCTGCTTATAGCGATATTGAATTCAAAACACACTTGAACATTGTTTTACCGATACTCTGATTTCTCGGGTGAATCTATCCAAGATGCTCTTCATTTCTGGTTGCTTTGTCTTCAGTGGACTCAAAGTCAGGTACTACAGGAAAAAATTCAGAGAGTTAACCAAAGATTCTTTAAAAATCAGTCAAAAAGAGACAGTACAACTATGATTGCTCCAAGAAGTTCCCTGAAAGGAGTCATAATTTCCAGGGCCTTTAGATACGGGACTTATTAGAGGAAGTAGGAGGGCTAATTGCAAGCTCATCAATGAGAGCCAAAGTACAAGCCATTACTTTTCTTCTGTTGATCATTCACCTTTTAATGAAACCTATTTACAGTATGCAAAGCTTAAAGCCTTTCAAATTTAAGTATATGCTACTAACTGAAGCCCAATTGAAAAAAGAGAAAAAAATTCTTAAGTCCTTGTTCGGGCCAGGGGTACAAGAGAAGCATTTTGGAACAGTAATGTTGGCTATAGTCTGCCTTAGAGAATTATGTAGGTAACAGGAAACAGTCACAGAAGCTATTGGCACCAATTGAACCCAGATTATTCGCAATAGTCTGGCATCTTATTTAAATAGAGTGGTCCAGCTCCTTAGTCTCTTCATGGCAGAGAAACAGGTATCAACTAAAACAGTAATGGACTGTGAGCTCAACATAAATTTTACCTTCCACTGAATTCTTTCACAGCTGTGAATATCATGAACTACAGGAAGACTCAGTTTTATTTTCTTTACATTATGAAGATCTGCAATGAAGAAAAAAAAACAGTTTTGAAATTAGTACTCCTATTCTCATGTAGAAAGATATCTGTTGGTAAAATGTCTCCTCACAGACAATCGCCATTCCCCCATACGCAGTCACTCAGGAGAAATTAGTTTGAGCTGTTTGTGTGAGAGGACTATTATGATTGGCTTCTCTGCAAATCAAGGCTTGATTGGAATGAGTTTTACTACAGCATGTTCCCCTCATTAAAAAGAAGATGGAACATTATTAGAAATAACTTAACAGCTCTGATACAGAACTTGAAATTAGGTTTCCTCTATCGCAGCTCACAGTTATGAACCCTTGCTATTACAAACCAAAAATAATAATCACAAGGAGTTACGAGAAGGTTCATATGGAGTGCAAAAAAGCATTTCATGTCAGCTACACACAGCAATGCACAAGAAGCTACATACAATTGTTATATGACTTTGTGAAGTCATCAAGTAAATCCAGGAGACTCTGTTGAAGAGAGAAATAAAATATTTCTAAGTGGTCAATATTTCTATGAATAGAAGAGAAATTTGAGTGATGGTCTCAACACACTATATGTCTTGAGAAGGTGACACTTGGTTCAATAAATGTACAACTTACAGTAATATTTATGACCAAAGTGACTAGACAAAGGTTTATTACAAGAAATTTCCTGAATCTTAACTTTACTACAAAGTACTTAGCAATTAATTGTCGAAGAAACATTCAAACTGTATTTGGCAGTCATGTCAAATGTTTGGCTACTTACAAATTTGATCTTAATATCCCATATGCCTCTGCAGTCAGCCACAAAGTCAGTATTTTGCTCTGTCTTACAATCTCATGATTAAATTTCAACTAAATGTCTTAAGGTCCTGGTTTAAGACACAGGAATTAACAGAAGGGGAAAATAAGTGCCAGTAATAACTCATAGCAGCCATAGCAGTGTAATGAGAAAAAGAGCAAAGCACAATTAAAGGTGTCATGTCTTAAAGTGTACTTTAAATTTCAAGGGCTTGAACATGAGGTCATCTCTTCTGCTTAATCCCAATGTCCCAAATTTGCCATTGTAGTGTACTCCAAGCACCACATGCCTAAAAATGAGCCACAGTCATTAAAAAAAAAAACAAAGACAACAACAAAAATAAAAATAACAACTACTTTCAGGGCAGAATCAAACTACATTTATGTTAACCCTTTAACTTCCAGAAGTGATTGACATGTAACCTCTCCCTAAAATATCCATACATTATCCAACAAACACTTTATAAGAATACACAAATTAATCAGGCAGAAGATGTTACCTTGCTCCCACACCAAATTCTCATAACTACCCAGTTAACAAGGTAATGTGTAGAAGCGAGAGGGGAGAATTAACAATCAGATCTTGGGAGTTGAAGGATTAACAAAATAACTGAGATAGTATGAGTGCCCCGGTAACTGGTCAAAAACCTATCATATATTCTACCAGTAAACCCATAGAAAATTTAAACATATCATGTTTGGTTTTAAGTTAATATTATTAAAATTATAAAAGCACTAGACTACACTTTCTATCAGTTTCCTGGTGTAATTAACCACTTAGGATGTTAGGAGCACTTGCCCCCAGCTCTTGTTATTGCTCTGAAAAATTGATAGAAGCACAGTCTATTGCGTAAATAAACAAGTCATTCACACAAATGGAAACAAAGTTTTGTCAGTCCCTATCTGAAAAGGACATATTGATTATATGTTAATCAGTTGTAATAATCTTGGAAATTAAAGCTCAGATGCTAGGGAAATTATTGCTTCATTCAGATCGTTTTGCAACCTCAGCAGCTTAATTCACTTTCCCATGATCCTTTTCAAACAACCTTAGCTTGCTTAGTTTGCATAATGGTTATCACCTGTAGTAGCGTCCATTGAACTGTGTCTTAAAACTGATGGTAAACCGCTGCATCTCAGTCATACCACATGTAAAATACCTTTCATTTTTGTTAAGTGTCCAATGTTTGATTCCTTTGTTAATAATACAGCTATAATTCATTAGAGCAATAAGCTCAATTCAAAACTAAAAAAATCTGTCATTACTTAAGGACAGAGTTTCCATTTGGAAATGAAGCAGCAGAATAATTGAGTGGATATTCTCCTCATCTGTAGAAAAATTAAGACCAGGCCATTAAAATTAAGTCAATGAATTCCAAATTCTGTATGGTAGTTGGGGAATTGTCTCTCATGAGGTGCCCAACAAACACTCTGCAAGAGAAAGCTTACATGTACAAGAGTAAAGGATACAATCCTACAATAACAGCTTCAAGGCATTTAATGGGTAAGGACTCTTTTATAATTTCCCTTGCTGTATCCATCAACCTGTAGAGATACAAAAATTTTTTGCTAATCATAGAGTAACTTCACATGATACAACCTTTTCAGTAAAATATCGAGAAAATGCATTTCATGCATTGTGACAATTTTTGTGTGCTATTTAACTGCATGTCTGTACTCTAACAGAGCACTTAATGTCATATTCTAATGAAGAGCTAAGTGTGTCTGTAATTCAGTTATTTTCCTTTTCAACTCAAACACTACAAAACAGACATCTTGAAAATCAAGAAACATTTAAATTAACTGACGAAGTAACACATAATTTTCTAGACTCATTATCGAATGAATGAGTCTAGTAAAGTATAGTTTAGTAAATGTTATAATCTCAGAAAATTGGCTGTCAAATCTGGAATATTAAAGAGCTGAAAGGCATGTGGCCTAATTCACTATTTTCCATGCCATTTTTGGATCTTACCACAAGCCATTTGGGGATCAGATTAATCATTATCCAAAAGGGACACAAACATTGGTAACAGTACCCTGTCAATGGTCTCCACTTCTTAATCTCAAAAAATTGAGTCCCTGTATGATTATATCTGTGACAACCATGTTAAAAAATTCAATATAGTTAAGACAAGTCAAAGAAGAAAAGTTTGCCACATAGCCCTAAAAGAAGCCTGTAAAAATCTGCAGTCTACAAGTCTCTTAACCCTTTAACTCCCAAGATCTCATTAGTGATTCTCCTTACTGTTTGCTATACAATTTACATGATTCTAGTTTGGAGAATTTGGTATTGGATCAACAAATAATCCCCTAATTGATATTTTCCTTTATTCTCATTACCTGTCTGCTTGATATTGTACTGATAGTGTAAGGAGAAATTCTGTCTGGGTCACTAGCAGGACTTAAAGGGTTAAAGATGCAATAGACTATATAAGTTTTGCATAAGTTGTGAATAAGTGTATGTGCTCTGGTCTCTGCAGAGGACCACAAGGTGATCACTTGGCTCACAGACGGTAAACTTTGCTAGTGAGTGGCAATATCTGAAATTCAGTGAAAACTCTCCAAATGACGTCAAACTTAGAATCATATTTCTATGCACTTGTCTGTAACATTACAATTCAACATTCAGGGTCTTGAACCTCCATGACTAGGATAGGAATACAAGCAAGAATTTGAGCCACTCAGGGGAATGAGATTGTAGACAACGCACTTGGGGAAGAAACATGAAATTTGCTCAAACCAGACACAATTTGACTGCTAAGACTTCGTAATCAATGTCGTGATGTTGTTACAAGGATACTGCAGTTGCTGTAGGTAGTTTTGAATCAATCCTAGCTTCTCCTCCACTGACATGACTGGTGTAAACACAGGTACAGCTACATATGGAACCTACATTCAGTTAACATTGAAACATTGAGGTCACATCAATTGGTTGTTTTGGAGAAGCAAAAATAAGTTTTATGTCTTTGAAAATATATTTTGGCGGCATAAACTAACTCAGCATTACAACTATTAACGACAGTTTTTGTGATAACTTTGATTTTGAAACGAATAGTCTGCAATAGTTGAGATAATGTTTAAATTTCAGTTTTATGTAAGTATATACTTATAATATAAATTTTACTCATGAGGTTCTCATAATTTATGATTTTTTGTTCCCAGTAAGATCTCAAACATGTATCAAATTGGCGCCTTGCCTTTGCTAGGTGTTCACTTTCTCTCACACTCTGCACAACTTGTGCTCCCTTCGGATGTATTTTCTCCACATGACGCCACATTCTTTCCCAAGTTTTCTTACTAATAGGAAAACCATCTTTGTTCACATAGAACAGTATTCCACTCTCGTCCTCACTTGGTACATCTTTGTTGTCCTCGTCTCCCTGGTCTTCGCATGAAGGGAATTTATTGGCCATGACACCAATAAGAGCTCATGCTTTTACATTCTGATATACTTTTCCCACTTCTTCTTTTGAGGCTCCATTGGTACAGGAGAAAATTTTGGAAAAATCGCAAGCTTAGTGCGTTGCTATGCCAAAGGAAGACTTATGTTTAATTGGCTGCTTCATGCCGTTAGTTTCCAGTTTCTTAGAACGCGCGGCCGGCCGCTGAGAATCTGCGTTAATTTGATACTAATAGATACTAATTAAATCCGCATATAAGCGGTTAATTACGAGCGAATCGGGTGGAATCTGCGATCCTCTTTCCGAGCGTTCGTTCGCAAGAATACACAACGGGCAAGAAAAGGGCTTCTGAGTCGTAAGAGCGACGATGAGGATGATCATTTCCCATCGATCACTATGCATACATTGTGATCGTTCAAGACACAGCATGCGACTTTCCCGATGCAAACCGAGCAAATTATGGCCAAGTTCAGGGCTGCTGAAGATGGCCGAACTTTTAAATCGATGAGTAGAGAAGATGTGTTGAAGACAATCCTTGATGGTGATCGTAACTCATTTGGGTAAAATTTCCGCACAGCCCCATCCTACAGTATGCACTCAGTTCTTTAACAGAGAAAACAATGACAAAAACAATACATTTCCATTGGGAAAAAAGATTTGTTTTACAATAGTATGGGGCTGTGCGGAAACTTTACCTTAATTTGTATAGGTAATCACATGATTTCGAGTGCAATTTGGAATAAGTAAGCACGAGTGTGATTACGTATTACTAATAGACATGAAAAAATACGAGAGAGCTTATCATAATTATGCAGAAGCAAGGCGCGCGTATCAAGTGCTAAAATAATTTATTCTAACTCTACAAGTGACATTGTGCGTTCGGTTAAAACAAAGGCCGAGGTCACAGTTTTTAGCCGTAGGGACCGACCCTTGGCCGATAAATAACATATATATTTTTTAAGTTAACATTAAGTTCATTAAGTAATCGGCGAGGAAAGTAATGGTAAGTAGATTCAAACTTTTTTGTTTTGAAGTTATGAGAGTTTGCTCGTTTGTTTGCAGCAATGGCGTGTGAAAATCTGGTCTTTCCTCCACAAGAACTAAATTCGGATGGTACACTCCAAAGAGACACAAGGGGATTTAATGCGGCCTTTTCTCATTGAATTCCTTAAGTTTCTGTTGTACAATTTACGGTACAAATGTCCAAATTGAACAGACTCACCGAGAGCGTATATTTGTTGTAGAACTGAAATTAAAACTTCGCTCGCCTTTCCACTACGAACCAACTGTTTAAGAAAATTCAGATATTAAATGAATGAAAGTTTCATCGATTAGCTTAACTATAACTAAATATCTCACGTTTTAACTTTCTAGGTACTTTTTGTGAACGATAAAAATTAATTGCAGGCGGTTTTTAGGCCGCCTGTCAACCAACGTAATGACACCATTGATAATACAAAAAAGTCATTCTAAAACGAAAATTTTTCAGTCAACCAAAGTGACTTGAGAGAGAGAAAAGAGAGGATTGTTTTGGTTTGTTACTTGTTTGTTACTTCTTTGCACTGAATCAACCCTCTTCTGCATTGAATTACCTAAAACTGCGTTTATCTTAACCAATCAGAACTGATTTTTTCATGTATCTTATTAACCATGAAATTTTTAAAAAGTTTGATCTTGAGAGAATAAAAGAAATAAAATAAGTAACTGACAAACTGTATGTTGCAAGTGTAAGTTTATTGTCAGTGTTGAGTGAAGGTAATATAAATTTGTTGGCAAAAAATTTGCACAACTGTTCCAATTTTGTTTTAAATGTTCTTTGCAAACTGTAATCCATTTTCTCGTCAGGTTGTAACACTTATTCAAACTGAAGTTCTGCTGAAAATATAAACTTGCTCACATAGTTTGTTGGAGTAAAATTGAGAGTTGTGTTGAGTTTTCTTTAATAAATATATGAAATGAAGAAAGCAATTCTGCTCTTTAAATTTTTGGCAGGTAATGAGTAACTAAGGATTGAGCCTTAAAGTGTCTTTACCATGGCTAAGTTTAGGCTTAGGTGTACATTGCAATTTTTCTAAAGAATATGACACAGATATTAAGGTACTAAGCTGTTTAGACACTTAAAAACTTACATGCATTTGTGTATTTTGCAATTTGTTTCTAACTCAAACCCATCCTAATACACTAGAACTATCTCCAGAGGAGTTTCCTTTAATGACACTCAAACAACATGTTATAAACCAGAAAACTCCGCCAAAACAAGTTTTCCATGCTGTGCAACATGAAGATAGTCATCAATACGTTGACCTTGAAAAACACGTTCAGTCTCGTTTCTCACCCCACTGCAGTGATGATGAACAATATGCAGGATCTTACAAGGATTTTTTATTTTAAAGCCTCCATATTTTCTGAAGTTGAAAATCAAAACTTGCTCAATGCCTCCAATGTTTGGGCGATAGTCAATCTTGTCCAATAACCAAGGGGAAACTGGTGCAAGAAGTCTGAACAGAAATCCATCATGAGATCCTTGATATTTTGACTTTGGTCCACAAAAATCTGTGGCATCACAGAGACGAATATTTTCTTCACTTTCATGCCTGGTGAGAGCATACATTGTTTTCCTACTCAAAATACTTTCATCCAGTTTTTCATATCCTCTATGTACATAACAGTCAGAGTTCATAACCATTACATTTTTTCGAATCAAATGTTTTGAGGCAAATTCAAAGGCATCTTTATAGTGCATGCGTCGACCAAGAATGATGAAGTCTAGTTTCCAATCTTGTTCCAAATTCTGTGCTTTTATGAAAATGGGGTCTTTGTCTTTTTCACAGAGAATATGAACTGCTGCAACCTAAAGGAAATAAAACTAATTTTTACCAGGTTTTATGGGGCTGGGGGGAAGAGTGAAGATAGAATTATTCTGTTTAGTCTCACTCCTGAAAGTCCTATAAATTAATTTGAATTCAGTGAGCTGAGTAATGTTTAAACTCACATGTGGACTCTGCAGATTTTTTTGCAGACTGTAGATATACTCTGCTTGTCGCTTTAAGACATGATCTTCGACTTTACCGGAAGTGTACAAAACTGGAAACTGGATGATAAGATGTAGTTGGGCACTTGCTTGCCTGAATGGGTATGTGTCCTCTATGTCACCTGTCAAAATCCATTTAAAAAAATACCAGTTTTGGTTTTTGCACAATTGATACTTTTTCATTCATGTATAACTACAAAAATTAATGTCAACATTAAGACATGGGTAAGCATAGCATGCAGGAGTTAATTTTTTTGGTTGGGTGGGTTGAGATGGGACACTTTGTGTACCAAATGTTTTCATTTAAGTAACAGCAAAGAGCATAACTTTCAAAAGAACAAAAATATCACATTACTTCACCTTTAGAGAAAGACAAAAGAAACACCTAATTTATCTGAACTCTCGCCGATTTTTGTGGTCTATTGTCTCCATTGTCTAAATATTTCTGAGCAAAAATGAAATGTATTGATGCTATGCTTACTGTAGTCTCCTTTGCAGCTGTTGTTTGGTCTTGTCATACAACACCCTCTATTCCCCATTGGAGAGAGAGCACACTTTGTGTGACCAGACCAAATAATGGTTGCAAAAGAGACTATGCTTACTGCTGTTCGTCTGACAGTGAGAAAATCAAAATTATATCTTCTGTTAATCACCTCAAAATACAATTCCACATAATTTTACAATGAAAAGCAAACTGAAACTCTGCTGTACCTTCAATAGACCCAAATCAAAGATATATTGCGATCTTGAATAAGTGAAGATACATTGAGTAAGGGAAAAGGATACTATTTCAAGAAGGCTACTGAATTAGTTGTTGCCTATCTGGACTGTGCCCTGTGTGTGTGAAATAAGTGTCAAAATGCAGGTTGTATACAAGGAATTAACGCTGATTGGGTTATGTCCAAGGTAGCCAAAAGCAAGTTTTATTTGTAGCAAAAGTCAAAATGCAGGAGAATTGCATAGAAAATTAACTATCAGTAGCATTAAGTTCCATGTGAATTTTTTTCAGTGGTGTCAGATAATGCAGTTAGAATATGTGATAAAATACAGGTTGTTTACAAGGAAATGGCACATGATGGAGCAAAGTGTAATGTGGCAAAATGGAATTTGATTAGTAGAATACAATTCAAGCACAATTTCCTGGATGCATCCATGATGATTGTTAAGGGTCCAGGTACAAATTTTACCTTCAGAAGTTGAAAATCTCAGGTAGATGAAAAGTGACGAGAGAACTGTAGTACTCAGTAGAAATACACAAAGTCTGGCTTTTCCATGTGACCATGATCTGCACTGAATTTAATGTAATAAAAAGTGGTTAAATTATGCTGAAGCCCATGTATAAAAACCAAAACCAAACCAATCAAAACAATTATATCAGAACAAAGTTAAATAATACAAGGTATTGAACTCAAAAATGAAAAGAAGCTGACTGCCAAAAGTACAGGAAATTGTGACAAGCCAAGTTGTGATTGCACTAGCTTTGTAACTGATTGGTTGAGGGGGAGCACTGGTATAATCCTAACCAAACATAATCTACATTCTACATCTACATTTGAATTCAATTAACAATTGGTTCATACGTCAGCGTGTGCTCATCGAGATATGAAACATGCGGGAAGTTTGGAGAGCATGAAAGATGCATAAGAGTTGCTCGAGGCGTAGCTGAGAGCAACTCTAGCTTCTTGAGTGCTCTCCAAATTTCCCAAGTGCTTCATATCTCAATGAACGCACAGTTGACATATGAACCAATTGTTTTATAACATTTTCAACCCCATGGAAAAATTTTTTCTCGAGGGATTTGTTTGCTGACATCATGAGCGTGCACAATAGGAATATGAAGCACGCTTCGGCAATTGAATTTGATTACACAAATTTACTAGCTATGTTATAACATTTGACAACTCGCGCCAACTTCATAGATATAAACATGAGTTTTCCTGACTAGCAATCCTGCAATGCAGGATATTCACCATGTTGGATTTATTTTGTTGTATTGTACTTGTGATTTCATGGATAAGTAAAAATAAGCTTGAGTTCTTTGGATCATTTAGACCTAAACCCAAAACATGAAAATCTGGCCCAGAATCTTTATTCAACTTCAAAGATCTTGTATCCATCCAGGAAGTTTTCATTACTCTTTATATTGGAATTTAACCAAGACTCATTAGCCAGGATGATAACTGTGTTAAATTCATTGATCATAGTAGCAGTGCTTGCAGTAATAATGAATGTTTTCTTTTCATTTCAACAAAGTGTAAACTATCGAAAATATTCACTTCACAAACCTGTGTTACGCAACGCATTATTTCACCTCGCAGTCGTCGATTTGAATTGACGATAACAAAAAAATCCTTGAGAAAGCAAAATGATGAAAGTGTTCTTCGAAATCACTCAGTTTCAAACCGTCGGTGTTGTCGGTGAAGACCTAACCTTCATTATAGTACACGAGCGCTCCCTCACCTTCGCGCTAGAATCTGCGCACCGCAGTGAATTCTGGGAGGAAGGCAGAAGAACGTCTCTATACATACTGTAGGAATTTAAGCCGTTCTCGTTTGCCAATTTTTGAAAAATTGTCGAATATTTTAATTCGCTCTAGTGCCCTTTTTCAACTTGAGGGTCGCCCTAGTGCGACACGAGCCTCTACCAGATCTGAGCTTATACCTAAGAGTTAAACCTTGCACTCAAAGGCTCATTTCCAACCTTGATGCAGCGCGGTCGTTTGTTTTTGTTCCGAACCTTCGCTTTTGATTAAATAGCGCCTCTGATTGGTCAGTTATTTTTACCTTGTCAAGTTGTCTCAAATTACCTTCTGCGTTCTCTCCGGTGAATTTGAAGACCTTGACAAAATAATTCTGTTTAAAACAGTTCTATACGTTTTAATCTGGCATGGAATCAGATGAATCCATTGATTTTGTAGATTCCGAGGCAGTAAACGCGTATGGATCGGTTGTTGCTAAAGAGGAACACGAAAACCCTTGCGAGTATTTCGATGAAGGTGAAAATGTCGATCCACCACGTTTTCATCCATTCATCAATTTTTTTAAATTGAAGTTTGCCATCCTTGTTAAATAGGACCAAGGGTCAGTTGAAGTTTCCTGCCCGTGGAGAGGAGCTTGCGCTCGAAAGAGTGGTCGAGGTTGTTGTCCATGCAAAACAGCAAATAAGAATTTTAACGCAAACTGTCGGTGTCGCTGACGTTCCTGCAATGAAGTTACTAAACTTAAAATAATTAAACGTCCGGTAGTCCGATATTTTTCCATATTTCTCTTCGAAATACCAAAATGTTCTACCTTTATTTACAATCCTCAAGCGCTTCCAGGCAGCCTAAAATTTCGAACTTGATGTTTTTCGCTAACCCTGTATACAGAGTACTTAGCCATGCAAACGCTTGACACTTAAAAACTTTTCAATGACACGGCTGACACGGTCCTCAGTTAACTCCATATTTCTCTCTGAAATATACCAATTTTTTGTTGGAAAATATTCTACCTTCATTTATAATCTTCAAGCACTTCTACGAAGTGAAAAAATTCCAACGTTGTCCGTTTCGCTGACCTTGTACTCAGATTGCGGAGAGATCCAAGCGTGACACTAACAAAATTTTCACTGGACACGGTCTTCGATTAACGAAACGTCCAGGAGTCTGATATTTTTCCATATTTCTCTTTGAAAAATACAAATTTCTATTGGAAATATTTTATCTTAATTTAGAATCCTCAAGCGCCTCTAGAAAGTGAAAAAATTTGAACGTTGTAAGGGCTTTTCTTATGTACGTTGAAAACCTCGAAATGGACAACTCGCTAAAATGGGTTCTTTTCATCAAAGTAAGCGGTCAGATAACAAGTGATACGCTGTGGAAGTAAAGTGAGGTATTTTTATTGAGAATTTGACGTATTGTTTTATTCCTTAGAGCGGTCGTAAATATTCTCATACAAATTCTTATAATTCCGCTATGACTATGCAAGATGATTATCTCACAGCTGGAGCTTGGGCCGCCCGTGTCTTAACAAAAGTGGAGACTATTACATCGAACTCAATCTTATTTTCTAATTTTAACGATTATTAACTGTTGAGGGATCCAAAATAACACCTTAACAATTATGAAGACGTCTTGAGTCTGGCGATCTGCGGATAATGCAGAGCCACTCGCCCTCCGGGTCTTAAATCCCTCGCAGCTCATGTGTAACCCTTCCTCGCACAACTCGCACTGTACCATGTCGTCCCAACACTCAGGCATTGAACAATGACAAAATAAATTAGTGTCACAAGTTTTTCTCTTATTGAATCTAGCAGTGTTCGACTATCGCGGAAAAAGTTCTAAAACGACCTTTCTCCAGACATTAAATTAAATTCTTGCCCATTTTCCCTTAATCAAAAGAAACCTCCGACGGGATGCCAGTTCTTATGCATTAACGATACGCATGTTTTGAATTAAAAACAAACCTTAGTACGCACTGGAACGTAAGGTATCACGTTAAGGATGATGTTTTTACTCAGTTTTGTTAGGGTGTCCAAATCCGCGGAGGGGGTCCATATCCGCTAGCGCATTTGGATCGGGGGATCCAAATCTAAGGAGGTCCAAATCCGCTGGGACACCGGGTCGCACTTGAGAGAATTCAAATATTTGCCACCAAAAAGTGGCAAAAATTCATATTGTGAGGGGTCATCGCCGCAAAAAATTGTGTGTTAAATTCTGTTATGTAAAATCTGTCCAGTTTTTGTGACGTTGTGATTGTGATGTTTTAAATTCCGTTTTGATTGTGTAATTTTAATTCTGTCCTGCTAATTTCTTTCCGTTTGTTCAATTTGTGTTCTAGTGTTTTCAGCAAAGAATTTACGAAGTACGCAAGTTCTACACAACAGAATTTGACACATGATTTGGCGGCGATGACCCTTCAATAAACTGTAACTCCGGGAAATATTTCAATGAGGATGAGTCTAATGAATTAAACTCCTAAGAAGATAATTATGAAGGGCAGGCCGCTAAAGTAATCATCGCGGAACGAGTTTTACTGTGTGTGTGTGAATGTTATTTGCAAAATTGTCAGAACTTTACGTCCTTCCAAGCTTTAAGCTTTGGTCTGCTCTGGTTTCAGCGAATGAATTGTCGGAAACCAGTACAATTTACGAAGTTCTTCGTGGTGATTTTTATATAATTTCACAAGCGATTTATGCATTTGGTTAAGTGTCCCACCTCCTCAACGAAGAAATATTGTTGATCTCCCCTTTTCCTGCTTTATTGCCTTCACCATCGATCGATTCCTCGTGGTTCACAGTGTTCTCCCTTATTTTAAGCATGACAGGTAAAATAAATTTTCAAACCGGTAAAGCAATCCTTTTACCTGTTGAATTTCCAAGCAATTTTAAACGGTTATAAGAGGTACTACAGGCGGTAAATGTCACCGGTTACCGCCTGTAAAGGAGAACACTGGGTTCAGATGAACTGATGTACTTGATCAAACAACTATCGATCACTGGGAACGTCTTTATCGTCGCTTTTACAAATTAGAAGCCCTTTTCTTTGCCTTTGAGAACTCCTTTTAAGCAACAATCAAAATCCATCCCTTCGTTGGCCGTCTTTGTTTACAAGGGACCTTAAGCATCTTTGTCTACTGGGGACCTTCAGAAAACCATGACAGCGATGGCAACGAGGACGTGGCAAAACAAAAGATCTAATGAGCAGAAAAGTAGCTCGGCACGTGCTTTTAAAACTGTGTACATTTCTTGAAAGATAATTGCTTTCAGTCCTAAAAGACGGAACGGCGGAAAACTACCCCAAATCCTAGAAGACGGAATAGTAGTACACACATTCCCCTCGATACTGTATTTCCTTTCCTACATCATAGCGGTGTTCTGGTCTTGTATATACGTAAATAAGTGAGACCTTTCCTTACCACTTTCCCCCCCCTTATCGTCATAACTTCCGCGGAAATTACTTCAATTCCCCCCAAAAAAATATTTTCTGATAATGTATAACAGCATGTTGTTGGTCGTTCAGTTTGTTCGAGATGATTTTCTGTGTTTGTCGAGGTGTTAGGTGGGTTGACAGGCCGACACGACTCTTGCTGTTCTCCTGGTTAGGTTATTCTTGAAATAACTGATCTTTAGGCCTTTGCTTTGATGAGGATGTCTTAACCCTTTACACTCTAACATCAGTAGACATATTCTTCATACTGTTCTCTATATATTTCCTAAGGTGCTGACAAGGAGAATTTGTTTAACAATCAAGAGCTTCTATCAATAGTGATCATTTTGTTTTTTCTTGTGACCTTTCTGTGTGATTTGGGGATGACATTGTAAGGAGAAATTAGATGCTAGTCACTTGAAGGGGTTCAAGGGTTAAATGATTTTCCCCTTTTTTTATGAAACCAAGGCAGACCACACTATGTCTTTGTGGAATGTATGCGCCATGTTTGCTGCACGCTTTTTTCTAAGGCTCTGTTCTATCCTATGTTTTCTCGATTTTCCTGCGTTGTGGCTGGGGAGGTTCGATTACCATCCGAGCCAGAACAAAGATCACCAGATTCCTGACGACCATATGGGGCTTTTACGACACGATAGCTCAATTCCTACGCGATTTTTTGCTGTGACCCTTAAAGTATAAGAACCACGAGAACCAGAGAACTACCGAGAACTACACAATTACCGTTTTATCAGTATTATATTTATGCGAAGTCCGATGGTAAGCGACTCATGACGTCAGCTGTGGCTATTACACCGGAGATCAGCCCTTAAAGTGGTTTTCAAGCGTAACGAGTGTGAAACTAATTCGAACTTGAACCTTCCTATTAGCAGAACTACAAGACATGGTACCACCGTCTTGGCTCTTCCTAGCCGAGATTTCTAGATGGACTTGACTCTCCATATGGATATAGAGGCTAACCCTGGCCCGGACGAAGACGCCGTTGCGACAAGAAGAGAAAGTTCACTGGAACCGTATTTAAATTATTGCACCACCACAACAATAGCCTATTCAAGGAATCAATTACTCAATCTCAGATCGAAATATTCCATCTCTCAAGACCTCTTACGTCTGCTTAAGAACCAGGACATCTTCAAAAGCAGGGGAGGCCGCGCCGGAGTTTCATTCCGAAACAAGATTTTCAATATGTTATAGGCCTAAGAAGGATTCCAGATTCAACCAAGTAGGTTCAATGTAAACAAAGCCAGATCGCCCGTTCATCCACCAGAGATTATTGACTCAGACCGAATTCAAGATTCTCACAGACTTAAAGTTCTTCATCTAAATATTCGTTCGCTCCGAAATTCTGAACACTTTAACCAACTTAAAGAACTGAATAAAAGAGGTAAATTCGATGTTATTACCATCTCTGAGTCCTGGCTGAACACGAGCGTTTCATCGTTGGAGGTGAACTTGGAAGGATACAAGCTCTCAAGACTTGATCGGCTCCACATGGGAGGGGGAGGCGTTTGTGTCTATATTCGCAATAATTTGAAAGCTAAGGTTTTAAAAGATCTTTCATCAATTTCCGAGAGAAATTTCCACCAACTCTGGATAAGTCTTCAGTGGAAGAAAACACAGTCAATTGTGGTGTGTACAACCTACCGACCAGATGACTGCCCCCTTAGTGCTTTCGAGGATACCCTGAAACCTACTAACATGTAAGCACTGACGCTTAACAAACCCATCGTGATCCTTGTGGATTTAAACTGTGATCTACGGAAAGCCTGCGCGGAGAGCAGAGCGTTAAACAATTTCTCGTCTGAGATGAATCTTCAACAACTCATTAAGCATCCAACAAGGATTACAGCTACAACTAAGCCCCTGCTCGATGTTATTTTGGTGTCCTGCCCTCGGTCGGTACGTGGTAGCGGCGTGATCAACTACTCCATCAGTGATCACCTGCCAGTTTTTGTAGAGCTTAAGGTGAAAGCACCCAAGCCTTCGCCCCACTATATAACAGCACGTAGTTATAAGAACTATGAGCCGGGCGCATTTACCGCTGATCTTGCTAACCAATCAGACCAGCTCCTGTCCATCTTTAGCTGCGGTGATGTGGATACCAAACTTAACACTCTCAATGATGTTGTTGGACGCACGTTGGACTTGCATGCTCCCGTCAGAACAACCAGGATTCGTCATCGCCCTTGTCCATTTGTATCAAGAGGCATTAAACAACTCATGAAAACAAGAGACCTACTTCACCGCAATTTTTTTCAGTCTCGCGACCCCTCGGATTGAAGTAAATATAAAGAATCCAGGGATACCATCAAAGAAATACTGAGAGAAACAGAGCGGAATTATACTTTTCTTTAAGTTCATCATAACAAGAGCAATCCTAGTTCACTCTGGAAAGTAATCAATCGCGTTATTCCATCAAAGAACAAAGAGCCTCAACGAGTTTATACCAAAGACCTGAAGACAGTCGCCGATGAGTTTAATGTATTTTTTACGTCAGTTGGTAAGATTGCAGCCTCGCTGCTAGTCATCTTGCAGAAATTAATAACATCACTTGGTCAGAGCAGCAGTTACCATGACCGCCTGCTGGAGATCTTTTTGACTTTAAGCGTGTGTCGTGTGAAGAGGTGCGACGCATTATTTCATCTTTGCCGCTAAACAAGTCTCCAGGCCCTGACAAAATACATACTCGAGTGTACAGGGATTGTTGAGCGTTAGCCTTTCGTCAGAGCGATTGACGAAGGGCTAACGCTCGAAACGTCAGCTTTTTTACCCTTTACGGTGGCTAATTTACGTTTTCAACTCGGTTGTTAACACTAAATTACCTGCGAGTAAAAAATAGTTTTGATGGGAAAACTCTCGAACAATTAATATCATCGTTAGTCTTCAGTAAAATGCTGTACTGTTCGACAGTGTGGTCCAATACTTCTACGACCAACATCAAGAAGTTAAAACTAGTGCAAAACTTTGCTTGTAAAATTGTTACTAAGACTAGAAAGTTCGATCATGTGACCCCTCTATTACGCGAACTAGACTGGCTCTCTGTAGATCAGCTTTATTTTTCAGAGCCACTGTCATGACTTATAAATGCATGAACCATCTTGCCCCTAGGTACTTGAGTAGTAAGTTTGTTAAGAGATCGGACATTCATAATCGTAGGACACGAAATCGTGAAGCTCTACAGATTCCATTCTTTAGGTCAGGGTCTGGTCAGCGGTCCTTTGCCTTTAGAGGGGCGGGGCTCTGGAACAATATATCTCCAGAATTAAGACAGTGTGCCTCCCTAAAGGCATTTAAGGAGAAACTTAAGAGTCACATTCTTGCAAACAGCTATTAGTTTTGATATAATTAGTGATATTAATGTAAATAGTCGTTAGTTTTTGATATTATTGATTTGATGAAGTTATGTAAATAGATGCTGAAAAGCCCCTTTGGGGAGTACCTATTAAAGTTTTCTTTCTTAATAATTGTTGACATGAGACGAGGGTTATGAATAAAGCCCTGAAAATTGCATATCTAAATTACAACTCCGGCTTAATGTCTCAATAAAGTCAAATGAAATGCTAATCGGGGCATTTGTGATATTTTTCAGCCTTCATGAGCCGTTTGAAGCGTCTTTTTACGAAATTACTTTCGGCCTGAGGCCGTTAAGAGAAAAGGAGACTGCGTTTGGCTCGGTTTTGAAGCGCGGTGGGCTGTCACGGGAAGTTGCTGCACTGTATGGTAAATTTAAAACGGCCTGCATGCTTCAAATACCTTTGGTCGCTGAGTTTGGCACCGATCATATCGAGAAAGCTACAATAATTACAATGCAGAATAAAAAGTGAACTATACAAATTTGACACGCTCTCATCAAGGTAATTCTTAAATTCGGCAAGATACATAATATCAGGCATATCAGGGAGGAGCTGATTCCATTATCAAGCAGTTCTTGGGGAAAAAGAAAATTTGAAAACGTCTTTCTTACAGTTAGGTTCAAGAAACTTAAGCCTATGGCTATTCCTGGTACGGGTCTCTTTACCGAAATTAAAAAAACCGCTAATCTCAATGTCAACTAAACCGTGAATAACTTTATAGATTATGATCAAGCGAGATCTTATTCTCTTTTATACAAGGGTGCAAAGTTCTAATTTTTCCAGCATGGACGTGACGCTTGACGACCAGTCATGATCGTTTCTACAGAAAGGGACTGATACTCTTTGCACTCCCTCCAGTCTGAAAATGTCGCATGTCGCATGACAATGTGGGTCCCAAGCAATGGACGCGTACTCGAGCTTAGGCTGGACTAAGGTAACATATAACGTCTTTTTGATGCTCTCTGTACAAAACCAGAAATTTCTCTTAACTAAGCCTCACATTGTTGGCGGTGTTACAAATATGATTTATATTTTCCTTCCATCTAAGTCTATTATCTATTTCAACTCCTAAGTATGGATGGGAATTTGCGTATTCTAAAATTTTGCCACAGAAGTAAAATTTTGCAAGGGATGACGGTTCGCGCTTAAGTGAGACGCACATAGCATTTCTTGGGGTTAAATTCCATCTGCCACATTGACTGCCATTTCTCAAGACTGCACGAGTCATCCTGGATTTTCTTATCATGTAAAGGGTCCACTATTGAAACCTACAATAGAAAGTCATCAGCAAATAACCGAGCGCTACAATAGATGTTTGATGGTAAGTCAATGATATACATTGAAGAAAGCAGAGGCCCCAAAACAGTGCTCTCTGAGACACCAGAAGTGACCTTTGACCTTGTGGAGAAGTTTCCATCGCGCTGGTATCGCTCAGTAAGGAAACACTTGATCCAAAACAATATAAGGCCACGGATACCATAAAAGTGCAGTTTTTGTTAAAAGCGGACGTGAGGGACTTTATCAAAAGTTTTAGGGAAATCAAGACTGTCCAGTGATACAAATGCATTCGTATCCAGGACTTTTGCTATGTCATGAAAAATATAAACGAACTGTGTTTCCGTTGAGCGTCTTCACCTAAAACCATGTTTCGAGTCTACTAGAATGTCGTGCCTTTCAAGATATTTCACTTTATGACTGTGAAGAATATGTTCCATAATTTTATATACTGTACAAGTCAATGAAATAGGTCTATAGTTTTCCGGGTTGGATCTACTTCCTTTCTTGAATACAACGCAGATGTTAGCCTCTTTCCATTGACTTGGTAGTATACCGCTTTCCAAGGACGATAGGAAAATAAGTTAGAGATACGTGCGATTTCGTCGGCAGCCAACTTAATTAGCCAAGGATTAAGGTCGTCACGGACCAGGCGCTTCATCGTCCTTTAAAGATTGCAGTTGTTTCTTGACACCATTACAGCTGAATATTAATGGATCGATTTCCGGGATAATGCTAGGCCCAAGAGACGGGATGTTATTCATGTCTTCAGACACATAGACGCTGCAGAAATGGGAGTTCAGGGCTTCCGCCTTAGCTCGCGCATGAGAGAGAAGTTTGCTGCCGACCTCCAGGTTTGCTACTGCCAACTTGTTTGTTCATGTCAACAATTATTTACTACAAACACATAGAGTGGTCTGTTTGTGTTTTTATCCTCCGCCCATAGGAAAATACTGTATTAATAGTTCCGTCGTCGAGGATTAGGGATGATTTTCGGCCATTCTGTCTTTTAGGATTTGGGGTAACTTTCCGCCATTCTGTCACCCCTAGCGTTCCGATTTTTAAGGTCGTCCTTTTTTCAGGCCTTATTTTCACTACTGCTTAGGTATAGTGCTCATTACTGCGAGGATCGCTTTCATATTCATTTCTTAAACAGCAGTTCGCATATATGATTTTCATACATTCGCAGTCACCGATTTATCACTCTACAGGTTTATTATGAACCAACATAATGACCAACTCCCAGTTGGTTTTTTAGCTCAGTTGGTAGAGCACTGCACCGTTATCGCAGAGTTCACAGGTTCAAATCCCCTACAGGCCTGAAGTTTTTTTAAGCCTTATCATTACTGCTTAAGTAGTGCTCATTACTTCGAATACCGCTTTCATATTCAGAAATCTGCTTTGTTTCTCCTTGAACGATATACTTATCCTGACGAACGGGTGTTCGATAGCGCGGGCTCATACTTCACAATTAGAGGACGTCGACAATGATCAGCCAATCAGCGAGGTCGTAGTATCTTGGAGTATAGTGCCACATCACAGAGGCTAAATGGTCTTACTTTTGTAGCATTTGCACTGGTTTTATCGTTTTGATTTTCATCCAAAATGTCCTGGCTAAGTAGTAATTTTACAGATAGTCTATCAAGTATTTCGAATTTCACTGGACAGATTTCTTCCTTCACTCGTGAAATGTTAACAGAAGGAACAGAGGAGGTCTCAGGTAAGCTGGAGCCGACCCTCAAATTTTCGGAGTTTTTCACTTCAATTTCGTGTGATCTTCTCGCAACCTTTCCCTTTTTATTGGCTCATCAGTAATACTGAATTGCAGCGAAGTATTTTGCAAAGTCTTCGTTTTTAGTTTTTTCTCAAAAGGACTCGGATAACTGTTTACATATTTACATGCACACTTACGACTACTTCCTAAGGATATATTTTAGCATTAAGCTATGAAAGCGTTTCTTCTTATTTACAGACCCTTCAGCAGAGCTTCAAGTTGCACAGGGTCGAATAAATGAGCTCGAATCACATATTATTACTCAAAAGGCCGAGGTAAGTATCTTTGTGTCGTGTAAATCATTACTCTTTCGATTTTGAATGGGTGTTGAAGTAAACACTTAAACCTGATAAGTTATCACGATGCATAACCAATTTTTTCAATAGCACTTAGATAATTTTGCCTTCATAGACAACATAATTAAAGTATTGTGAGTTAAAAATAGAGTATAGTAAAAGAAGGGTACAGTATGAAATTGAGATATTTGTTTATTTCTCAAAGATTACTTTCCATTTTCAGATATGTTAGTTTAATTTGTATTGTAACATATATCACAGTAGCTAGTGTTTTGTTATTATTTGTTCTTTTTGTGATTGTCGTTGGGTCAATTAGATTTTGCTGTTTTATCAACCATAGTATGTCTGAGATTACACTAAATTATTGATTGGTTTATTTGATGAAATGCAGAACAGCAGTAAGCTTTTCTGCAGACTTCCCTGACCTGAAAACATGCAGGGAAAAACTTACATTTTGGCAACCCTATTACCTTTAACAAGCTAAAATCAGTATCCATATTCTCTAAACTATTTTCTATATGTATCCTTTGGTACTGACAAGGAGAGTTTGTTTATCCATCAAAGCTTCATAGGTTGGTGATAATCTCCTTAATTCTCATGATCTTAGTGAATAACTCAGCAGTATTACTATGAGCAGAATTAGGTGCTGGTTACTCTTATTCTTTAAAGGGTTAACAGGTTGTTGTTTCATGTTTATTAGTATGAAAGACTGAGGCAAAGTAATGATGAACTTCATGTGAGACTTGAAGCAGCAGAGCTTCAGACAAGCAGCATATCGAGGGATTACAGGGCACAATTGCACAGTAAAGAGGTAATCAGGGTTCAGGTCATATGGTTTTAACTATCAACTTGTTTTGAAGCAGATGGTGTTTTGAACAAGAAAAAATTTGGAAACTGAAACTGAATTTGCATAATAAGAAACATTTGGTAAGCTTTTAGCTTTTAAAAAGTTGAATTCAAGTCTGAGACTGAGATAAAGTAAATTTGATTGGTTTTAATATTTCCCATCTGTTTGGCACTATGCACTGGGAAACTTTTTACAATAACTCTGAATCTAGAAAGTGGCGTACAAATGTCCTATGCACCCAGAGAGAGGAGAGACAGTTATAATCAGAATGCATTTGAAATATTTTTTTGTGTAACAGGGAAGTCATTGCACAATCTTTGTTTCACCTCTCATGTGCCTTTCTTAATTCTTTTTGTTCTGATTGAACAGGAAGAATTAATAAAATTGAGAGAACTCAGAAGATTTCATGAGGAAAATGGCCATAATCTTGGAGGTAGAGAGAGGCATGACTCTACTGACAGTATTGAAGATTCCATGGAGACAAAAAGATTACATAGTGAGATCTCAAAACTGCAAGCTGAATGCCAACACTGGAAATCCATAGCAAATGGAGTGGTAAGTGGGAAGAGGAAAGAAAAACAGAGGCTTCATGACATCAATGTTTACCTGCCATGATCTGATCAAAAATTCTCCATTCCCACTGCCACACTACATTTCCTTGTTTATGAGACAGGGGAATTTGATAGTAAATCAAATTATTATCCTCAAGCAAAAATGTCATATTGAAACTTCACATCTGGAAATTGAAGTCAACCTCTTAACCCTTCTGCTTCTAGAAGTGATTAACATGTAACTTCTCCTTGCAATTCCAATAAGTTATGTTGTGAAAAGGTAATGAGAACAGATTAGTTCAATAGGCAGGAGGGTTATATTTTGGAATGAGTCCAAATTCTCCTGTGTTATTCGCAAGGGAAAGTATGATAGTAAGTATGGAGAATTGCCAATTGGATCGAGGGAGTTACAGGTTAACTAAACAGTGCATGATCTCAGTGACATAATGTATAGTTGTATGATTTTTTATGATTTTTTTAATGATTTGATGATGTATGGGAAGTAATTTTTTATGTTCCCATTTTTCTTCCATTTTGAATACATTCTTGTTTATACATTTCATGTAACAGGAGAATCAGGATAGACTGCACAAAGAAATAGATCAGTATCAACACGAATTGACTGCACTGCAGAGTAGCTACTCACAAAAGATTGCTAATCTGAACAAAAAGCATAAACAAGAATTACAAAACTGGCAGGATGAGAAAGAAGAATTTTTACAAAGGATTGAAGAGTTGGAAGAGAGCCCTCTTAAGTACAGTGGTATGTTTGTTTTGAATGTTTAGGGTCCACTTGTGATCCAGAGTCTGTCATAGCTTTCAGTGGTACATCTTGGTCAGTGTAGGTGTGAGGTTCATGCTGTTTGTTCAGGATTGATTTTCTGAAATTTAAAAGAATTGAAATAAGGTTATTCACCAATCTGGGGATCTTCAAAACTGATCATGCATTATGCTTTTATGGTGCTTTCAATGCAAACATTTAACAAGTATTCTTATAATGCACTGTTTAATTTCCTTTTTCTTTCAGAAACTGAGAGTTTTGGTTATTTGGAGAAGGATTTTGATCAAACAAATGACAATACAGATGTAGTGTTGTCTCTAAAGAAACAGTTAGCCACTGCAGAGGAGTTCATTGCTGAACTTGAAAACCAGATTAAAACTCAAGAGCAGCAGATAAATGCTTTGAATATCCAAGTCCAAGACAAAGAACAAGCTATTTTCACAATGCAAAAGGATTTCACTGACTTGCAAACTAAACTGCAAGATGCAGGTTCAGTGCATGATCAAGCTTTGTCTGACTATGAAAGTAAATTAAATCTGAACATGAGTAATGTGGAAAAACTCCAAAAACAGCTGGAAGATCAAAGGAACGAAATGCTGGGTTTGAGATCTGACTCTGAAGGCCTTTGTAAATTACGAGAGGAGCTCAACTTTGTTGCGGCAGAAAATGCAGAATTAAAGAAACATCTAAGCCATAGCTATGCGGAGGAGAGGAGACTTCATCGCTCTGTGGAGGAGGTGAAGTCTGAGCTAGAACAACTCAGTTCTTCAACCATGGAATTAATGGAAGAACTTCAGTTATCTCAGGATCTTCAACAAGAACAGAGCATTGAACTGGATAATTTGAAGAAGGTGAAATACATCAAAGGAGATGCCAAGAAAGAGATGGGGAAATTAAGGAATGCTCTGGCTGGTAGGTGATAAAATTCTATAAATGCAATTCACTAATAAATCTGTTACAGCAGTGTGCTGTCTTAGATTTACATATACAATGAGTTGGTTTGTAAGGATTCACACACTCTGCTCATGAATAAGTTGTATAAATGTGAGAAAAGATTAGTGTTTGTACTGTGTGTATGATAATAATTACACACACATGTAAAATACATGTAGAGCTAAGTGATATCCATTTTTTACCTCTGCAGCTCTGTGGGAGCGCCATCTGTGCCTGGTGCAGCTTTACCAGCAGGTCAGACATGAGTTGAACAACAGTAACACGAGGCTATTGGCCGTGTTCCAGGCTCAACATGTAATGCACCTCTCTTAACAGGGTGCTGTGCAGGGGAGAGGGGTGGGGAGCTTTGCTACCTGACTCTAATGTCACTTTTCTTACTCGTTAAATTCTAAATATTTAACTGGAATTTGTTCCAGTTAACAAGCTTAGAAAAACCAAATATGAGTGAGCATTTTAGACCTTTCATGTAACTTTGTAACTCTAAGTAAGTACTTACTGACTAACTAGCTAATAACTTTTTTAATTGCTGTTTAACATGATTAAAAATGAAAATGGGCTCGCACAGCTTTAAAAATTTCTTCTGAAAAGTTTTTGTTTCAAATTATTTATTGTTATGGACTTGGAAAAACAAATTCCAAAATTTTCTAGGATTTTCTTGTCTGATTTGTAGCTTTAGGGTTCGAATATAATGGATAGATTACTATGGTAAAATTCTTATCAAGCAAATCAGTCACCGATAGTGCAAACAACAGTACAAGCTTTTTTGCGTTTGTAGTTTCTAGTTAAAAATGTTTCCCTTTTTATTTTTCTAAAATTTTCGGTCTTTTGGTAATACTTCCGCTCACTTTGGTGAGCGTTTTTTCTTGGAGCTTTTTCTTTGCGTTTGCATTTTATCCCCCTTATCTCATGCAAAGTGTCCTGGCACTCATCTTTTCCTGCACAGCCCCCTTAATGTCATACGTGTCTTATTAAGCTTTCATGTCTATTATAATAGTTTTTTTCTTCCACATGCTATAGTTAAAATATGCATCATGGCCATTTTGTTAACCCTCACGTAATAGCAAATTAACCAGTAGTCTTGATATCATAACGCACGATTTCCTCTCACGTCTTGGTCGCAAGGTAATCGGTATGTCTCCAAATTCTGTTTTTGTTATAGATGCTTTCTGGAATGATCTGAGAGTTATGGCTATTAAAACAACAATACCCATAGTATAAATTGCTTTTGACAAAGACATCAGTTGCTGCTCGTTTTTTAGTTCTTTATATTTTTCTTGTTTTATGTTTTGTGTTTTTTTGGAAAACAATGACAACAGTTCATAACTTTGTACAGAATCAAAGGAATTTTTCTTTCTTAAACGTTTTATCTGCGCATTTTATATTTTTCAGCTAATGATGATATGCTTTTCATATCAACAGCTCAGCACTAACAGTGTCCGTGATGACCTGAAAGTCCTTCAACAAAGACTGGAAGATCGTAACCAGGCTAAACTGGATCATATCGAGAAAGAGAAGGAAGCCATGATGAGCAAATCAACGGAGCTTCGAGTTGCGGTAGAGGAATTAGAAGGTGGTGTAATGGACCTGCAATCAGACAATGAACAGGTGGCACAAGAAACGAAATACTGTGTCACTGAGATAGGAAGGCAACAGGGGATTGATGAAGATGAAAGAAACGACATTGTGAGATCACTGATGGCTGAGAAAGCTGTTTTGGAGAGCGCTATTGTCGGGCTGCAGCAGAAGCTTCAAGATCAACGAGAGTGTTTCGATTCAACGCAGAATAAGATCAACGAGGGCGTCGATGGTGTGGACAGCAGGTCAGGCTCGGCCGAGAGTGTGGCCAGTTTCACAGGTAGCACACCACGTGACCCTGAATTATCCATTGATATGGGAGATCTCAGGAGAATTAGCGACACCTCCATTGAGCCTGAGATAAGGCAGGAAACTGAGGTATTACAAGAAACTGCTGTCCTCTCAGGTAACGAGATCGCAGTCAGCCAGGAATTAGCGCTTTCTGAGCTGAAGCAACAGCTCCAAGATTACCGACAGCAGTTGGAAGAGTTCGAATTGGCCCAAAAGGATTGGGAAGGAGAAAAGGATGCTCTTGAAGGCCTGGTGTTGAGTCTTAGGCGCCAGGTAAAGGAGTTGCAAGTATTCTTGGGTAACAGCCACGATGAAGAGGAAATTTCGCGACTTCGACAAGAAAACGATCACATCTCGTCAAAAAACAAGCATCTTGTGGAGGCGTGGCAGATGTTAGAGAAGGAGTTTGTCTCTCTTGACATCAGTAGTTCATCTGCAGGAAATGATTCTGAACTTGATGGGGATCGAATGCAGTTACTACGTGAAGACCTGAATAAATGTGTAGAGAAGTTAAGAGAAGATAACTCTCTTGTACGAGAACAGACAGAGCAACTTATTCAACAAATTGACGAAAAAACATCTATGCTAAATGATTTGCAAAGTAAGCTTGAGGCGAAAAATGATGAAGTTAAAAGCATCTCTGATGAAAAGAGAGATTTGATGATGATGATCAACGAGCGAGACGAGAGAATTTGTGAAATTGAAGAAAGCTTTAATAATCATTTGTTAGACTTGACCAGCTCAAAGGATAATGAGATGAGCCTTCTTCAAACAGAGCAAGAAGATTTGGTTAAACTCTTGGAAGAAACTCGACAAGAATGCTCCTTACTCCGAGGCAAGAATAACGAGTTGCTTGATATCATGGGACAGAATCAACAAAGTCAACTTGAATCTACCGAGGAGAAAAAAGGTTTAGAGTTGTTATTAACTGAAAAGGGCAAACAACTCGAGAACGTAAAAGAAGAAAGAGAAAATTTCGAAAGAATGGTTCAAGAAAAAGAAAAACGAATTGAGTCACTTGTTGCTGAGAACAACAGTATGTTGATGGAAAAAGAAGTTCTGCAAAGTTTAATTGAAGAATACAAAGAGAAGGCAAAAGTTCAGGAAAAACAGACCACAGAGAGATCTAACCTTGTAAAGGAAATTGAGCAGCTAAATCATAAAATTCAAATGACCGAGGCCAGATGTAGCGACCTGGATGGAAAACAAATGGTTCTTTTGCGAGAAAAAGAAAATCTAGAACTCGAACTTCAACAGAGCGGTGCGAAGGTGGACAAACTTAATTCTGAACTCAAAGAGACATCTGCAGAGATTGAAGTGTTGAAAGAAGAGAAGAGCAAGCTTGTTGTGGCGGCTGAAAGTCATTTCAAGAGTTGTAAGGAGTTAGAGGAGAAATTGTTGGTGAGCATCGCAGAGAAGGAAGAAATATCGAAACAACTGGGATTTAAAGACTTACAGGTCGATAAGCTGGAACTTGATCTAAGAGAAAAAGGGGCTGACATAGATCTGCTTAAGTTAGATATGGCAAAGTTGTCCAAAGCACTGAAAGAGAAGGAGCAGGTCATTCATACTCAAGTCGTAAATGCTTCAAACGCTGGAGCGCAAGGCGTTGATGATGCAATGTATCGACAGGCGCAGCTTTTGAGGCTACTAGAGGAGAAAGATCAGGAAATAACAGCTCTGAAACAGAAGGACGCTTCTTTGATTGAACTTGTGAATCAAACGGATCAGAACAATCATCAGGTACGAGAGGCATATGAAGGCAAGCTACAACAACTCAGGGAGGAGAGGGATAGGTTGTTAGATGACTTGAATCTGCGTAATGAAGAGCTATTGACTTTTGAAGACAAACTTGACGCCATGAGAGAGAAAATGAATAGTAAAGATCAAGCTTCACACTTACTGCACAATGAGCATGCGCGACTGCTTGCTTTGAACGAGTCTCAAGCGAATGAGATGGGGAAACTGAGAGAGAGGAACTCAGCACTGCAGAAACTTGTTGAAGAGTACAATAGGAGTAGAAGTAGTGAGTCGCAACGACTGCTCGAGGACAACGACCAGCTAAGACGTCAAATACACGGGCTGCAAGTTGAACACGAAACTTTAACAACTCTTGTTCAGGAGAAAGACAAACAGATTTCCACTCTAGCGCTGTTGGGGAGGACAGACTCTTCAGAACCATCCCCACAAGGGATGGAACCACAGTTGAGGAGACTTCGGGAAGAGAGAGCGGTGTTATTACGAGAAAGAGACTCAGCATTAAAAGAAAAAGAGCTGAAAGACTTTGAAATATCAAAGCTACAAGAAGATCAGCTATCTGCGAGTCAAACATTTGAAGAGAAATGTCATTTAGCGGACAAATTGCTGGCTGACAATGAGGATCTCTCTAGACAGTTGGTCAATCTACGATCAGAACTGAGTGAACTCTCCCTGGAAAAATCAAATTTAGCAAGGAGTGACAACAGATTGAAAGAATTAGAAGAACAGATAAATTCGTTTAGGAATGTTGTAGAGTCCAAGGACAGAGAACTAAAACAAGTTCTAGATAACAGTCGAAATGAAAAAAGCTCCATGTTAGTTAAACTAGAAAACGTCAAAAGCGAAAGAGACGATATTCTTGAGCAGAAATATCTTGAAACACGCGAGTTGAAAAACAAAATTTTACAGCTTGTACGCTCGGTAACAGACTCTGAAAGCAATGAGGAGGAAAATGTTGACAACATCGACATTAATTTTCAATCATTGCTTCATACAGTAAAAAACCAACGGAACAGCGCTCTCAGGGAACGAGATAATGAAATTCAATCTTTGCGGGAACAGCTTTCGAACGTGACATTGCTAAACAAAACCACTGAGACTCATGGATCAGAGTTAGAGCATGTATTGCGTGACAAAGAAGAGTTACACAGGATGTTGTTACAGTCACGCAATGAGAAGGAAGACTTGTTGCGCGAGAACGAGTCGACTGTAGCAGAATTACAAGATCAGATCGTGAGTCTCAGTCGAGCGGTTAGCGAAAAGGACCGTTCATCACATCAAGACTTACAGCGGGTAATCCAAGAGAAAGAACGTATTGTAAATGAGCTAGAGCAAGCACAGAGAGATAGAGAAGAGGTTAGTAATGCCAAAACACAACAGCAAGGTGAGATAAACAGACTACAAGCTGAGCTGCACGATCTTAAAGGTGTTCTTACTCAAGAGCGAGCGACCACTACCACTCTTCACAGAGAGGTGGATCAATACAAGATGGCGATGCAGGAGAAAGAGAGGATTGTCAAGCACTTTACGGTTGAGAGGGAACAGCTACAGAGGACACAGGAGAAATTGCAATTCCGCATTCAGCAACTTCAAGAGGAACTGACTGCTGCTAGTAGTGGACAGAAGGTGGCTGAAACTAAGATGGCTCAGGAATTGAACCGCCTCAGAAATCACCTGGTACAGGTATGGCAAACCTCCCCCTCCCCCCCTCCGTGAAATACGATATGGTCCATCGTGGAAACGAATGTCCACACTCGAAGAGAGTTTCGCAGTGAACTCAATAAGGTCACAAAAATGCATTGGTTCTCATTCGTAGATTTGTGCGGGAATAGATCATCTCCTTTAACTTTCGGTTTTTTTAGCCTGTCAGACACACCTAAAGTTTAAAATAAGTTGTATCAGACTTGATAAGCAATTTGTCACTCGCTTTCAGGTTGAAGAGAGCTACACACGCGAGGCCCTCGAGGCCGAGGAGCGAGAAAAGGACCTGAGGATGAAGTTGGCTCGTGCAGAAGAACAGCTGTTGTCAAGTTCACATTCCATGCTGGACAGAGAGTAAGACACAACGCATAATAATGCGAAATACAATCCACTTTTACTAATAGTTGCGTCTGTGGTAATGATTGACTTACTCTGTTAGTTCAAGCGCAAGAAACCAAACTGAACAGGCCGAAACAGACGTTTAAAAAATGTCGTCAGCTACTCAGAAATAGAACAAAGTACTAAACGATCAACTAACCATCAAAACAAATGGTTTGAAACCGAAAGAGAAGTGAATCAATATTTTTAAGGGTGATGCTCCAACCATAAGAGCCTTACTGGGTCTGAGCGTTCACAAGGGGAACGCAAAACACTATATGGGATTTCCGAAGTATAAATTGTCACACAGCATTCTCAGAGTGTAAAAAGTGCATATCTGATCCGGTATTTTGACAACTGGTTTTGATTAAAGCTTCTGTGACTTTTTTAGTCGTCAAGCGTCTGTGCAGATTGAAAGCCTCCAGGAACAGCTCCAGGCCATAGCAGCTCAACGTGACCGTGCGGTCATGGATCTAGCCTCGGTTCAGGAGCAGGCACATCAGTACCAGACCGCTCTCAACAACCTACAGCTTGTTCTTGAACAGTTCCAAAGAGGTAGGATTTCTATTTAAACAGTGTAGATTGTGGTGTAGGTACTTGTTTTTAACGCACAGGTTTTTATTGTTCCATTTAGAGCGCGAATCTCAACTGAGAGCTACCCAAGAAGAGGCTCAGAAACGAGTTGATGATGCCTGGGCACAAGTTAAAGAGCTTCAGCAGAGAGAAAATCATCTGAAGGTGCGCAGTGTTAGCCGGGAAGAAAAAATGTTCTCAGTGTGATGGTTGTGCATGGCAGCTCTCAAATGGCTTTTTTTTTCCTTTCTTTCTTAGAGTCAGCTAGAAATGGCTGCTCGTATAACGCAAGAAGTGGTGAACATCCGAAACCAACTGAAAGCCAAAGATGAGGAACTACTTCATTCTAAGGAAGAGGGTTTGTTTCATTATTTTTCAAGGTTGCGCGGTTTTGCGCAATCTTTTTTTTATCGTCTCTCGAAGGTAATCCAGAATTGGATCAGTTTTGCCTCGATGCGCTCAGTTATTGGTCCAGAAAACTCGCGCAATACTCAGCCAGTTAGATAAAAACTCCAACCAACCAACTAATCGCGACTCGGTCACTACCGTGTTTTTCCCAAGCTTCACGCAGTTTGCTTGCTTTTGCTTTGTGGTATGAAACGCTCCTTGTCATATTCTCTTTTAGTCTGATGTGCTGTAGTGATTACATCGGTTTTGGTTTTGCGACAATCAAATAAAATTTGCTTTATAACCGATGGTTTCTTGGCTTCTATCTGCTGATTTCTTATTGTTATCATTTCGATAGTTACCCGACTGGAAGAAGAATTACGTGTCGCTCATGAGAGAATCAACAGCCTAAACAGCTTGTCAGACGGCAAAGTTGAGAAGTGAGTATACAGAAAACTGATTCATTTTTCTCTCATTTAGTACCGCCTTATTTCGAGACATATTCTGCTCTCTGTTGCTTATGGATTAATTGTCTTCAATATATGAATTCTTTCTCGCTCTCTTTCCATAGATCGCTGGTGAAAAACATGCTGATGGGATATTTTAATACATCGGAAAACAAACGAATGGATGTTGTACGAGTCATTGGAGGTTTGCTTGGCTTCACACACGAGGAGCTGGATAAGGTATCACCATGTAGCTCGTGTGTTTTATATTGTCGTAGTTTTTCGATGTTTTAGTTCTTTTGTTTTTCCTTTTTATCAGGTCGGGACTGGATCCTCACCTCCCACAGGATCATGGATCTCCAACTTAATTCCGTTCGGTCCCAGTGCCCCCAAGACTCCCACAAGGACAACCGCCTCGGCATCAAAGGTATGAAAGAGAAATTATGTACCTTAGTGGACTCAATTCTTGTCAATACAGCTAAAAACTGAAGTAGTACTTGACTTATACGGTGCTTCACTACACACTATGAAATTTTTTGTTTTCAGTCGTTTTCAGAGTTGTTTGTAAGTTTCCTGGAGAGTGAGTCTGAAGTGCCTCGTTCCATTGGTGAGGCAAGCGGACGAGTGACCAATCCTCTTCTGTCTGGTATGACACCACAGCAATCTACAGCTAGTCACGTGCCAAGAGGACTACCAATGGCAACTTCGACTCCTATTGGTACCCCATCCAGAGGTAATGCACCTCCCCTCCCACAGTCTGCTGTGTCACGTCCTACTTTTTCAGCACCCGGCGAGGGTGTAACGAGGTAAGTTATTCAGGAAATGAAATAGGTAAATACATCTGATGAACCAAACAAATGAATATAAGACAATGTAGTAGTGGCACACAGTGACTGTATCCACTCTTTCTTGGTGAAAATGAATTGTTGGTTTCTATGGAAAGTTGAAAACCGGGGAATCCAGAACAAAACCTTCGGAGCAGGGTCAGGAACCGTCATGCCTACAGAAATATTGCGAACTTGTAGCGAATTTTTCACAAACCTTACTCAGGCCATTAAGTAGTTGTAAGAGCCATTCGGTTTTCACAAGTGACAGAGTCTTTATCTCTCTATCTCACAGAGCTAATACGTCAGTGACCAGTGGGAACCCTGTGCTTGTGGGTTCACTCCCACCCGTCCAAGCTAATTCGTCAGGCACCAATGGGAACCCTTTACTTGTGGGCTCACTCACACCTGTACAAAATCTGCCAGCCCTCAGTGGGTCCAGCTCTTTACGGACCCTACTTGAGGGACGGACGTAGTATAATGAAGTCGCCGCACAATAACGTCACAGCGTCGCTATTCTTAAAATCCGCTGATACGAGACGTGCGGGCCTTTAAAATGAGTCGAGTTGACTACAAGTCTTCTGAAACCACTCTAATTAGATATTAATCCCTACGTTAAACCATATTTCCGACAAATCTAGGACCTCTTGGTCGAGAAAGAATAATTAATTATACATTTAGTTTTTAGGTAGCGTATTGAATCTACATTCTGAGAATGCCTATTGGGTTTTCCCAGTTTCGAGTTCAATAATCAAAATAAAAAAAGATGCGGTGAATATTATGGTTTGTTGTTTGTTGTTTCACTATTTCACGTCACAAAGTTGCATACTTTATAATTAGGTAAGTTTGTTTTATTAACTGGGTTGATAACGTGAATTGGCCGCCGTAAAGAGTTTCAAAACCCGACGTTTCGAGCGTTAGCCCTACGTCAGAGCGAATGGAATCCACACACGCAACCCACAATTCCTCCATTTGCTCTGACGAAGGGCTAACGCTCGAAACGTCAGCCTTTGAAACTCTTTACGGTGGCCAATTTACGTTACCAACTCAGTTAATAAAAAAAAAACACCATCTCCACACAACCTTAAAAATTCCCATAAATTTTCAAAGTTCCGTGGGTGTTTTTTACTGATTAAATTTATAGAAAACAAACTTTATCCTCGACTGTAGATCATAAATCATTTATTTACATTTCAGAATATAATAACATAAAAACAGCGACACCGTTTGAGAAAAACGGTACAGTATATACAGAATAAAACTACTTGTTGAAATCATTTCCTACTAAAAATATTGGTGCAACGATGATTAATTGGTCTACCATACTGTACCATCATTGTAATCAGTAAACAAGGCCATTGAATTATTTACATGATTTCTGATACACTAGAGGTTAAATGGATATCCACACTCGGCTATTACCGTCGCACATCTATCGAAGCATCACGGCATGTTTTCTTTCATAAACCTCTGTAGTGCGTTCAGCCGCGCATCAATTTCCATCATTTCCGCTGACCTGTTCAGGGACTCGTTTCCAATGTCTTCAGGAAAAATAGAGAAAGTTAAGATGTGTTCGCGCTGAATCCGAATCAAATTCAAGGGGAGTAAATTCAAATTATCATGCACCATTTACAGCCACTGAACTTAACACTTACCTCGAAATGGCGAGCCTCGATGATGACGCTTCTCAGACGCTCTGGAGCGTGAAAGACTATTCTCAGGAGTACTGGAATAACTGCAAAAACGTCAAGGAATAATAATGAAGATTGATACTGAGGCCTGCAGGTAAAGGGAAAGTGGTCACGATGAACACTTTTCGCTGAAGTGCCCCAGTATCAAAGTAATGAGCAAAGGTAAATATGACGAGAGGCCAAGGAATGTGAAAAAGGGCGGGGAACTGACGCGGGTGACCAAGTCGTGAATGACCGACTGCTAACAGGAAACTGGTCGTATTAATAAACAAAAGGATACGGAACTTTGCCCACTTTCACTGCCGTTCCTCGCTCCTGAAACAGAACAAAATAAATTAACAAAAACCTCCACTTCATTGTCAAGGTTCAAAAGAAACAAACTGAATCTAACAAGAACGAAATTAGGCCTCGCATACTATATCTGAGTCCCCAGGGCTGTACCACGAGTTTTTCTTTGCAACAGTTCTCGTCTTCCCTGTTGAACTGTTACTGGGCCTGGAACAGAAAACAAACAACTGCGAATAACTTAATGGGCCATGAAAAATGTAGTCGGCCCGCCTGATTCAACAACCTTGTAATCAGCTCCTTGGCTGAGAGCTTGTCCATCAATCCCAAATAGTGAAGGAGTTTCAAATTTGAGCAACAAGTAGCAAAATTATATTCCATTTGATTTCAACTAATTTATTCCTGTTTTCTCGTCACGATATTCCCACCAATGGCGTAGCTCCACTTTCTGCATATAAACCCACACACAACCCACAATTCCTCCAATCGCTCTGACGAAGGGCTAACGCTCGAAACGTCAGCTTTTTTATTCTTTACGGTGGCTAATTTACGTTTTCAACCCAGTTGTTAACACTAAATTACCTACTATATTCCATTTGGCAAACCTCAAAGAGTTAAGCGATGCAATGGGTTGGTAGATGGAGAAGGGCACCCAGCGACATGCGAAGCAATGCCCTTGGAAGCGCCAATGCTTTTTAACATTTTTTCCAATCTAACATGCAACATGCGATCGTAAATTGCAAAGATACCATTATTGCTATCCAGACCTGGTTCTTGGCCGTCGTGGTGGCGCATGCTCCATGTCATCAGACATGTAATCCTTCTCTAACGAAGACTGGGACGATCGCCTTGTTCCCAGGCTCCCGTTGGACGATGTTCTTTTTCTACCACCTGAATGGAACAGAAGACAGTTCCGATTCAGTAACTGGACTTGTCGTGTGATTTACTGACTAACTGACTGTCACGTCACGTCTGACTGGCTAACTGGCTGATTTGTGCTTACGTTCCACTTTCGCGTAATGTTTAAGATATAGCATATTATGAGCCTAATGTATCGCGTAACTTTTCCTCCTGCCTAGAAGTAATTCTAAGTTATTGACTCGTGATCCTGTAAACTACCTCTTAACCAGTTGACTATACCTGACGACCAGGCGCTGGGATTCTTCGTTCCTGAACTGGGGCCTTTGCGAGGTAAACGATCTGCCGATAGGGACCTTGATCGAGCTCTTTTCGCAGATCCGCTGGAAAGCGATCTTTTTCTCCTACGTAATGGAATAATGAAAGGGTCATTGAGTCTTACAAGACAGTTCAGTGGGACAATCAGCTACACTCTCTAAATTACCGTCAATAAAATCCATTCCACGCTTGCTATCTCTTAATTTTTTTGTATTATCATGTTATTTGTTCGATCACTTTAACTCATTCAATCCGACCTTACTCATTCAATGAGCATTATATTATATGGATAACACCCTTCCATCTTCCTTTCTTGTCGGCTCTTTTAGCTCGCATCTCGGAAGGGGCATGCGCGGGCTTGCTTGCGTAGATCGCGTACAGCCCATATTCGAGTAAGTTTTCCTATCATGTTATACAATAAAAGCCTACTCGCATCTGTACGGGTCATAAGATAAAATCAAATGATCAAAATATTCTGCTTACAGCAATAACAATAAACTGTTTACAGATCTTCTACTTTCTCCCAGATTATTGCCAAGAACTCGAGCGAACTAGAAGCTGCCTAATATTTAAAGAACGCGAGCGCAAAAGGGGTGATGAGGGAGAAAAAAAAAACAGCCTATGCGCATTTAGGGGCAATTTAATTCCCAGTCTCCGCACAAATGAAACATTTTATTGCATTTATTTTTTATTGCTCGGTCATTTGCTCTGACGAAGGGCTAACGGTCAAAACGTCAGCTTTAGAAACTATTCATGGTGGTCAATTTACGTTATCAACTCAGTTGATAACACTAAGTTATCATGTTATACCCCACCGACGCAGCACCATAGCTTTGTTTTTCAGAAACTAACCCCCTTTACATAAAAATGAACCTCGTTTGGTCTTAGTTTCTCCTAACAAAGTTACAAAGTAAACTTGAGTGACCTTACCCTCTGGCTTCGTCCGCCTCCTTCTGTTTCCTTTGTTTTTCTTTCACATATCTTTTTATTAGTTAAGGAAACTTTTTTAATTATTCAGTGAGGCCCTGCTGAGGATTTCTTGTGGTATTCCAAGGGTCTTTTTTTGAAAAGTTTGGTTAAGGCTCTGGTAATTGTGGTCTTCCAATGCAACTTGGCCCTATGCTCAGTTTAACCGACACTTACAAACATCTAACTACACAAAACTCTTAAAGAAAACGCATTCTTTGGTGAGGAATCGTAAATACTCTGCCCGCACGCTGTTTTAACGTTATTCCCGGAAGAGAATGTCTAACAAGACTTTCATTCTGTAACGGCTCAGTTTACCCCTCTTTACAAGTCCTCTTTTAGTTCAGTGGTTGAGCATTGGATTGCAAAATCCGAAGATCTGAGGTTCGGTTGGGGAAATCATATTTATGTTCTTTGCCTCGCAGACGAGACAAAACAGATACCATCGTTTTACATTCGAAGACCGAGCCGGAAATTCAATATTTTTCTCATTTTATTAATAACAGTCTAATGAGAAAAAGGATACGCTGTGGGGTCAAACCGAGGAAGTCTGCCACCTAAGGAAAAAAAGATATATCAGCAAAAGGCTCACAGCCTGACTGGACCTCAGAAACTACACGAAAACTCACCAGCTGGTGAAGGTGTTCTACTGCGCATGCCGGATGATAGCTTTGACGGTGGTCTCCTTTCCTGGGAGATAGATCTCCGTGGTGCCCGGCCTCTTCTTGTTGCAGAGCCACTTGTTTGGGCTGGTGATGGCCTAGGACTAAGCAACAGCAAAAACCATTACACAGGTCTTCATGAATAAAACCTAACTCAAGGACGATTTTGACACATTTTTCTGTAACAGTTTCACCATTTACTGATAATCTCGAGTCAAAAAAGGCTTAAGGGGAGATATTATGGTTGTATCTCTGCCCAAGATGGCATAGACTGTAGTAAAGCATTTCTCTTGTTTGTGAGAGATCTAAAATAAAAATACCCAGATAACACTCACCCTCGTTTTAACACAGCAAGTTCATTTGTTAAACTTCTACATCTTGCTCTTAAATTTCGCTCATTAGCACGGATTTCCTCCAGCTGCACATGGAAATTAAAATAATAGCTGTGAGCAACAAAACTTCATCAACAAAGAAAAACTTAACTGACATATATGCTAAATATTTGGATATCAACCTTCCCAGTCAATCCAGTTTGTAATGAAATCACCTCAACAATGCAGCTGCAGACTTCTACTTTAGAATTCTAAAAGTTCAAACTATTGATAAAAAATAACCTTGATATTAGGAGAGAGATTTACGTAACTCACCTCTTCAACAATATTCCTGTGTTCTTCATTCTTCTTATTTATTGTTCTCTGGTATTTGTTTTTTTCTTTCATCAGTTCACTCTACAGAAAAAAACATTGATAAGTGACAAACTGAGACCCAATCCTTCTCAACCCACTGCAATTCATTCCTATGCAAGTGTGATAAAGAAACCTTGTTTAACCAAGTTATTTGTCTGATTTGGTAAAATAACAAAATCTAGTTTTCCCCTCTGTAAGGAAACTTAGAAAACCTTTAAATTCTTCTCTTGAGAATCCACTTAGTAAAAGTGAAAGTTATCTTCATGGAACAGACACTGATTGAGGAGCAACTGGACAGTAAGAATTACAGAGTACATAGCAATGGAAAGTTTGCAGAAACATTTTTAAATTCATCTGTAAACTGCATTCAATTTATTACAGTTTCTTCTTACCTCCAGATTCTGTACAACTTTTTTTAAGACTCTTATTTCCTTAGCTGTGTTTGCCTTTGAGGTGTGCTTTACTTCCCTTTGAAATGCCTCAAACTGTTTTTGTATTTCCAACTTTTCCTTGGTTAACTTGTCATTCCTAAAGGATCACAATACATCAGAACTCCAACATGTTTCAGAACAAGATTGAAATAAAATAGCTGAACAAGGCATCCTATGTATTGTAAGTTAAAAAATCATGTAGGATTCTGTAAGATTCTACCATTCTTAATGGGCAAAAACCCACCCTTTATATAAAATACTGGTAGGTTCGATTTCTGCCTCTCTCTCAAGTCTGGCCTTTGTTTCTCCCTGAGAAGAGTCCTTTTGAGGAGAGAGCATAGGCTGATTTCTTTACCAAAGATTGATTATCAAGCCATTGGGCTAGATGACCCTTTACACAGGGTTCATGCCCTTTTTAAGAAACAAATTTCAATGAATTTTCAGGACTTTTCCAGGATTCGGATTGATTTTTCCATAACTCCAAATTTCTCCTTAGATCTTTCATTCTCAAGATTTCAAATAAATTCTCCTTATGGTCTAAAAACTTTATTGCTTGAGTTACATGTAAGCAGCTTTCTAGGACTTTCCAGGACCTGAAGTCTTTTTCTGGGATTCACCAGTCCTGGAAAATGTCAAAAGAAAATTCTGGGACTTTCCAGGTTTTTCAGGACCCATGCAAACCCTGTTTACAATTGTAATATCTCTCGAATAGTTTGTCTCTTCTACTTGCATAACTCACCTCTTAGATGACCCCAGCCCCACCCTTCTCCAATGAGCCCCTCTCCCTAACTAAACCTCTTTAGAAGCAGTTAAAGTAACTAGGACTTGCAGAAGCTTATCTGATTACTGTAACAATATAAGAGCCTACATCAGATTCAGTGTTCTCTTTTTTAGGCAATTAGCATTAAAATTTACCTCTGTATTACCTCTTATCACAGCCTTAAATTGTTTAAAATTCTTGAAATTTAACAGGTAAGAGGATTGCACTGCACACTGTAGATTCAAATAAAAAGAAAAGAGGTGCAAACTCCATAGTGCTCTACTTACTCCTTTTGAAGATGTGTCAGTGCTGCAGTTCTTGAGCCTTTGATAAGCTGCAAAGAAACAAGTATTCAACTAAGACACCTTGCTCTTGGCCAAGAGATACTCCACTAAGATCTAATGTTACCTGCTCTTTCAGACCTAGGTTTTCTTCTCTTAGTTTTCTTATTGTTTCCTGTAACTGCACTGGATCTGGTTTTCCCACATATGGTAAAGGAAGAGGGTAATGTATTCTGAAAGTAAAGTTGTGACAAATATTAAATCTCATTTCCATTCTAATTTACGAGCAGCAGTGGAAGGGAGGGAGCAGTCAGATGGCTGAATGACAGTGTTGAATCTTTGAGTCTTAAAGATATATTATTCTGAATAGTCTTGACATTCATACTTTACTTGCAAGACCAAAGAAGTTTCTCTATAGAACTTCCCCTATTACAACTTGTCCAAAGCAAATTTGTTTATGGCTCTTAAATTTGATTGCAATCCCCCTCCTCCTCCCATCTGATAGAAAGAGAGCAGAAAAGATAGAGCAAAATTTACAGCTTATTTACATTGCCTATCCCTTTAAAAGTTATCCTCCCTTGTCACAGTAACAACAACCCACTTCTAACCTGTCAAACTCCACTGTATATGTCATAATGAGATATCTCTTGGAGTGCAGTTGTGATCTTGTTTTTGCACCAGGTATGTGCTGGGTTCCATATCCAGTTCTGTGATGTTGTTGATTTCGAAGTGATTCAAGGTCACCATATGTCAAAAGGTCCACAGATACTGAATTACTACCCTGTAAAATATGATTATCAACAAGTTGAGCAGGAGAGGAGTAAATCGTAGGATTCATTCAAATCTACCTGGCCACTTTCAAGATAGTATCATACTTTTAAATTAATTCTAGTTCGGACCATAGATGTCAGTTGGAGCCATCAGGTCAAGCATATCTCCATTGCCTCTTTTTAAGAATCTGATATCCGACCTTTGAATCAGTCAGTCATGGCCTCAATCAAATCTACAATAACCTCCATATCTCATCCCGGTGATCAAAATGTGTTAAACTATGAGCTGTCCCTCCTACTCAGGAAAGTTTGTTATGCAAGTCCAAATAGAAAAGTGGGAAAAGATGGTAGTTAGCAGGCTGCAAGGAACTCTGTTTTAATCCCAGATTTCTGCACAGTGTGCTGCTTACCACTTTCCTTTTTTAATTTTTCACTGATTTTTTTGGACTTGCTTGACATACTTTGCTGAAAAGGAGGGACTGCTCCTAGTCTAAGAAAGTGTGTGTTGAAAGAATAAAAAGGATTTTATGAGCAGCATTTCAATGTGCAAAAAATAAATATACTTACCTTTGCAAGAGCACTCTCAAGCATATTCACAAAAACTGTAAACTGTTTAAAGTTTCCAGTCTTGTGAGTCAAATCTTCAATATCTGAAAAATAAGCAGCCACTTCACTGTTATAATAACGCACACATTGCTACCCTTGCACTCTTATTCAAAACTAAAATATACAAGACTTGTAGAAGTCAACACTTTTGCTTTCATGGAATCAAAACCATTGGTCCCTTTCATGATGTCAGCTGTCAACTCTTCAACTCTAACATGGAACATAAGTATAAAAATCAAACAAGAAGAAACTAATGAATAAAGGGGGGAAGTTTCTAAAGAAACTGTGGTGCTGCATTGGTGGGAGAGTATAGCAGGTAATTTAGTGTTAACAACTGAGTTGAAAATGTAAACTAGCCACCGTAAAAGGTAAAAAAGCTGACGTTTTGAGTGTTAGCCCTTTGTTAGAGTGAAGAAAAGAAGAAACTAACATGTATTTGAACCTGATTATGAAACAAGCATATGCCAACAATTTTTTAACATATGCAAGTGCCCTAATCACAGTCACTTTTGAAGTTATTTCCTTCCTGTTTGGAGTTCATCATTAGGCAATACATATGATTAATATGAATAAAAGTTTTATCAAAGCAGCCTGCTGAGACATCCATAATTTTGTTTTCAGTAATAGACTATGTTATGAGTTCAGTGAACCTTTGGTTTAATTACAGTACTGTATAGTTAAAAGCTTATCCTGGTTGACTTTGATAAAAATTTGTAGAGGAAGGTTCAGGGCCATCAGGAACCTAATCAAAGCCATCCTGCCCTACCCTGATCAAAGTCAATTTTAATCAGTTGGTTGAAGTTAATTATCAGTAGGCTTTGAATTTTAAAGGTTGGTTCAGGTAATTTGTGTTAACAACTGGGTTGCATTAGTTGTTAACACTAAATTACCTTTGAATTTTAAAGGTTGGTTCTTGGTTACTGCATTAGTTTTTAGAGTATTTTTGGCATGTAGCCGACTCACTTTTTTATTTGTTAAAACAATTCGTCATTTTCCTTTTCCCTTGATGCGAGGTGTTTAAACATCTACATCAAACATTACAAACACTCTGAATTCCACAATAACGTGTTGTACATTCACTTTCAACTTACATCTAGCGTCAAATTGTCCTCTCCATTGATCAGATGTAAGTCTGTCTTCTACTTCAAGGACAAATGTTTCTTTATCGCTGTCTATCATGAGGGTTACAACGTATTCTATTCCGCGGAACACATGTCTAAAGCTGCCCACTGATGGATCAAGAGCTTCTGACCTCACGCTCGAATTCATTGCTGATGGAAGTTGAACTCAACGTTTCTTAATCGTACCAACTGTAATAAATGCAAGTTAACACATTGCTTAGGAGTGTTATTAAGCAGCTACACGGAGAAAAGCGAGTACGAATAGTTCAAAACTTGCATCTTCCAAGATTTAGTTTGTATTTAGCGGGCTAACAACTTTTAACGGCCATTACAATCCCACATAACATTGCAGCAAGACTCTATGAAGGAGTGGTTACAAAGTAAGATGGCGGCTGAATTGACCATGTAAGCGAATGTTAGCCGGTTTGCTTCGTAATTCCTCGTCTTTTGATAAAAAATGCCAGCTCCAACCGGAGAAGAAAGAAAGAAATGTCACGCGGCGCGAGATAGCTATTTCGCTTGCCTGAAGTCAAATGGAAACGAAGAATCCGCGTGTGCAAAGGAGAAAGATCAGTACACCGCGGTTTGTCCTGCAGCATGGGTAAGTGCATTTTAAACCGTCACTTTCCGCTGCGGTTTGTGCAATTATTATTATTTTCCTTAAGACTACAGTACAGTTCCCCGTTCAATCTAAAAATAGGCATTAATAGGGATCTCAAATCTGAAAAATTTAGATCAGAACCTCACGAATGTGTCGGACTGATCGGTAAGCATGAACAAAAATGTTCAATCAGTGGACAACAGTCCCTCTATTCTGACTCGGTCCTTATGGCACATGAAAGAGGATTTTAAGTCTCTTATCGAGGAACTTTAGACACGGTAAACTATGTTTGTGTGGAAAAAATTCCCAAACCAACCGAGGCGCAGATTGTCTCTAGTTACGTAATAATTGTAACATAACTTATCAATAAAGGGCAAAATTACTGAGCGCTGATTGGTTGAGAGAGAGGGCATTTTTTCTTAATCGAGGGCATTTTTAGTAATCAAGAGAGGGCATGATTACCTGTTAATGATTGGCTAATCCGTTGCATAGCAACCGTTCGTTATCTTGAAATTTGTTAAAAATAGACTGCGCGCGTGATTTTCCTTCGTATAAATTTTGCCCTTTATTGATAAACAAGTAATCGCGACTCAAATTGCCAATTTTGGAAAATTTTGAAAACTCTCGTGCAATTTATCCTTAATAGTACTTGGCCTCATGTGATTACCTATACAAATTCGCAAGCTGGCTAGGATTCTTTTTTAATTATATTTTCTTCATATCATCTCTGCTCCTGCAAATTTATTCCTTGTCTCTCCGCCTTTCAGTTTTATTACGTTTTTATTTTCTAGGTGTCTTACTTTGCCAGGAAACGTGTTTACGACGAATATAAAAAGAAATTGAATGAGGAGGGTTTCCTTCTAACGGAAGAACAGCCATCGAAGAGCAAGCAATAACATTCTGTTGTGTACAGAGAACGTAATTGAATCACGAGATACAGAGATGTGCTGTCTGTAGGAAACAAAACAATGCATAAACAAGTGTTGTTTTACAATTTTCAATACAACTGCGAAGAACGACATAAGAAATCCATGACTACTTTTTTTTATTAATCCAAACGATAATCAGCACACGAAACTGTAATTTAGCGAGTCAGTGTACGACTCATCTTGCAATAAAGTCACTTAAGAAGTGAAGAGTTTTTGCTTTTCTTTGTCATCAAATGTATATTTCGGCTGACTTGACTGTGGGCTCAATAATAAAATTGTGATCTTTTTCCAGCATTGACAGATGGTTTGTAATAACAGGTAATCAAACCTGATCAAGGCTTCATTTAGTATTTATTCAAAAACTGTGAGTAAATACAATGATATACATATAGTACAATTGTTGATATCCACAGCAGATCAGAAATGCTCCGCAAGTCTTGGATCGGTCCTGAGTTTTTGTTCCAACTGAACATACTTTTGAGGAGCCAGTTCTTTATGTCTGGAAAAAAGAAAATAGACACATGAAATATATGAAAGGGGCGGACTAGTCATAATTATGAAGTTGCCGCTAAGAAAAGTGAAAATATCCGAGCTAATGCGGTAATATCATTTTTAGAAAAACGAACAGAAAGTTTACCACGCTATTAAACAAATATAAGGTTTTCCGCCCCTTAGGGGAAGCAGATAAAAGCGCGAGGTGCACGCATGGAAAGGGCGAGGCAAGCACAAACCAAGCGCGTGGTGAGCCCAACGGATGAGACGCGCGAGGAGGGAATAACACCTCTTCTTTCAGTTAGTTTTTTCTTGGCGAGGCCCTCAACCAGACCTTGGGACGTTTTTGTACAGTGTGCGGAGCTGTGTTTGTCGAAGAAAGAAGTAAATTTCCCTATTATAAACAATACGATATTTCTACCCAGCAATTCAACGGAGAGCTTTTCGGCAAGCGCCTAAAATTAAACTTCTTAGCGTTTGATCGTTTGGCCTTATGGTTAAATCTGATTTGAAATTCTTTCATTAACTGTAGACACGATATTTTTGCGATTTTCTTTAGCGTTGACGTAAGGCACAATCCAAAAAGAGTAAAATCAGGGTTCATTTTGCCTTAGGTTGTAAACGTGTCACGTTCAAATCCGCGAATAATTCCTATTTTAACAAACTCTCGTCCTCGTTTGCATTGATAGTACACTTATATCTCGTTTTTTCGAAAGACAGACAACCGTCGCGATACAATGACCAGGCCTAACAAAAAAGTACACAATGCACTAGGCAGCAATTTAACCTTTGCATAGCGTTACCAGACTTTCAAGCTACAGATACCAGTGGATTTTCGTGGTAGTGGCATTTTGTGCACTGTAGTACCTGTTAAGGCGTTGTTCAAGGATATGTATTCTAAACATGGCCTCGCTGCAATAGTTGAGGTATTCTTCTTCGTCTTCTTTTGTCATGGACACTTGATTCTGCTGATACCAACTCTGCTTGCGTTGTAATTCTTGAGTTTCCTGTAGTGAGGTAACGAGAGTCAGGCAGCGAAATTTTTCAAACCCACGAATATGACGCTCTACAATCTTTCATTGATTTGAAATTTAGAATAGATGTTAGTTTTATTTTGTACTGTGTTAGTTCGTGATAACGAGTAAAAAACTAAGAAAAATGAAAATCAAACTGGTTTACAATATATAAAACGACGTAAAAATTTGCACCACAACATAATTATCCGTGATGACAAATAATAACACAAACATGTAAGGTAAATCTTCAAGATAACTTTCGAGATAGAGTGTTCAGTTCATGATGCGCCAAATCTGCAATATTTTAAGTTATCTTCTAATTTCTTTTTAGAAGGTACACAAGTATAGCTTGCACAAAAACTCTAATGATGGTCAGATTAAGATTTCTCAAAAGGGGACTCCAGTCAATGTGGCAAAAAAAAAATGAAAGTCAACCTTACTAATAATTAGGCTTTGAGCTTTAACCGAAATTTCAAAACTTTTCAAATCTGGAAACTGACTCACAATTTGGCTTTGACCGTACTAACCTTCTCGAATCTAGCCTGAATGAGGTTTGCTTTGTCAATAAGACGGTGTTTTAGATCCTGTAGGCATTCCTCTTTGAGTTTATAAGCCTCCTGTCGGCTGATGTGCGGTGGATCACCAATCTGTGCCAGGAATGGCGCTAGGTAATCTAACTCAAGTTCATGTTTCTTCATTGCTTCCTCTGCTGCTTTACGTTCCTGGTGCCAGAAAAATGAATCGATTAATCGATCGAATAGTAATGATACTTTGTAAAGACTCCAATGGTTGTTTGGTCTTAGTTTTGCATCTGATTGGTTGAGCCCAAAGTAAAACAAGCCACCTGTCTGAAACGCGGGAAAACGCAGGTGAAAAATCGCAGTTGGTTTTAGCTTACATCTGATTGGTTGATCTGGCTCAAAAGAGTTGTATTAAGAGTGAATCACCTTACCAGTTCTTGGCGATGCAGCTTGGCTTTTTCGTTTCTCTCTGTATCATACACTGAAACAATCAATTGGGATGCAGCTTCTTCTTTGATTCGGAGCTGGAGAATTTCTTTCACCTTCAAAATTATATGATTTTTAGCACAAACATTCTAAACCGAGTGTATAAAGAAAGTAAAAATCTAGATAGTGGAATATTAAAACAAAACGAATTATGATACCTCTTCTTCTGACGCCCTTATCTGGTTCGTGCTCTTTTCTTCAGCATCCACGAGTTCCACCAACATTTCGTAAACATGGAGGTTTTTATGAGGTTTGATCAGCGGATCCACCTAATGACATAAAAAAAGTTATCCTCTCTTGTATAAAATTAAAGCAAAAGGGAATGAGATTGCGTTTATGAGTATATGTGATCTCGATTTGAAAATACTAAGTAGAAATTGCGCTCTGCGACCTGCCTTTTTTCTTGAAAGCAGAAGTGATAGCGCGCTTTTCGATTGAGTATCGTAAATTAAAAAAAAAAGTAATTACCAAGACTGAGAGGAGCTTATAATAACTCAAAGAAAACCAAGCAAGCTGCTGAAAGCGCGGGAAAACGCGTGGGACCAATCTCCGATAGGTTTAAGCTGGGATTCTGATTGGTTAACAGGATGGCGCGTATTTTCAGGACCAATCACAGAGCGTGTTAAGAAAAACCATTCAATCTGGAATCAGTTTTGACATTAGATTGATAATAACTTTAAAACTCACCTGAAAAGTGGTTGTCATATCGGGTGTCATGGTCAGTGTTCCTCCTTTTTCTGTGGTGTGTGGAGGGCGGATGAATTCCCTTGTGGAGGCTGTTACTCTGTTGTCCTCCAAGTGAAATGTCAAGTTAATTCGCTCATCAGAGACGAGGAAAACTCTTTCGGCAACATCTTCGTTTGCTTCTTTAGCTTTGTTGCGGTGAAATCTCTCAACTATTTTCTGTAAAGAAAGAAGAGATAACATTTCCGTTACAGATAAACCATATAATTATATGAGCACCATCTCAAAATTTTTGGTTCTAATGCCTGCAACTGTCCTCGATTTGTATAATAGGTACTGTGTAGTAGCAAAAAGTTCGGGGGAAGCAAAACATTGTGAAGCTAACCAGATTTTTAAAGCATGCAAGTGATTTATCATCAAATACCAAAGAAATTCCCAATAAAGAGGCTTTAGAGGCGACATTTCAAGGGGAATTCCTAAAGGAGGGAAAATTTTCCTCAAAATCTATGATCATCCGAGAACCGAACAAAAGCGAACGCGAGGGGGTGGGCTGAGGAAAAAGAAAATGCACATTCTTTGGGTTTTTTTAAAGCAAATGCATTCCTCCTTTCTCCAGAAATGATAATTGTTATTGTGATAGTAGACTTGTAACCACAGGCAAGCTTGCCTCTCGCATCAAAGTCTACAGCCACCTTTCGCGGGATCCACGCTCCGCGCTCTTTCTCGCACACTCGCACCACGTTTCCTACTCAAACAGCAATTAGTTTTTACAATTGAAAATGTCAGTTGAAACCAGTTTTATCCTACCACAATTGGTCTTGAGTTTGCCTCCTGTGGACCAAACTTTTTCACCCGTTTACCAAAAGTAACCTGTCGATAGTACATGAAGTCGTCTCTATCGACATAACTCTCTGTCATTTCCTCAGGCGATTCTTCACGCTTTACAAGGCCGTCAATTCGCGCACTGAAAAAATATTCCATATTAGTAAGGTTACTTAAAAAAATCGAAATGAGATTTTTAAATTTTTAGCACAAAACTGGACTTCTCTTAAAAATTATGCATATCAAACTATCTAAATTGTTAAGGACCACACTATGGGAAACGAAGAATGACTCCTAATCAGTTTTGGTTGAGCCAATCAATGGTTCTTTCCTGTGATCGGGTTGGTCAGTTTTGTGTAAGTAACCCTAGAAACATTAGTCGCTCGGTAAGGCTGATTGAAAGTTCTTTTTGCCAAATGAATGTAATTGAAGTTTTTTTTATTAATGCTTTCATACAGCGTCAAACTTTTCACAAACATCCACTTTAAAGGAGAAGTCACGAAATAAAAACAAGATTAACCTGTTATTTTAAAGTACCTGCAATAAAATAGCATCGTTCTGTCGGATTCTGGTCCGGGCGAGCTCGCTTTGTAGGTATGTTCTGTAATTAAAAAATGTAACTGAATAAGAAACAAAAGGTCACTTTAAAGCTTCAGAGTTCTCCATCCGGGTTAAACTCGTTCAGTCAAGTGTTTCAATGGCTATTGAAAGCAAAACAAGTCTATCGGTCAGAACGATTCACCTAATCTCAATAAACGGAATTAAGAACACGTATCTGAACCGAGACTACCGAGGCAACGAAAACCAATCAGATGACAAAACTGAAACAATAGCTTCCAACATTTTCTCACGAATCTGCGGCAGCATCGAAAGTGGTCGGAAAGTCTCTAGGTCCTACAGTAATGTTCAGAAGTCGACGGAACGTTCGGAAATTCGGTTGATGATGAAAACCACACACTTTTGACTTGCAAAAGATGGGCATACTTTTAAGACGAGAACGTATTCTGAATGATTCTCTCGCCCGCACGAACAACAGGGCTGGAGAAAACGCGCAAGGAACAGACTTTTGCTGATGTTATGAACTGTTTCTGACCTTTGAGGCAGTCCAGCCTCCCTGGTGTGAAGAACTCAGTGATTAGTCCGGTGGTCATGTTATGTACTTTTGTCTCCAGCTTATCAACCCTGTGTTTGTAGACTTCTTTTTTCTCAACGAGATCTTTTACTACAACAGCAAAAATAACACAAATTACCGACATGGATTTTGTGGAGTTTTTTTCACGGTTCTTTTTCCTTCGTATCAAAGATAAGGGCAACTATTTTTAATAAAAATCTCCTTTCAACACAATTGACCTTTCATGCTTAGAAAAAAGGGGGAAAAAATTAAAAGGAAAAACCTCTTCAAACCTGGATACTCACATTCATAATCATTGTAACTTGATAGTGAAGACACCAGACCATCTTTTAACAAATACTCAGCCAATTTCTCTATCTTGGCTTTCTTGTACAACTTGGTTTTCTTTCCATAAGGACACCTGGTTTGAAATTCTAAAATTTAAAAAAAAAATGAGTCATCAGTTTTATCATTCTGGAAGCAACTTGTTCCCTTCCTGTTTGGAGAATTAAAGGAAAATGGGAAAATTAAAAAAAAAATCAAACAGTTAAATTAAAAATATTGTCTTTTAACCATTGTTCTTCCTAAAAGACAAGCAACTTTATTACCTTTGAGTGAAATTTCAATTGGAGAAACCCAAGAAGGAGGCAGATCAAAATCAGATCCATCATCATCATTCTGAAAAACAAAAAAACAAACATTGATTCCAGAATTTTCAACAAACAAATTTTCCATGTCAACACACTGAAACTTGAAAGATTTATGCTGTATTCAGATCTGTTTTGGTTAAAATTAATAAGAAAAAAATCTTGATTAAGTCGTTTTTTGCATGTGCGTACTCATTTTGGATTCATAAAAGCATCTAATTAAATAAAGCAATTCATATTTTTGCTTTGCTATCTCCCCCATAATGTTACCATCTTTAAGTACTTTCACCACCCCCAAGAGTCCAAATATATTTAGTCTGACTATCCCTTTTACCACCATACACAGAATACAGTACCTCTTCATCATCAATGTCAAGAGGATCTGCTTCATCCACAGGAATCATCAACAGAGGTTTGTCTGTAGTGGAAAACATGAATTCCCATTTGGATGCATCACCCAGATCATAAACAAGATCCTGTGAAGAAAACAACAAAAAATTCATCCCACAGTACACAAACAAGATAGAAACTATGAAAGTAAACCAAATACCAAAAAATTAATGTCCAGTACACCAGAAACTTTTTGGATCAATGTCATTATCTGAACAAATGCACACTTACCTCTCCCCTAACAAAACATTAACCCTAACTTGTCATCAGTGGAATGCTTTTGGGCTAGGGGAGGGGTAGGTACACAGCTGCTCAGAGACTGGCACCGATCCAATTCTTTCATAATTATTAACGTTTCCTCAAAAAATCTGCACAAATCTACTCCTTAATTTTTGGCAAAATTCTGCAATCAATAAATTTTTAAGGCCACACATACTGATCTGCAAACCTAATCATCCCTGCCTACCTGAACACCATGTGAGCAATCCTGCATGTTAACCCAATAGTTCTTGTGATTCCAAACACTTTCAATACCAAGATAAACATTATGTGTGAGAGGGTGACAAACGCCTGTCAGAGTCTCAATAAAGAAGCTTTCAGGAACCTCCCGTTTTCCTGATAGGACCAACACCCAGCAGTGCACCCTTAAACCATGCAGCTTGTCTGGCTTGGGCTTTTCAAGCTCCTACAAAAAATAATTCAATATGAACAAAAATGATATTTTACAAGATCTAACTTCAAATTATTTGGTTTGATTAATTAAAAGTGACTCCATTTTAGAGACTCACGGCAATTCTTGCATTTTCTTCCTCGCGCCTCTTCTTTTCCTTTCCATCTTCTTCTGCTTTCTTCTTCGCCTCAACTTTAGCTTCAAACCTGCTTCTTAAATCTTTGGGAGGTTTCACAGTGTACTTTTTCACTTCTTTTTTCACTTCTTCTTTTGTTACCTTTTGAATAAAACAACCTAAAGTCAAACTGTTTATTTTTTGTATCACATTTCTTGACTAACTGTAAGTATATATCAAGTGTTAAGCAGACACAAAAAGCTCAAAATAACAGCTGCTCAGCAAACAATATATGTCAAATATAGGTTTTGTCCTGTCAACTCTATGGATGGCCAGACATTTATCCAGTTTTTTATTTTTTTAGAAGAATTAATACTGAGCAGGAGCCTGGCGGTAATGGGCTCCTGTTCCAGGCTAATTTTAGGTTTTAAATACAGCTGTACCACTTTTCCTGCAATGAGTTTGAGGCTGCAGGTATAGTAAAAGCAATTGGTAAATGTATTTGGTTTACAAGAAGGGGTATTTATAAAGATATTATGTGATGAATTTCATTAATATCTGCCTAGTTCCCCATTCAAAGAAGCATGTTTTGTTAACATACCTCATCTTTTTTCCTCAGAAGAGGACATATTTCCCTTGTTTCATCCATAAGTGTTGTTTCTCTGGTTGCATATCCACAGACACAGTAAGCATCATAACCCGCCCCAATGAGCAAAGAGCACAGCAGCACACTAAAGTCGAAACAGTTTCCCTTTTGACGAGTTAGGATAGTTGTAGGGGACACCAGTTCACTTGGCTGATAACACAAGAAGATAATATCAGGTTATTCCTATGGCTAAGAGCTTAGTATGTCAAAGATATAGTTTGGCACACAAGTTACAAGATCCCCCCAACACTCACTCTGGCATGAAGCAACTGGGAGTTTTGCAAATCTCTTATGGGACAGCATACTGCTCCAATGCAAGCTGCCTGTTACCCTCTCTAACCTAACCATTTTTTGTGACTGTAGGGGTATTGATATGAAACTTCTTGACCATGTGAACCCATGGTTTCCTTCTTCTCTCCCTGGTGTGAGGGAGTGGTCAGAAAGAGAAGTGACTTCCAAAATGAGGTTTAGAGTCCTAGGCAGAGATAGAGGCATTGTGAAAGTAAAGTGTCTTACCCAAGAATTCTACACATGACCTTACCGGGGAGGAAACCTGGAATTCTGCTATGCAAATCAACAGGCTAATACCAGAGACCACTCTAATCAGTAATTATTCCCAGCATTAAAATACAAATGTCACACAAGCTGTATAACATTTAACTTAAACTGAATCTAATATACATAAACATAATGTGTAATTATACAAAGAGAACATTGAAATAAGATATATGAGGAAACCTCTTTTATTCATAAAAAAAAGTAGACTTACCAAGTCAATTGGTGGATCTAATGGAAAAAATGTTAAATAGTCAGAAACAAACTGTGCACAGCCATCATAATCATAGATCTCCTTGTACGACAGAAGAGTTGGGCGAATCGTTGTACACACAAATTTCTGAAACCAGAAAAATTGCATAATTAAATAATCCAGTATCTATTTTGAATCAAATGCACCAATATGTGTCAGCCCTGAAAGTCTCCTGGTTTCAGAACCCTCACCCTAATCCTAAGAATAATTATTCTCAAGTCTCATATGTGTTTAATTAGATAAATCTCCAAGACATTTTGATATTTTCTCCACAAAAAGAAGAAAAATCTTAATGAACCCTTTGAGTGACCAAGAAAGAATTTCCCCTACAACATCAACCAGATAAGAGATGAGGATAAAGAAAAATGTCAATTTGGGGAAAATTAGTTGATCTAATACTAAATTCTCTGAATTAACATTATAAGAATTATGTGGTTGACAGTAAGGAGAACTACAAATTTGCTCTGGGAGTTAAAGGGTTAAAAGAAAAATTGAGAGTCTCCTGTTGAAAAGGTGATTGTACTCTTGTTGATTTTGAGCTTTTAATTCATTTAGTAATTCCCCTGTCTTGTTACCTCTATTCCACATTCATTCACAGGATTTAAAAACAATGGCTTTCGATCACGATATAGGTGAACAAATTGACGTCTAAAGTTTTCACAAAATGACAGCAGAAGCTTCTCTTTTGGAGCATTGGACTTGTAAGACTCAGGAAGAGAGGCCCTGTCTGCATCTTTGTTTCTGCAAGAGATAAAAAAAAGTTTATATTAACTGTAAATAGATTTTGTGTACTAAGTTTTATTTTCATGTTCAAAGAGTATTAAAACAAAGGATTATTCCAGGAACACACTTTAAGACTTTTAACATAACATGGAAGACACATGCAAGGGTTTCAAGAGGAGAAAGAAGGCTCTCAAACAAGGACTATCCAGGAACCTCTATTCCCCAAAGTCTGACAACTGTAAACATTTTCATTTCATTGAGACTGGTCAACTGTTTACTGACCGATCTCTATATAGTTCAGGGTATGCAAGAAAAAACCCAGATTCTCAAACTAACACCATAACTGTTTCTAGCTTGGCCTCCTCTCACACAATTTACTTCTTCCTTGAAAGGCGATAACTTTTAATGAACAGTTCTGGTGCTCATGGTTTTCTGAGTGTCACACACGGTGATGTTACACAAGCTAATTTTTAATGTAATTTTTTGAGCCACCTTGGACGACTTAACTTATATAACACAATGAATGTATGGAAGCCATGAACTGAGGTGGTTCACCAACAAGATCGTCAGAGGTAGTCTATTACACTATGCACCCCAGTCCACTCATCTTATGTACGCCCCTGTACAAGGAGTCTCCAAATTATGGTAGTACGATCGTGTTCTGCAGAATATTCTACCATTTTCTTAATAACAATGCGTGAACCAAAACTTTATAAAGATAAATTTCAGTTAGCTGTCTGCATATGCATTAGAGATCGATTCGTACACAGACTTGAAATTACAAGCCAAGGTGAAAGATGACAACAACTCACGGAAGTGTACTGATATCTGGCGCAGTAACTTGAATTTTTGCTAATTCCTTCTTCAGGGACTCCATATCAGTTGGCTGAAATGATCACTCGCCTTTATTTAAACCCTGATTTTACACATTGCCTCACAAATAATTTCGATAATTTTGTTTGAATCTTCTTAGCAACGACAACTTGGTAGCCACTCCCTTTTTCAAAGCCGGTAAAAGACTGAGAATGAAATACGGGTACTAGGACCCAATCTCCCGCGAGTAGTTGCACATACGTTCTGCTCTGATTCTGTGTTTGCACCGAAGAGGTGTTTTGCTTCTCTGTGGAAACCGTGCCATGAGAACTTTTACCTCTGTAAAGTCCTGCGGAAACGACCAAGCGTTAAGAAATGTCGTTTAAGAACTATCCTGCGCGTGGAGGCACTGTTAGACACCTTTCAAGCTTTCCTCAATATCAGAGCCTAGCAGAAACATACGGCTGCTCTGCGGTGCACAAGTCGTTCCTTTCAGATCACTTCGCTCGGTGCTCTAGCCTTTATCACCTTGATTTACTGGGACATTATGGTTGTGTAAATGCTATAGAATTCTCAAATAATGGCGGAGAATTCATTGTTTCAGGTTTGGATGTGATATTTCTATTATTATGACGTTTTTTGTTCATTGTGCGTTCCTATTGGCTGATGCGAATCCATCATATAAATCATAAACTTAATTGCACGTTTTATTCACGTTGGTCGAACTTTGCTGTTGGTGATACTGCTAGGTACTACCAAAAAAAAAAAAACCACAACAACACCACACTGGATATCCAATCTAACTTTGACTTGATTGTCATGTTCTCCTATGGGAACACCTCTTAGCCCTGTAACCCTTTATGAATGATCAAGACAGAATTTCTCCTAAAAGTATCAATACAACATCAAGCAGAAAATTGATGAGAATAAAGAAAAATAACAACTAGGGTATTAGTATCTGATCCAATACCAAATTCTCAGAACTAAAATAAGACAGTAAGGAGAGTTACTGAGATCTTGAGAATGAAAGGGTTAAGTGGAACTTTTGCATTGCAAAACTGCACTTAGAGGGTTTTTATAGCAGGTCTAGTCAGGTAGAAGTTTATTTTGTTCAAACCTTTGTTTAAAGGTGGTGATGATCGTCGTGTTGTGGTATGGAACATTGAAAAGTGCGTCTATGGAACTCAACCTCCAGTGTCAATGAAGGGAGAACACAAGTCTAACATTTTCTGTACTGTTTTTGATAATGACAACAGGCATATTTTTTCAGCAGGTAGGTTAATAATGCCTTAAGGTCATAGAGGGATCCATTTAAAATTTCCCCTCATATTATTAGTACGTAAACACAACTACAACAGGAATTTCTAACCAGCATCAAACTGGATGTTACCAAAGTTTTATTGAACCAAATTTTGTTTCAGACATGAAAGTGTGTTGCAGTAACCATTATCATATCAAAGTATTTGACTGTCAATCTGTGTAGTGCTAGCGTTTTTTATCAGTACTTTTTCACTTAACAGGCAATGACAATCAAGCCCTCAGGCACGATTTCACAACGTAAGTACAATAACATTTTTGAACAAGTGTGCAACTTTCTGTAATAATAACAACTTACTCCAATCAGGCAGAATTAAAGCAACCAACACATCTGTATGGGTTTTGAGTGCAGCCTGGATAACAGTACGTCTCTCTACCTTGGAGTGCAATAGATATTTATTTACAAATAGTGGGTAAACCAGACAAAATTATGAGGTGATGGACAATCATATGCTCATGTGTGGAGAGAGGTACTTTGAGTCAGAGTTAAAGGTTTTGTCAAAGAACACAACACATTATGACCCTGTTTGGTCTTTCACCTAGACCTCTTGACTTGGATTCCAGAGTACTAACCATCAGGCCACCACTTTGCTAATGTACACAGTCTTCTAAATACCTCTTTCTCTCTGGTTTTTAACATTTTTTTCTTCCTGAATTATATTAAGTGGTGAGACAGTTGGCATGTACTACCATGATGACCCAGTTTATGGCCTTAATATTCACCCAGAGGATAACAATGTGTTCTTAACAGCTTCTGATGATGGAAAAGTTATGCTTTGGGACATAAGGGCATCTCCAGTTAGTGGTATGGAACTTTTCTGCCCCATTTTCTTTACAAACTGTTGCTTGTAAAGGTTAACAACACACATTTTTTTGTTGATCATATTGTGTAATCTTCTGGGTGAGAGTAGCACAGAAAACAAATGATGTTAGTGAGTTGAGTTTTGAATATGGAAACAGAAGTCCTCCAAGGAGAAGATCCTGGTCTTGTTGCCCAGCGCTCAGTACGAACTCGTAAACGTACCAAAATGTAAAGAGATAATCTTGTTCAGATAATATCAGCCTCCTTTAGAGGTAAATATGTTAAAGGTAATCTCATTAATGTATTCATAGGTTCTTCCACATGTATTGCTCGTCATGAATCAGCTTTCCATGCTGCTGTTTTCAATCCAGTGGACCCTAGTTTGATTGCAACAGCTAACTCCAAGAAAGGTGTCCAGCTTTGGGATGTCAGGGTTCCAATCAGGTTTGTTGCAAATTATCTGTTACTTTTCCATACTTTTTCACCCAACAGTTCAAAAAAAGCATGTTTCCAACCCCCCTGATTTAAAAATTATTTGTTATATTAGAAACTGTGTTCACTGTATGGCTGAAAAAAATGTCTATTTCTTGCTAGCTGTTGTGGGGTGGAAACTTGATAAATGGCAAGGGGGGTGGCCCACCATGAACTAACAACATGTCAAGGAGGGGTAGATGCACTATCAGTTGCTTCATGGTTTGGAAATAACATAAAGCCCCCTTCCTCCCTCCCCCCCTCTGTTTCTTTAACCTTACAGGTAACATTTTAAGAAAAACCTTAGAACATCATTTGATAATAAAGTATTTGCTGTGGCTGAAAAAAGCTTAAGCACAGACATCAAGAGATGATCAATGTTGATTTACTCTTTAGTTGTTTAAGGCAGTTCAGTTATGGAGCACCTCAGATGTGTTCCATGGGGTTAAAATGGAACAGGACAGGTGACATGATAACTGCCCTTCGTCGCCGCCTTCCTCCAGTTCTTTATCATGTTACTCGGTCTTCAGCTGTGGCTGAGTTCCACCACCCCGGCTACAATAATGTGTGCACCATGAAGAGTAATTGTTTTGCAGGAAGCAAAGATCAGGTGATTATTTTACCCAGGGCAGTGTCAAAGAATAGCTGATTGTGAGCTACAAAACATGTTTAGCTTCTACAAATTGAGTGGGGAGGAGGGCACTGTTAGAGAGTACTATGTAACTTTTCTTAGGGGGTGGGTTGTAGAAATCAGCAACTTTGTCCTGGCTTAGGTGATTGTTTTACTGTGTGCTGAGACAAATGACAGCTGATCCTGAGCTGCAAAACATCTTTTCTCTTTAGTTTATAGCATCTACAACCTTGGAGGGAAGTGGAGGGGGGGCACTGTTCAAGAGTGGGAAACTTTCTTGAAGGGTTAGGTGGGGGTAGGAGTGTAAAAATTGGTAACTTTGTTATGGCAGGTAACTCGCATTGTTGTCTGTATCCATGTTTGTGGATATTATCAAACCATATTAGTTGTAATTACACATATTGTTTCTTGATTTAGAATTCTGGGAGACTCAGTAACAGACTGTAAGATTGACAGGTGTTATTATTTGTGTTATCTCTAAGTTTGTTGTCTCTGGCTCTGATGACTTCAATATTTACATCTGGGAAGTGCCAGATGATTGGGCAGATCATGACAAGGTGCTGACTGTTGGTAGGGCATTCATGGTACTTCATGGTCACCGCTCCATTGTTAACCAAGTTCGCTTCAACCCCGAGACACATATGCTCTTATCAGCAGGAGTAGAAAAAGTGATAAAGGTTGGTTACATTATCATAAACTTTGAGAGTAGAAGGCAAGTAAGAAATAGTAGGTGACTTGGTTTTTTTGGACAATGCTGTGTAGTCAGATTACACGCGAGACTGGGAATCATAAAATTTGCACAAACCTTGAAGCAAACTCTGAAAGGGGAATCAAGTCACCTATCTAAAGAGGTTACTGGAATATTATGCACTCATTCTACTCAAAAATTGGGAAATGGCTGCTGTGCAAGTTTCTTCAGTGGTATTACAATATTTGTATGATTTTTTCCTCACCTTTTATGGTTAAGTGAGGTGAAAGTAGTCAGCCTAAGATGGCAGATCAGCCATGCATTTTGGCCAGCTACTGGTCTTGTTGACAGCTCTGAGTAGCACATGGATTGTGTAGTGTTCTTTTCTTCCAATATGCTTCTCGTACAATTGTAATTATGATAAAATATATATCTGTATGATTTCATGCAATAAGCATTTAGAGAATGCAGTTTCAAGGCAGTGTAGAATCAATCTGGAAATTTTACTTCCTCCAGGTATGGAGTCCTTTCCCAGTGTCAAGAGGGTGTAGTGAGATGGACACCAGCCATAAAAGCCGCCGTGAGCTTTATTCTCATAGCGATTACCTAAGTTTTATTCAGTTTGGTGGCCTACCTCTTAATCATGATGAATATGAAAGCAAGTCAACTGCAGAAGACCCTCGTATGTTAGCTTTCTTTGACTCTTTAATACAGCGTGAGAAAGATAATCTCCACTCTGACTCAGAGGACAGCTTATTGGATGATTTCCACCTTAGTTTTATCCTTCAGCCTGATAGCAGTGAAGAGAGTGATAGTGATACAACTGAGACCAGCATGAGCCACCTGCTCCTGAGAGAACTTCTTCATCGTCCAAGCTCAGAGACACTAGAGGGACGCGCAGCTATAAACAGTTCAGGACAAGGTGTGCTTAGACGGCTGAGAAAACTCAGGGACACTGTTGTTATTCGTGATCTGCTTAATGCAGGTAGCAGTAGTACAGACAGCGAGGAAGGCAATCATGTTAAGGTTGTTGTGCCTACATTACCTAGTGATTTTGAGAGTGGTGAAGGCACTACACAATCTACAGTTCAGTTTAAAAGACAAAAACCTCACACAAAAAGACGATACAGATCTCAAAACAGATCAAGAGATGTAGATGATACCTCTTCATCAGAAAGTGCTAATGAAAGTGACTATACTAAGCAGAAAATACAAATAAGAGCTGATAAGGACAATTCTATTGAAACCAGTAGCAGCAGCAACAGCAGTAGTAGTGGTAGTAGCAGCCACTCAGAGAGAGATTCCAGGAAGTCAAAGGGATACAGAGAGAATACAGAATCCAGCAGTGATGATGCAGAGATTTGCAAGTTGTCACACAAAAGAAGAAAACTTAACAGGGCAAATTCAAAGAATTTATCTAATAACCTGAAAACTCAGGGAAATGAATGCAGGGCAACTGAGGTCAACACCAATGGAACCATAGAGAATTATCAACAGCTGGATGGCAATAATGGTGAAGACAGTCAAAATGCAAACAACATTTTACATGGAGAAGGAATAATAAATAGTGATAGGTGTGAAGCTTCTCAAACAGATTGCTCTTCAGATTTGCATGTGAGTAACCAAACTGTTACCTCTCATGAGAGCGTCTGGGCAGATCATTCCAGTTACAAGCCACGTGGAAACAAAAAAAGCTCTCATGATCAGGGGGATGATCATGAGGAATCAAGTAGATAATCCTTTTTCATGTAAACCCTTCAACTCCCAGGATCTTGGTGATATACTTTTTCTTGGTTTTAAAAAAAAAAGAAAAAGAAATTAGGGTTACCAAAGTAACACTCCCTTGTTTGCTGGATACATTTTTTAAATTGCCGGGGGGAGTAACACTAATGGTTTTGTGAAGTGAAGGATTAGTGAGAGGCTTGCTGCTTGATGAACATCCCAAAGTGTCCAAATAAGCTTCAGGAAAATTCATGAACACAAGTAAAATGGTCAAGCATGAAATAATATATTCATGAGTGTCCTTAAGAACCTAACAAGTTCTGAACTACTTGTTGAACAATAATTGAGTTTCAAAACTTCACTTATGAGGGTTTATGAGCTATGGATTATAAGACTAGATAAACAGTTCCTTCATTTGAAACCATTCTCAGGTTCATCCTCAGGTAGTCAGTCCATCCAATGCCTCAAGTTAGTAAAGGTTGCAATGATAAGTGAAAGTGGAATATATTGTTCTTTGGAATCAGGTGGTAACGCGGGACAAGGAGGCAACTGGTTTTTGTGACTCTTGTCTTCAAATGACTTCCACTTCTCTTGATGGGTTGAAATAAAACAGCTGATCAGTTACAACTTGTTTGGTTACATTTTACTATTTACAATATAAGAAATCTGGCATAACTTGCCAACCCTTTTTACTTGGTGGAAGCTAACAGTGTTATGGTTAGAGTAATATTCAAAATTTATTATATTTGAGAGCAGTTGCATTTTCTGATCATTGCTTTCTCTTTTACCTCTTTTTCATATCTTTATTCTACAAAAGCTCATCAATTTTCTTGTGGGTTTGAGAACTTATTGTCCTGACTTTGTCCAAGTTTGACAGTATCTTGTTCTTGATGCAATTGTCCAAGAAGAGGCTCTTTTTAAGCAGCTCACTCAAGTTCAACTGGGCATGATTTCCAGTTTCTTGTTCCTTGGGTAACACAACTGACCATACAAGGTGCCAGTTGACACCCATTGTTTAGAGCCTCCTTGATCTTGCCAGGCAAGCATTTTACTTTCCCCAAGCCTCAGCATCAGCCTCACGTGCTCCCCTATAACCACCCAACTCTGCTGATCTGTAGAAGCCTTCAAGAAAGAAAATCAGTGAGAACTACCAAAATTATAAAAATGGGGGTATTCTCTTCATGTGACTTGTCGCCAATAGCTCACAGGGGAATGTTTGCATGCCATAGGCAAACTTTCAGATCGCGGGAGTGAAACAATCGTTACACTAACCTTCCAGAATGGCTGGGTAGTTGTCGTCCATCCACTTTCTGTAATCTGATTGAAATAAGAGATATTGACAAGCCTTGCGAAGATGGTTAAAATAATTTAATTCACTGCAACATTCGATGTGAGATGAATTAAAAGCCCTCATCATAAATTAACCTAAATAGTTTAAAAAAAAATTCAGTTTTTTGAAAGCTAACCTCTACTGGTGTTCATTTGATGCCATACCCGATAAGATCCTATCAAGAGCGCCACTTCTCCGACAATTGCTGCTCTTAAGAGTTTCCTCCAGCCAGATTTGCCGGCCATGTCGCTGAGTACTCATAACATCTTGATAAGTTGTTCATATAAGCAACACATACTGCATGCATGTCAGTCCCAGTCCTCATTTTGAACTAATTACTGTGGACGAGATGACTGGGATCTACATACGTGTCGCAGGCTCAATAACATGGCTGCCTGCTTCTGTCTTTCAAATATGATTGTTTAAAATCAACTTAAAGCATTTTTCGTGTTCGTCTTGGACCTGAAGGCGACACTTTACAGAGGAATATGGTATCTGTAACAGTTAAAGGTTGCGTATAGACTTTTATAAAAAGGAGAGAGATATATCGGTGCAGTGAGCGACTCAATAAAAATGGATAGCTCACAAAAACTTCCGTCATATAACAGTGCGACTGCAGCTGCCACACCAAGCATAGGAACGGAGAGATTACTTAGATATCTTCCTAAAAAACAGTCAGAGGTTCGACAAGTTGCCATAGATATTCCAGAAACTGGTAACAGTCAATTGATGAACCAAGATGTTCTTAAAGCTGGCTTGACTGCTCTAGAAAGAGGTATGATCACTTGTGGCATGATTTACACAAGCATCACATAATACACTCGGGTTAAATTTCTGCACTGCCCATACTCTATAATAAATACAGTTCTTGGATAAAGAGAACTTTGACAAAAAAATGGATTATGGCTAAAGTACGGGGGCTGTTCAGAAATCTTACCTAAACTTGTCTATTAATATAACGTTTGTACAGCTAGGGTAGCCTGATTTATATTTGCAAGGAAAAAAGCACCTGGTAAGAAACCAAACAAGATTCCCACACGGCCCCACACTTAGTTATGCAGACAGTTCTGGTTGGAAAAAAAAATGGCAAAAACAACAGAAGCCTTTGGGACCATGGCTTTGTGTTTGAACAGTTAGGGGGTATACTGAATTCTTAAGAAACTATAGTTTAATAAAATTGTTGTTACTGTATAAAGGGTATCATTTTTTCATTCATAAAACTACCAGAGTAATAAAAAGTAATCTTGTGAAAAATCATGTGAAAGTAGTGTAACTGTTCTTTTTCTCATGCCTTGAATGGTTTACAGCAAAAAGTTTGCGGATGAGAGGGCCACTGAATGACGAGGAACGGGTGACATTGTCAGTAAGTTTTCAGTTATTATTTTCCTCCTAATATTTCTCTTATTTGTGTTGTCTTCATTGGCTAACACAAGGATGAATTGTGTAAATTTTGTGCTTTGCAGAATTCTGAAATGTCCTGCTTTGCTAGCAGAGAGGTAATCATGCATTAATTCTCATGGGACTAATCTGTCCCATAAAATTACTTTTTAGAGTGCTATAAAGCCATTTCCACAAAGATCCCAGCCAATTATGAAAAGAGTCAGAAGGGAACTACAGAGTGTTCTTGCTGAGAGACAGGTAAAATCAAATAAGTTTATTGGTGACAACAACAATTCAATTTTTCTTTTGGTTTATCAAATGCTTGTGAAGGCTACAAGGCTGCTTGTGTATTTAGAACTTATTTCTGATTATTTCTTTAACAGGGATGGAGGATCTTCTGGATGATTATTTTAAATGCTCTTTGTTCTTTTGGACTCTTTGTTTACAGTGGATCAACAAATAGTTTAGGTAATATCAACATTTATTCAAAGACAGGATCATTGGTTTATGCAGTTTTGATTAGCACAGCCTCAGTAGTGTTTGAGCTATCATGGAATAACTGATACTATCATGCTCTGATTGGTCAAAAGCCTATCATTTATGGTTGTGATGTGAAGAAAGGTCAGTTTGCTGTTGAGGAGGTCCTGAAATTTGTTTCTGTGTTGGACTGATTGTTAAACAGTTACACAACACTGTTTTTTTTCCTATCCACTTACTTCCTTTCATGTATCTTCAAAATAATTGTATGTTTAATATTATAAAATTTTTTTGGTCTTCTTTCAGCTCTCACATCATTTAGCTACCTGACAATATTTGATTTACTAAGGTATGGTATTGAAAAACAACATTTTAAAACAATCATTTTTCTTAATTTTAAAGTTCTTTGCTGCTTAACATTGTTATTTTCCTTTCTAGTCTTTTAACATGCCTTTTATCACTTTGGGTGTCACTTCAGAAACCATCCACAACTTTTTCTTTTGGGTAAGGGTCTTTGTCAGTGTTAAATAGCAGTTAGAAACCAGAAAATATGAGCTGAGTTTTTGTGTACAACGGCCTTGTCTCATTCAGTGGTCGATATATTCTTACTAGGCAGTAAGGTGATAAAAAATACAAGAAAATGTCAACTTGGAAATACTATTTGATTTAAAACCAAATTTGTTTTCCAGTATAACCACTTTGCACTCAATCATTTAAGACATGTCTAAGCTTTCTGGCTATCATTATTTTCACTTCCTAGTTATGAGCGATTTGAAGTGTTGGCCGTATTTACTACCACAGTGCTTGTGATGTTTGGAGCTCTATTTATTGTTAAAGAAAGGTAAGCATAATTTTTTTCAATTGTCGTAATGTTCAGTTTTCTAGAGCTCGATCTCCAGAAGTTGAAATGCTTTTGCATCTGCACTTGTCAGAAGCTCCTGTCCTTTTGATAACTTAAAATCAGAAAACTTTCAAATTTTTGTGTAATCCATTGTTTACTGATATTATTTCCTAGCACTGAAAGGTTGTTAATGCCTCCAGAAGTTATGACGTAAGTTCAGTACATACTGTTACTGCCCTGTTCTTGTTGTTCCCTCTCCTCATGAGTAAGATAAAAATTATTCCATACAACAAATTTTCTTGCCTTTTGTTTTTGTGCAAAGTGATCTAAACAAAGATAATATAAAATTATTTATGAGCTTCAAAAGATGGAACTTTCATTTGCTTTTACAACACTGCTGTGATAAACGGTTTTTGATAAAATTCTTGAGAAAATTCGTAAAATTCATAAAACAATATTTTCAATATATTTACTTCCATTGAGTGTCTGTATTTGTTAAAACATCGAAAATGTCTTAAGTCATGAACATAACATCTACAGGAGAAGAGTTCCATCCTTTTTCTTCCCTTTCTGTTTCCTTTTCCCACTCGTCTACCATTCCTGTTTTCAAACGCTTATCCTTACTTTGAACTGGGCATATGTCTTTGTGGCTACCACTGACAAATTTAGTAACTTAATACATGAAATTGTTAGTATTTCTTTTTACTGATTTTTTTTTCAATTTCTTTCACCAGAGATAATCTTCTTCCTGTCACGTCAGTTGGGTTGTTCTTACACTTACTTGTGACTTATGGTGTCACTAATAAGCCCTTCAGTCTAGTGTCTAAAGGTAACTTTCAAAACATGAACATTAAAGTTTGAAAACTTGATGCCAAGCAGGGATATGTTGGTGGCACAGAACAATAATTTCCCAATGCTCTAAGCTGCAACCTATTTGGTCACCACAGTGAGTAGGACACAAATTTCAGTGGCAAAATTTGCAGCTTAAGTTGCCAAAATTTGTCAATATTTTTGAGGGTGTATGAGTATTAAACCTTTAGACTGTGAGTTGAGGTTGTAAAAAGACAACTTTGGAAAATATTGAGCTTGGAGCTCTAATTTGACAATTAGAAAGATCAATCAGATGATAATTTTATGGAGAAGCTTGGTCTCCTTTACTTGAGCACATGTTTTGACTTCTTTGGCATCTAATGATTTCCAATTAATAATTCCTTGCCTTGATTCATCTAATGAGTGTTCCACCTCAAATTAAGCTGTCCTATTTTCATTGATTTCTGGCTTTTATAATGTTGTGTCTATTTAAATATGAATATCTTTGATGCCGTTCTCTTAAAATTTGGGCTCAAGTCTTCTTTGTTTTTTTGTTTTAGCTGCTTCATCAAATTGGTTGCAGGATGCAGTGAATGATTTTGGTCACAGGTGAGTCGGCCATCTGCTTAGTTGTGTACAGTGACAAGCATGTGGAAATATTTGAGTGAAAATGCTGTGACAAAATTTCATATCTGAGAAATCTGAGAGCTAGAGAACAACTGACCTCCTCTTCAGGCAAAGCTTCTGGCAATAACATCAGTGGAATTGCAGTCCCTGACTCCTGGGTTCTCATTATGAAATGTATTCTCAAGAGAAAAAGTAAAGTATTTTGAGAAAATTTTTTCTGTATCTGAATGAAAAATTTCTCCAGTGCACCATTGAAATTCATCCACAGATTTCTGCCTAATAGCCCAAGAATTCTCTTACTTCTAATGCTCATGAACACCCTGTGACTCTGAGAGATTGAATTTCTATCTACACTCCCCTCCCTACATGATTTCAGTAATGGAGAAAAACAGGTATTGTATTTAACTGAATTTGAAATGGGAAAGAGGGTGATTACAGAGCCTGTTTGTCTATTTTTTTATTTTTCAAAGACCTAAAATTGTAAAGGGATGTAGCTGGCTTTGTTAAACCTCTGAGTTTATGAATTGTTGTGTTGCAGCATTTGTGGGTTTGCACCATTCTTGGGCAAAGTCCTTGTGCAGCGGTTCAACCCTATAGCTCTGCTAGGTGTGGCAGGAGCAGCGTTAGTTTTAACAACTGATTTTTTAATCAACTACAAGTAAGAGTGCTTGGTATTCTTTTCGTATCTATTTAAAAATTAAAAGTGAATGATTTTAAGTATTGGAAATCATCAGTTCATCAAAAAAGTTGTTATTTTTTATGATACAACCAAGTGTGCAGTGTTGATGCATACTTCCTGCAAGCTCTTCTTTGTGTTGACAACCTACAAGTCTTGTCAAATCTTAAAAATAATTTTTAATAACCAGTACATTTTATAATACTCTGCTAAATGAGGTGTGAGATTTGTTATTCACTTGAATGTTACTAACCAAGTAATCACATCAACAATTTTTTGTTTTCTTTACCAGTCAATCCTTCATTGCTGACAGCTTTTGTGCGATAGTAACAGCATTTATGATGTGGGCAACCATGTTACCACTCAGCATATACAGTGGACAGATTCTTCTACAGGTAGTAGGCTTTGGGTCTCATGGCAGTTGTATATGATAATGTCTATAACCCGAATACTGTCATTTATTATTATTAATAGTTAATGAGCCAGTTTTCATTTCCTCTTATTTTTATTTATCACAGACTTGCCCTATTGATATCATGAATCAGATAGACAAGTGTCTACGTGAGGTAAGAAAGGTTTAACAAAAATTACCATGTCTACTTCACAAGGTTTCAATTTAATCTTTGCAAGAAAAGTAGTAGCCATTCATCAAAATAAAAATCCTCATCATCCTCATCTGGGGTGTGGGTGTGTTTAGGTTCTAATACATACTATGTGCCACATAACTTGTCATATTTGGTGGCATGAAATTTTCCCACTGGTAATGGCTTGGTCAGTGATCTCAGAATTCTTCTTAGATAACTGTTGTGCTTTTCTCCCGAAAACATCAAGTATATGAATTACTGAGAAAGAATCAATAAGCTTTATTTCCTATTATTGCAGGCATCTACCCTAGATGGTGTGTTGGAATTTAGAAATGAGCACTTCTGGACAGTTTCATTTGGAAGAATGGTGAGATGCATCAAACACTTTACTGTCTCCATAATGCCTTTTTCTCACTGAAATTTCTTGGAAAAAAATAGCAGGTTTCTATGGTGATATGAAAATGCAGTCAGCTTCCAATAATTGCCCTCAAAATCAGTTTCTTTCACAGAGTCTGATGCAACAAATGACATAATGTGGGCCTTTAAGGAGACATTACAATATAGAAAGTTAAATTTTGATTAAATGGAAAGTTAACATGTTCGCCGAACCATTAACCTGAAGACATCTGAGTTGTTGACTTACAGACCAAACGTAGGGCAACATGTGGCTCATTCCTGTACAATGATCATACAGTTTGATGTATGTTGCTACATGATTCCCCTTGCTAATATGGATGTTTCCTTCATTATGTCTCACAATTGTTACAGTGTATTTGGAAAATTTGGGGTTGTAAATGATATTGTTAATAGTTTTCTTGAGTAAGATTTCAGATTGTGGTTTTTAATTATGATGATGATTATTGTTTTGCTGTCAACCTTTTATAGGCTGGTTCCTTGCATGTCAGAGTAAGAAGAGATGCTAGTGAACAGGTAATGACAAATGTTAAAGTATTCTTTCCAAATTACATGAAAATAGTGAAAGAGGAAGATCTAATATTTTTATTTTTTTGTGTGTAGAGTAACCTTTCCTTCAACATGACTAACCAAAAAATTATAGTACAGAGCCCAGTTGTTCAAAGAGCAGATAAACTTATCCAACTGATAAATCACTATCCAGTAAATAAGTGTTAACTAAAGGTACTGCACTATACATTGGATAGAGATTTATCCAACGTATAGCATTATCCACCCTTCAAACAACCAGGGCCAAAAGTGAAGAAAATGCAGAAATGGGAAGAACAAATCCAAATGGAATAAAGATGTTGAAAGAATGGAGAAGATTAACTCAGTGGCAAATTTCAAACTTTAAAAAATTTAAATGGATAGGTAATTTGGAATAAAAACTTGGGTCAGTTCATTTATTGGTTATGATGATGATGATGATGATGATGATGATGATGATGAACCAAGATTTTAAGTCATCTTGAACCGAGGTACTCAAGGCCTTGAAATTAATTAACACATGAACCTTTGTGTTTCAGTCTGAACTGCTCAGCTCTAAAACTTTTTAATATTTTCTGTTCTGTGTTTTATTTCACAGATGGTGCTAGCTCATGTAACAAACAAGTTATCTAGCCATGTAACACACTTAACAATTCAAGTATTCAAAGATGATTGGATACGACCATCAAGTACTACAAAGGTCAACATTCCAAGTCTACCATCTGTGGCTGGTTCTCCTAGCAGCTCTCTGCTAACAAGGCCATACAGCAGTCCACAGTTGTACAAAACTAACTCCCCACCAGTCACAAGAGGACTGGATAGACCCAAAACAGACAACAGGACAGCTACAAACAAAGCTTCAACTCCTTTCATGACCATCTCTCCACACAAGACATCATGATGGTTACCAAACCTTCAATCTCAATATCTGGAACCAAATTCTCCCAACTGTTAACATTTTATTCCTCCATCACTCCATCCTGAGAATTTGTTGTGCATCAATAACAAAGCAACATCCCAGAGTTAAAAATTTCCAATATTATCTTTGTCTTTCTAACTGAAATTTGATCAAATTGTAAGGAGAATTTAGGTATTGAGCACTAGTGAGAGTTAAATGTAAGGATCTAATTAAATGAAGTGTCAGTAGCCTTATTTATTTTTTGACATCATTAGTCTGTCATTATAACTGAAAGCAGTTGAGGCTAAAAATGCAAATAAACTCTATGTTTTCTCTATTGCTGGTTTTCTTAAAAAAAAAGATTGATGTAAAGTAACAAATAATATTCTCCAGGTCTGTATAAACATCAGCTCAGGTCATTGAAACTTAGCAATGGGATTTTCATGGGATTTTCATGGGATTTAGAGAATACCACAATCTCCTGTGTTTATTGAACACATTGTCTATTCCCACTAAGGAAAAAGCTATGGATATACACAACTTAACAAAGAAGCTCAAAGAAACACTTACAATTACAAAGGAGACAACACAGCCCATTTTTTCAGCAGTCTTACCATGAATTTTGCAGTTTAATTATTATAGATCTGTACAGTTTCAAAGTTAGTGATCATTATTGTTATTTTTTAGATGAAAATACTTTGGTTCTAAAGTTTCTAAAGACAGTTTGTTGCTGATCAGTTGTTGAGTATACATTTTCAAAAATGATGAATCTCAAAACATCAGAAATGCTTCTAAGAAGCAAAAGCTTTGGTGACACTGAGAAGATTTTCTCCATTGAGAATTTCAATCCAGTAGCCATCAGGATCTTCAACAAATGCAATTCCTTTCATTTTACCTTCAGATAGAAAGAAGAAGAGCAAGTAAATGTGTTAAAATAAATCAAAATCATCGAGACTACTGAGCCCAATTGGAAAGAAATTAATGTATTAGAATGAATTCAAATGAGTTCTCAATCTCTGAAGACCTTTCCTTAGCAATCAGACAATCCTCTCTTAAAGCATTTAAAAAAGATACTGTTTAAAGCCTCCATGCAAGGATGATAGTACAGAGATCACTTAGTTACTGTCAGCTTTTGTTGTTTATCATCAGCTGATTATCCATTCTTTAGCTTGTTACCTCCCACACATCAACAGTCTACAAACTAAAATGCAGATATTTCATACTTAACAAACATCATACAAGCTTACCATCATTAGGTTTTTTGACAAATTTCACCCCAAGCTTTTCAAAACGCTCACAGGCCTTGTCCACATCAGGCACAGTGAAACCAATGTGACCTAACAAGGGAAAAAAATGAACAAAGAATAACTCATTATGTATATATAGGCTTTACAACCTGCTAATTTTTGGAGTGGATTAAACCTTCAACACTCAGCAGAGTCCATTCCTAAGATCTACTTTACATTGGGGAGGCAGCTTATTTGTTTTAACTCTATGACCACTGGACGAGAAGAAACACTGAAAGTGAAATTTATATTAACAATGTAGTTTCATTGAGGTATAATTTAGAATTCAAGGTTACCTATATGGTCAACATAAATGTGACAGTGTAAAATTAAGTCATTTGATTAATAGGAGTAAGACACATTGATTAGGGCATTGACATCTTGTAACATTAAGTCATTGGATTAATGGCTCAAAGATGTATTGGCCTTTGATTTCTCTGATTAGTGCATTGATATCTGGTTTGCCAAGCTTGGGTTCAAGGCCTGGGCATGTCTTTTAGTGGTGTTCTTTGGCAAGACACTCAGTGTCTCTCTTCATGTTAGAGTCTAAATGGGTGCTAGCAAATTGTCAAAGAAATTGGAAATCCTGAATGACAACTTGAAAATAATTATTACTCCTGATCAAAACATGCTTTCAAAAATAGGAAAAGCTCTAAGAATGTGGGCTGTATAGATCATGTGCAAGACTTTCTCTCAAAATTGCTTTTACCTTCTACAGAATTTAAAAGAAAGGATGCTCACCAAATCCTTTTGGTTCAGAGTTTCCATTATGGTATTTCAAATCAGGGTCATTCTCTGTTCCCCAGTTACTGTTGACACAAAAAAGAGTTTCAAAATCTCTAGGGGGTTCAGTTAAATTTAGAAGAGCCTTGTAAATTACCGATGACAAAACATACAGGAAAATATGCAGTATATTGTCATTGTAATCAAACATCAAAACTTGTCACATTTACTTGGGAACATTCAATTTAACATCTGCAGTCTGAAGGTACTTTTCCTTACCACTTTAACGTAAGGCAAATTTTTTTACTATCACTTATCAAATCACAAATATATTACAGTTTTTACTCACTGTGTTAATTCTAAAGTTGCTTTTTGAGCACAAAGCCACTTGGTCCTCTCATCGGCATCTTCTGGAATGGCTGATGCTTCTTCAAATCCAAGAAAATACAAGGAAAACTTCATTTCTGGGAAGTGATACTTCTGTAAAAGCCTATATCATAGGGACAATAAATTAAAAAAAAAAAACAATAGCTGGTAGTCCATCCCCTGAGATACAAATTTAACCTCCCATCTGCAATGAAAGTCACAAAATCTACCAGATGAAAGCCAATTTAGACCTTTCCTAAATGAAATTAGAGAAATAAGAATTTATCCCTGGCTTGTTTCCAATGCATAATTATTATTAATTGTGCTTTAGAGCACAATTAGTGATGCCTAAAGAAGGGGAGGGTGACCCCCCAAAAAAGTTCAGAGTTGTTTGCAGGGCCTTGCCTCTCTATTCTGGAGGTTACATCTCTACACTGCTCTCCCAAGGGTGGGGCAGTCTTTTATTCTGAAATTTGGTCAAGATTTGTACAACCTTAAGGATGAAGGTCTACAATTGGTCACCATTCACTTATCTTTGGTCTGAAATTTGATAGGACTTTCAAGAAGCACACATACTTCACCCGAAATTGCGGACAAACCTCCAACCCCCCCCCCCCTTCCCCGCCCCTGAGCCCTCTTCCCTTCCACTTCTTCCACATCCACGGAGAGATAGCTGCAGAGAAATGTTACAAACAAAACCTTTTGAGCTTAATTCGTAAAAATTGCACAAGCTACTTTGACTAATTAAGACAAAAAAGGCAGAAAAAGATGGGCTCCATGAAAAATTGGTACAAACTGACCTCATGCCCATCACACGTGTGTAGAAATCGAGCGACACTTTAGGATCTTTTACCCGAATCATCGTCTGCTGAAAAGTGAAACCCCTCGTGTTTTCGTCTGGTTCAGTGACGGAAGAACTAATATCTTCTTCAGATAACGCCATTTCTGGTAGTTATTCATAAACTTAAAGATTTTAAAGTGCTTAGTCAGTGGCCCTTTGACATCGAGACTGGCAAATAGTACCCAATCCTTTTCCGAAATCAACATTATCTGTACGCCTGGTTACTTAGCTTCATCTTTTCGAATTACGGGTATTATAAATATGGCGATTAGTGACAGTTTATACCGATTTTTGCTAAGTTCGGGAATTATGGTCGGTGGTACTGGCTTGGCTTGGATGTTAATGAAAGTTATTGTACCAACCAAAGAAGATATGCTCAAGGTAGTTCTTTGATTACTATTATTTTGTCGCGTTTGGATGGCCAAATACACAACTGACCTGAAAGTTTCTTAAGCTTTCCCTATCTTAGTTCTTCAAGAAGACATCGCTATTTAAGACTTGAATCTTGCAGCACCTTGAAATTGTTTTGAAGATAAGGAAAACGTACGAAATCTCATTTGGAAATCCTGTAGGGCTGAGATTTTGGAAGTGGTCACCTTCAAAGAAATGTGGATTATACAAGCTTTATTATGTAACTGGCTATCTCATTGGCAGGCAGGTCGAATTCCACGTCAATAGCATGTAATAATGATAAACGCAAATCTCAGGTTTCCATGACAGATCCATGTTGGTTATTGAATATACCATACCTGAGGGCATTAGAGACTTGCCTTTTCATTTTTTTTTTTGGAGTGGGGAAGGGGGGATGGATGAGGGAGAGAAAGAGCTCTTACCCCTAGGGCCTACATGTAAAGCAACTCCCCCTAGTTTATCTTGTATTCTCTTAAAAGTGATCAGAAATTAATAGAAATAATCATCTGATTTCCTTTGCAATTTGCGTGATTTCATTCATGATGGTGAATTTGTTTGTGACAGCCACCCAATTTGTGGGTATGATCAAAATAGGGGGAAAAGCAAAAGAAAATTTTGGGGATAAGGAATCCTGTCAATTTACTCCCCCTTCTCTTTCTGAAATCAACACTGACTGAAAACCTAGAGCAGGCTAATGGTGAAGAAGAAGTCAAAGAAATGTATTCCCAAAGAAGTCTCTTTGTATGGAACAGTTCTGTCCACACACAAATGATTAGCACATACAACATATTTCCATTCCTGACCTTACTTACTTACATTAGCCCTCTTTGTATGAACTTTTGTTTCCTAGAAACTTCCAGACGAGGCAACATCTCCTGAGGCTTTAGCAACACAAGACAGAATAAATGAGCAGTTTTTTATGGTTCTTAAAGAAAACATGAATTCCAGCAATCCAGCTTGGAAAGTTATGGGGCTAAAGGAAGTACAGGAAAGACAACAAAAAAGGAAAGATCAGCAGCAGAAGAAAGAAGCAAAATTAAAAGAAAAACAATCTAATGAGTTCACAACTGAATAGAGTAGAGTTTCCAAGTTTACCACTGCTATAATAAAGAAAGTGGTAACTTTCTGGTCATTTAAAACAAGTTGACTTCTTCTAAAGGTTTAGGCCATACCATCTACTCTCTTACTTGCTGGAATATTCAGCAAGAATACTGGTTGCCATTTAGAAAAAGAAAATTTTTTTTCAGGCACATTAGGCATAATGTGCACTAATCTAAAGAACTTTTCCATGGAGCAAGAGGCTTGTGGAAGAGTGCTTCTAAATTTTTTTTGACTGAAATAAGATAGGTACTGAGTTACTCTCTACTTTTCCTATCAGAAATGGTTAAAAAACATGTCAATGCACATTAAAAATTCTTTCTGAGAAGTATTTGTGGGGAGGTTCATAAGATAAAAGTATAGAAAATATGTAAATAAATCTTTTCTCTTGCGCTTATATTGTGTTATCAATGAGACTCTTGTCAAATTATTGCAAAAAAACATCGAGTTGAATAAAAAATGGAATTGTTTACTCACATTTCTGTTTTTCACAAACTGTGGCACAAAATGACCTTGACTTGAAATCTAATGAAGTGAACTTTGTTTGACTCATGAAATCATCCCCTACTGTTGTAATTTATTGATGAAGGTTACATTAACCTTTTACTAATAGGGGTTCATCTCTTGAATCAGCCACAGGTCTTAGCATATTTGCTGTGGTTGTGAAATGGTGCCAAATCATACCTAATGAGTCATTAGGGAGGCCTGGGTTTAAACCCACTCCTAGGTTATGTTGAGTAATTCTCCCTTCTAGCTGCTCAACTTTTCCCTAAAAATACTGAGGAGAATTTGTTACTTCATCAACAAAAATATCTTGGCTAGTTAGTTCTTATATACTTACCACATGTTGCTGGAGAATATGGAAATAATGTAAGGAGAAGTAACAAGTTAATCACTTAGTGAACTGGGAATAAAATCAGTTCAGTCAGTTGGTGTATTGAGTAAAAACACATAAACTGTTAGTGGTTTTCATCTTACAGGTTTTATCTTAAGTTTACATCAGTTTCAAAGTTGTATTTATAACTGGAATGATATCTTAACATTCACAAATAACATAAAGAAAAATTCAGTTGCACTTGGATAAAGAGTTACGTTAAAAGGTAAATTTTGCATGTTACTATACTTTTACACTATATCAGAGGGAAAGTTCATAATTTATTCTATACATTTTCTATGCTACTTACAAGGAGAATTTGTCTTACAATCAAGAACTTCTTGAGTTTGTGATCATTTCCTTTATTCTCATGAACTTAATGTTAGATTCAAGGGTGATACTGTTTGGAGAAATTAGATGTTAATCCAGCTGAGGCATTAAAGGGTTAGCCCTTTCTTAACATTGTTTGAAGTCACAAGGGAGAAATTTTCCTTGTCTTTACCAGATATTAACTGTCAAATAAAGCACTGAAAACAAACTGATGGAAGATACAGGTAAAGGTTTTCAACCTTCTAGTAGCATTTCAAAGAAAAACCTGAGGTAATTTGTCACTGATGCTCAGGTATGGACTTCTGTTTCCATGATTTACAACACAGTTTACATCTTTTTCAGTTCTCCTGTTATGAACCAGAGTCTTAAATTGTAACCTCCCAAAATGCCAAAGAAAATTTAGATTCTCCAACGTTTTCCATGTAAGCTTTTCATGCCGAGCAAGTTCCCAAACTTGATTAGGAAAATGAGTAACAAAGCTAACGTTTCCTATTCCTGTTGTGCAGTTTGAGACACTTTTTCATAAAAATATTGCACAGATTGATAATCTATTTCCTCCAAACCATTCACAAACAGGTTCCTCTGCTGGTCAGTCCATTGCAAAAACCACTTGTTAAACATTCGAAGCTGGCAATGAAAAACATCTGGGCTTGCTAACGAAAGAGACTCCAAAGCGTCATTTAATGAAGACAGTTTGTTAGGAGTGACTTTATTAGCGAGGATATCTATGAACTCATACTTTTGATGTTCTGTCCAACAGCTAAACCACGACAAAACAATTCTCAATTCTTCATCTGTTGATTTTTTCTCCGTGCAGGCGGCCATTCACTGAGTTGCATCTTGGTGAAACTGGAACAATTCAGGACAGGCGTTCCTTGAAGTTACAACAGTCTCTAGGACGTAGTCTGGGTTCTACTTATATCCAAAATGGCGGTCGTAGGTTCATTGACGAAGGGAACGGGTGAAGTTTTAGAATTTAGACATGTGCTTCTTTCATCTCAACACTCTCAAGGAAGAAAGGAAGATTTTGAAAGTCTAGTCCACTCCTTAAAGAAACTTCAACAGGATGTTAACTCTTGTTTAACGGAAATCATTGAACAGGAAAAGACATCAGAAACAAACCAGGCCTCCAAAAACCGTGAGTAAAATTTTAGATTAAGTAACATCTTCAAACCGAAACCTTCGAGTTCATCCAGTTGCAGAGAGAGAAAATAAAAATCCTTCAGTTGATGCAGGAAGCTCTCTCTCCATTTACAACTATCTCTAACTCTCTTAGGGATTTTTTTTGCTCGAGCTTGCAGTTAATACAAGGGTAAAGGAGTTTTCTCACACATCGTGTTAATGATACCAACGTATAATAAACAACGCATTTCCGTTTTGTGATACAGAAACAACTGAAGACGATGACCCGGATGACAGCGAAGATGACTTGGAAGATCTAGATACCACAGAGAAGCAAAACGGAGCGATACAAGAGCCACAGTTGAAGAAGTTGAGAACATAGCTTGTTGAGGATTTTGTAGTAGTCTTACTGGCACAGCTGGCCTCGAAGGGGAAGAAGAAACATGAGGAGAAAAGGCAGCTTATGCAATCGAGTATGCTATGCACATAGCACTCTGATTGGATGAAAGTATATGAAGATAAAGTTTTTTTAATGGAACATGTCAAGAACTGAATGTCATTTGAAGAATTAAATCCTTGAGAACGACCACTATCTCAACCAATCGCAACTTGGGCACTCGCGTTTTCCTGCGTTTTAGGCAGCTACCTTATACTGACTAATAACTATAGTCTTCTGATTGGTTGTTGTAATTACCTGGTTTTGATTTTACTAAGAGATTATAGTCTCTTGGTTTTAGGATACTTAATCGAAAAGCGCTCTAGTTAACTATCCTATGGACAATTGCTTTCAAATATGCGTGGATTTGATTACAGACACACCTAGCCGCTGACCTGTAACACAACAAATGGTTGGTGTTGGTGATCTGTTTGAATAATTATGCGCTAAAATTTCGTGATCAACAGAATGATTTTCTGCGCGTGTGGCCAGCTAACAGAGTCATTTCCAAAATGAGCACGCCCATTGTCAAAAGGTTTGGTACATTTTGAGACTGTTAAAAAGGTTCACTTTTAGTAATCTCAAAACAGGGTACAAGTGTCTTTTTTGGAGATAAAAATTGTGCAGTCTCAGAAGTATATTTCTCCCTTAGGCATGATGTAACCTGCAATGTATTTTGTTGTTCAAGGTGAACTAAAGATGCTTTTTCCAGCTAAACTGTCACCTCTGTGACTTGTCCAAGGCCATTTTCTTATAAAAAAAATCCCACCATTGAGACTCTCCTTTAGTCACATGGCAAGATGACCGCGTATTTGTTCGTTACCCTCCTCATAGTCTGTCCGATAGTCTGAGACTTGTTTTGTCCTCTTGAATCAAGGGTGCTTGATTAAGGCTAAGAAGCCACACTCCCTTTGTTACGAAAAAGACCAGGGCAAAATTTTTTGATCTAGGTCTATTTTATATCAATAATTGTTTCGCAAATAAAACTCAGAACGTTGTCTCTTCTAATTTGCATAATAGAACTGCACTCAATAGGCGTCTTCTCATAACGTGCGAAATCTTGTGTTTTACGTTAATCACCTTAATAAATTTTAAAACTATATATAAAAAAACCGGCTTCCAATTTTTTATCCATATTTTAAATTTATTATCATTATTTTTTTAAAATTCTTTTTCATGAACATTACTGAGTGTGCAAGATCTTCAAAATTTTTTTATAACGCATTGGTTGTTTAGACTACGCACGATCGATTTGCCATGAGACCGCCAAAAATAAAGCAACTATTATTTGTATAGTACAGTACTCTTGCACCATTAGTCATGAATTCAGTTTATTATAACACTACAAGAACGAACCGCAATTAGTCTCGATAGTCTGTAGTCTACTTTTTGTTTACGTCAACAAGTAAACAGATCATTTGAGAATTTTCCTTTAATTTGCATCTTTCAATACATACAATACATGTGTTTGTCTCATATCATCTAGCAGGTGTTTTGAACTGCACCAGTGAAACTCACTTACGCGCTGACATCTCGACCAATAATTTTGCGACAGGTTATAAACAAACCAGAACTCGCTTAAGTTTGACAGCAACGCGCGCGAGCTAAGAGACTATCGCCAGCATCGACTTTACATCGGCGTTTGTTTGCTGAAAGCCATCTCTTCAAGTGAAACTCTCCTTTAAGGAAGACAAAGAAGCCATTGAAAGCGGATTGGTAGAGTAAGAGCTTGGCTTAAGGTTTTTCTTTGCGTTTAATCGCTCCATTTCCTATCATTGCGATTCGCTTTGTGTTATTTTTATAACTGGATCGTGCTGTTAGTCTTATCTGGAGAGAGTATTCTGCGGTCTGTCTCTTTTTGAGTCTGCACACAGTCAAGACAACCATCTTAATTATCAACAGTCCTAAGGTCAGTTGGACATATGATTTTTTTTTCTGTAAACTTCATTTTTCATTTTCGCGACATCTCCAAACAACGCCAGGTGCTCGAGAAGCCAAAATTTTAAAGTGAAAAAACATAGAGCTATACGAGTTTGAATTGGCATTTAAAGTATCTTGGAATTTCGGTCAGTTAGTGCGCCAAAACCAAAAATTAAATTATTCTCATCTATCATCTGAGAGAGCGACCGCATAGAATAAGTTTAGCGTTTGAGAAGTAACGTTGTGAGAAGCTTGTTTTCATTATTGGTAACAGTTTTTTCCATTAAAGCTCCTGGTTTCACTCGGAGCGAGAATTTTCAGAGTTTGAGGAAAAACACGATATTCTACCTTGCCGGAGAATTTTTGATGACATGCTTGGATGCCGGTTGACAAACAAGTTCTGTTTATTCGCCATTATGAATTAACGCAGTTTTGTAGTTCCGTTTGTAAAACAGCTCTAAGTGAGTTCAAGGTTTAAATTTAGATCAGTGACTTCCTTACATTTCCCTGTACGGATTGAAGATTGACTAAAACTGTAATAAACCCTGGGACTATAGTTACAATTTTGTCGACCAAACGAAGTTGTATGGATAGTGGGTTCCAGTTGCGTTGCAAGAAACTAGAAACTAATAAATACCAAATGAGATGGATGCAGTTGATCAAATAAAGCGGTAAACCATAGCAAGACCGTGTACCCGAATCATTGAAAACTAGTGAAGAAGTTCGTCTAGGAAACGTCGTTAACGAAGAAAGAAAAACATGAAAAAGTTATTGAATGACCGGAGGTTGTTTCATGATCGAAGACTATTTGTAACGCCCACCAGTGACATCCATGTCGATATTAGAATGATTTTTTTCTCATAAATATGTCTCGAAACATTGCCATCACATTAGTCTAAGAGTTTTTTTCCGATCTTTTTTCAGTGTGTAAAGTTGAAAAATTCACCGCTTCAGGACTTTTCCCGTCTCTTAATACGTTAATAGCATAAATACTTAAAATAGAATTGATACATTTTCATGCCTCAAAAATTGACTCAAAAATTTGGGTTCAAGACAAGGTTGATCGTAAACAAACTCCTATCATTGAAATCTATCATGACGTCACTGATGGTCTGCAATTGATAGATCGGCATACATTTACTTAAATTGTACTTAGGTTTAAAGAATGGAAAAATTGCTGACAGCGTTAAGTTCTTCGGAAACAGATATATTTTCGCTTCTTCATTATATGTGGATTTTCTGGAGACATATTCAAAACTTTTCGGTACATCTAGCAACATGTCATACATGCCGTGTGAATCGCCGGTTTGACCACTATAAGTCAAATTGGGGTCTTCTGTTGATAAGGCGCATTTCGGTTGAGCGTCGACCGAACGGAAATAAAGAAGTAAAACGGCCAATCGGAACAAAGGAAAATTTCTCAATGAGATTTCAGAACTTGCTGATGCGAGTTAATGTTGCGTCTGATTGGTTGAGAGAGTAGCGCGCGACTTCTCATTAAAATCTATTACACCGCGTGGTGAAACAAAACAAATCATATCCTGTATTACTCCGCTCGTCCGAACTTAGTATAGCCCTATCGGCTAGGGAAAATATTTGGATCGGAGACTTGAAAAAACTCCTTGTGTAGAGGAATTTTCTCATGCAAGAAAATATTTTGTTGAAAAGAGTCCATTAACGATACCATGTATATTCAGTTTTCAGCTGAACGGATGCTGGTGGAGGCCTGGGGCTGGGGCTATTTGCCATGCTTATTGGCTGTGTTGGTGTTATGTAGCGTGACCCTGACTTGGGACGCCCCTCTTTTTGCCCCATATCGTGAACATTATGTGTCTAAGGCGCATTATCATGGAGTTGATGTCTTCACAGAGGCCCTCCATTCGCCTGTGGGGCCTGAACAGTTCATGGAGCATTTTTATGTGTGCTACGGAAGAGATGGACGGAAAACGTACTTTAAAAAACAGGACCAAAATTATTTCTCTAACCGAAGGTACTGGGTGATTAGTTCTTCCGGTAAATTTGTGGCTTCTATGCGAACCTGTTGATGTAGAGGACACATACTGTATGATAGGAGTTACATAACCTTCAAGAAATCTCTTCGTAGACGTATGAACAAATGCTTAAGATAACACCTATCACAAATACTAAAAAAAATACTCGTTCGCATCCAGATCACCTTGCGAGTGATGAATTAGTTGTCATTGCAGGTTCGGTAGGTTAGCGTCAAACTCATTGATGGGGCTAATATTTACCACAACATTTTGTTGCACTTAACTGTAACGTGCAAATATAGCTTAAAAGCAAGGACCAAAAACACCACCTACAGAACGTTGTCACTCAAATAGTGAGCAGCTACGCAACTTTATTAGAACACTTTATTTAGGACAACAAAATGGCTGCTGTGACGTCGCATGAACACAAACGCCAACAGCTTAAAGATGGACATTCACACAGGATTACACAGGAATCTGAAGAAAGCAGACATCTTCTGTGGAGAGTCTGGCTTAAGTTGCAGTAGGAAGATGGGGTTATAAATTATTTTATGAAGTTATGATCAAACAAATCTGATCTTATATCCGCGGCGAGTATTGTTGTAGTATGGGGTACATATGAAAATGATTCTGATTGGTCTAAGTCTGCAAGATAATGAATAAGACATAACAAAAAAAAAGACATTTAAAAAAAAGGTGAATGTGTGTAATAACTTTTCTCCGACTTGGTGAAGTACTAAATACAAAATAACGACAGTCTTTAACCAGCTAACATTTACATTTTTATAATCCTTCAATGTATAAGAACTAACAAATTCAGAATCTTTTTAACTAAACATTTCCTCTCGTTGATGTAATGAGTGAATGATGGAATCAACCTAGGGCCTAGGGCCTCTCTTTTTCTCTATCTCTTACCCCATTGTATTGAAGGGGGCAAGGGGAGGGGGCTGGGGGTTTTGCACTACTTAAAATGAAAGTGAGCTGTAATTTTTACAAGAAGTGATGCAAAGTTTCTTAAGAGGCCTTCACAAATGGAACACACATATGCCAAAAAACACCCTACACTAAATAGTTGGAATCTGGAAGAAACAGTAGTCATCTTGGCAAGGGTAGTCCTGCAAAAGAGCAGTGTTTCATCGTGACTGAGATTTTAAAACACATTTCAAAGTCATCCTCACATTTAAGGGCTCT